AAAACCTTTGTTTTTAATTTTTCTAAGTTTATTTTGTTTAAAAAAAAAAAAGAAAGTGAAGTTTCCACTCTCAGCATGAAGGTGTTTACCTGATGTATTTCTTGTTGAAATTTGGAACAACTAGACAGTCCTTTATCTCACATCAACCTGTGGGGGGGACACTTTCAATCAACCTCTTTGCCCTAGGGCCCAGCAAGCCAGACATCCCCACCAGTAAGGAATTTTTAGCTGTCAACTCTTCTAATGAAACTGGGTTTGGTACCTCACATCAACAAAAAAAATTCACAGCAACTAGCATCACATGTTGGTGGCTTACCAGTTTCAAACAGGAAAAACTGCTCCTGTCAGCATGTTTGCCATCTTCTCGGTTGATACTGAATAGCCTGAGAATGGAATTGATTCCAGCTGTTCGCAAAACTCCACAGACTATATAAAATTTAAAGATATTGGTCAGTGTACATATACGTATGTGTGATTACAATTTAACCTTCTGAATATGGATTTTTTTTTCTCTTTTATGGGGGCCGGTAGTTACTTTAGGGGGTCAACACACAACATTTTGGAATTCAATCCTCATTCTACAAGGGTACCTTATCATGATGTAATAGCTAATGAGCTGGTCACACAGTGAGTTCAATCCACACTGGGTGCTGGTAGCCTTCTGCCAGACTAGGCAATGTTGAGTAAATCTTATGTATAGTTCTACATATTTTAACAAGTCGATGATATTAAGTGAAATCTCAATATTTATATATTTCAAAAAGTTTTCAGTTTTATACACATGGTAAGAATGGGAGAAAAATCTACTCTACAAGACATGAAATATGATAATTGGTTTCTTGGAAATTTAATAGAAAAAAAAGAAAAAAAAAAAAAGTAAGAGATCCCTCAACAAGTATAAACTCTTTTCTTTGTGCTCTTACCAGTCAGTTATGTGCCATATGTGATACATGCTTAGGCAATCATGTATCGAAAGATACATGACTGACGAGGCAGATTTTTTCCCGCAGTAGGTTGCTATTTCTTTTCTGTGGCAGACCAGTTGCCATCCAAGGTCTGTACTGCTATTTACCCATAGCTGGGGGGATAAGAAGAGGATTCATATCTTTCCCAAGGGTATTAGTACGTAAGTGAATGTAATCAGTCATATGCTATATATGATACACGCTTAGGCGATCATGTATCTTTCGATAAGTAAATGTAATAGATTTGACTGGAATTTGAACTCAGCTCTCCGATTCCTCAATCCAAGCCACTATCCATTACTCCACCGTGCCGCCCTGTGCTCTTACCACTGTTCCATAATAAATGTCACATTTTTATATACATTTGCATATTCTACCTGTAACATTTATTATGGAACAGAGGTAATACATTATATTTTTATACTACTTGTCCCATAATTGTTTCATTTGCATACACATTTTATACACTCAATGTAACAAAAATTATAGGACAGTTTGTGTATATAATCAATATTTGACATCAAATAATTCAGCAAGGATTGACATGTGATAAAATCAACCAATCAATCATTGTATGCAAAGTAAAAAAACAAAAAAAAACTTGGAATCTTTTGAGATGACAAACATTACCGTATAATCGGTTAGTGATATTAGCACAATATTTGCCAAATAAATTTCTACCAGTGTAAGAACATTGTTATTTATCTACCAATCAAACTATTATTGTTTATACTTCCCAACCGATGTTGCAATCAATTCGTAAAGATACTCTGCCACCTTACCAGATTAGTTTAGTTATTTACAGTTTTAAATGTCAACATCGCTGAAGTAGGGCCAGTTGGAAAAAAAAAAAAAAGATAGGTCGCCATATACTTGCCAGATTTCAAAAAGGGTCATCAACATATCCAGGTCTGCAATAGCTGAACATTAGTAAGATAATAACTGCCAGACATATTCTGTGTTAAGTATTTAAGTATGGTACATCCAGAGTTTCATTTGAAAGTCTTACATACAATATATATGAAGTCCCTACAGCCCTCCTTCTGTAAGCAAGAGTAGCATTCAAACCTGAATGTTGTTTGCTTTTGATGCCTGTGTCTCTTTGAGATTCCCTACCCCATGCCACTATTTCCATCATTGTGCTAATACCTTTCTTATTCCATGATAGACTGTGAAGAGTGATGAACAATAACTAGACAGATTTAGTTGTTTTTCTTTTCAATTCTTATCACATTTTTTTTATTAAATATGCTTGTTTTACTGCAATAACATTATGTATCCGCCTCCCCAACTTTCTCGTCAACCTAATACACAAATCCTGGCTATTACACTCAACATTTTGATCATTCATATATTCTGTCCTATTTCAGGCATCTGTCATACTTGGTAAACTCAGAATGTTGAACTGAACCATTTATACAACGCACGGGGTTGAGTGGTCCTGTTGACAACAATCTACACCTGGAGGGTATAATAGTCAATATTAGTATACTAATCGGAAAATAAATTCCAAGCTGTGAAATCCAAGTTGACTAATTAAAAGTTACTCCTTCATCAAAGTTGTTGAAAAAGTAAGTCCAAGATCAACCTATTTCTAACAATGTTGAATCAAGATTATATATGTGCACACAACAGGATCTCTTAATGTACAGAGTTACCAAATCAGCAAAACTTTTATTAAGCTAAAACTACTTTACAAACTATATTTCAAAACAGTAATATTATATGCATATATTGTGCACCATAATGTTTACTCAGTGATGTCTATTTTGGAGTCATAGTAGTTAATATCCTTATATCTTCATGGAAATGTAATGTCATCTTTTATCTCAGGAAATTACTGCTCAATGATTAAGCGTTAGATAAATAAATGAACATTGATTCATAAATCAAAGTCCATTTTTAACAGAAATAAATGTTCTTCATTCATTCAGGACATTTTAAAAAAGGGAAGTAACTCCATAAATTTTGTCAGTGTTCTCCCTTTAATTAACAAGGGAGTTATCTCCCCTTTACAATATTTTCAATACATTTATTGTGAAGACGAAAGGGAAACCAAAATCATTGTCGACTTAAGAAACTGATTTGTAAATGCATTTCCTAATCATTTTGAATGAAGGTCAACGTTCCGTTTAGATAATATAAAAAAATTTTAATATAAAACAGACAATTTAACAGTTAAAAAGAATTTTGACCGATTAAAGAAAAATATCAGATTCATCAACAAAATGCCCAGTCAGCAGAAAATCATTTGCATATTGTCATGTGAACCAATGTCAATATTCAGAAGGTTAAGTTAAACGACTTAAAAAAAAAAAAAAAAAAAAAGAAGCTATGTGAAATATTTCATGATGAGATGACAGAGATATGAAATCTATAATGACAGCTTTACTCTAAGCAAAGATTAAAAAAAAAAAAAAAAATTCTCACCTGTCTTGAGTATAATTAGATATCAAGGGAAGAGGGTTATTGGCACTGACTCCCCCAGTAGTTGATAAATAAAAAGGATATTTTCCTTAACACACACACACATATATATATATATATATATATATATATAATATATCATAAAAAAGTAATTATACAAAGAATTAATTAGCAACATTAATGTGATTAATGGCAAAATCACTTCATTAACAAGACTTAATGAAACATTACATGTCTACACTACATTTATTGTGTCTTGGAGTTTACCTGTAAATGGAAATATTACACTCTGAAGATCACAATTTGAAATTGTTGAAAGTACTCTGCCCAGAATCATCAGTTCCATCTGATAACAATTCAAATATAAGGATTGCATTATTCAAAGAATTGATAGTAAGTTAATGTTTCATTAAGTCTTGTTAGTGAAGTGATTTCACCATTGTTCACATTAACATTGCTGTTTAATTCTTTGTATAATTACTTCTTTATAATATATATATATATATATATATATATATATATGACACTATGGCAGATCAGAAAAAAAACGTATTGGACAAATCACACACCGAAAAAAATAAGTGTATCCTTGCAACCCTTCAAATACAATTTTCTATTAAACTATGAATTAAATATTCAAGATGGAAAAGTGTCTGATAAATTGATAAACAGTAGTTTTAATCCATGAATCAAAAAATCCCTATATACATGTTTAATTAGTTATAATGTAAAAAGCTTCAAGGTTGGACAGACACTTCTCATCTTTCTGTTTTCCGTATTCCAAGGGTCAATTCACACCTTCCAGGTGTAAAGCTATATAACAAAAGAAATTATTCACAAGTTTTTTTTACAAAGATATATATATATATATATATATATATATATATATAAAAGGTCTTTAAGAAAGCATTTTCCACCAACACTGTCTTTCTTTCCCTTCAGAGCAACTTGACTTAAAATACCATTTTATAAGGAGTTACCTCCCTTGAGTATTAAAAAATCTTTCAAAATCTATACTCTTACGAAATTATATAATGCATGTATTTGATTTGAACCCATGAAATTATTTGTAAAAGAAAAACCTTTGAATATTCAAGTAGATCAATTCTGACAAAAAAGTCCTCTAAAACAGCCATCCTTTCCACCATATATAAAGTTTTTATTTTTAAAATGACTTTGAGTGGGGAAATGGTACTGAAAAACTTTGAGAATATTTTCCAAGTTACCACATTCTAAAATTACTGAAACACTGGATTGTTTGTCTACATCCAAAATAAGATTTTTATTTTCAGTTCGCAATAAATGTCAAGATCTTAAGTTTGACTTACAAAAATGCTGAACAATATTACACTAATCATTCTGACTGATATCCTCATCTCTATAGTTTTTATCAAGGCATTTCAGTTGGTGTAGTATCTGTTAGTCTTCTTCAAGGTGGAGTTAGTTCTGGCTTTTTGGGGTTTTTTTCTCCACCCATTTCTCTTTTACAGAAATGGTTTTCAATGGAGAATTAAGAATTTTTGGATACAGTAAGTCTGAATGAACGAGGAAAAGTTTTGGTTATATATACAAAATAGAAGAATACATATGCAAATTTATCCAAGTGTGCTAAACACTGACAACATCATTTCTCTTGGTTGTAGCAGACCTTTGGTCACCAATGTGTCGGGGTGGAGTGTCTGAAATCCAGATTGAGAATCAGGAATAAGAGACAAAAACCAAATTATACACTGGAAAATGGTGAGAGATAGAAAAAATAAAATACCATTCCTAATTGTTTGTATGAAGAAGACCAAAGAATAGAGCAACCAAAAAAATGGATATCTGCATAACTCAACATAGTGAAAGGATTTCAGACAAATATGTTTAACAATTATTGGTTGGTAATCATTGGCTTAAAGATCTTGTTTTGTATTTTTAAAAATAAAAGTTTGGTGGTGGGGATTGACTGAGTTGTACGAAGGGTAAAGTATATTTTAATTTTTTTCTTTTTAATTTTTTATGTCACAGCCATTTTCTTTTATTTCTTTCTAGAATATCATTTTCTTTTAATTATGGCATATAAAGACTTAATTAACGAGTTTTATTATTATCATCATCATCTCTCCATTGAAGCTAAAGCAATTAGGGGAGGGAGGAAAAGAAATCATGTAAATGAGAAATATGTGAACACTGTTAAAATTAAGTTTAATTTTTAATTAATAAAAAAAAAATAAATAAAATTTTTAATTCAGAAGTAATCATAATTTACAAATTCAGTTTCAACTGGTAAATCTCTAGTAATTTTCAGGTGATAAAAAAAAATATAAATATATATATATATACATATATATTTGGCCGATTTATTAAACTCGGAATTGATCCAAAACACTATTTTGGAATTTGGTTTTAGTTTGTTCTCATTATGGTACATTCACATAAAAAAAAAAGATAGGAACTACATCAAATAAATAAGACCAAAAAAAAACCCTTTATCCCTAACCCTGGGTAGCAGGGGGTGGGGGGGTTGTTGAAATAAAAAAAATTTAATACATTTTGCATCCGTTTTATTTTTAAAGAATAAAATTCGGCTAAAGTTTATACACACTTTTGCCAGAAACAAACACATACACACTTTTGCCAGAAACAAACACAACTGGTCCTTCCCATTTGCAGGGGCTCATGGGGGTAGAGAACCCCCCATCGAAAAAAAAAAGGAGAATCTGACAATATCTCTAGTTCCTTGCCTCCTGCAACTCAACAGCATTGAATGTCATCAACAACACTGCAGGGAAAATTTAAGGAAACAATGTCATTTATTTTCTTTCACACTCAGTAAGCCCTTGCACCTTAGTGGCTTTATTGCCTTGCTTCGGGTGAAATTATTAAAAAAAATATAAATAGAAAGCTTGTTAAAATTCTTTTATGTGGTGTTGATAGTTAAATTTAACTCTTCCCCCAAAAAATGTCCAAAAGAAAAACTGTAGTTAATTTAACATGATTTTGTAAAGGAACAAATTAACATTGTAATTAAAAATATAAGCATTCATTTACAGCATTTATCTTTTCCTGTCAACAGTTGCAATAGAAACATTATCGTCCAAACATTTTATGTATTTGTCACTTACTAAATACAGCAGCTTCATTTTTGTCTTTTAAGTTTTCTCTATAATTTCTCAACTATATATGTTTGTGAAATTTTTTAAGACGGCAAACTTGTGAATAATAAAATCTGAAGGTCAAGGTTCAACTGTGCCTGTTAAGATGTCTAAAAAGTATAGAATTTGGAAATCTATCTCATTATAGATATTTACTAAGCTTAATAGAAGAATAGTGCAATTTTGCTTTCATTAGTTGTGTGGTAGACATCACGTGTTTATTTTAAATGTTTTGTATTCAACAATTTTTGTATTCATCTCATAGTATCTCCGTGTATGTAATTCTTGAAGTGACAGTATAATTTAACCATGTATAAAAAAAGAAAACAAAAAAAAGGATAAATTGGTGTGTTTTGCATGATAAATACAATGAATGAGTAATCAAATCAATTTTGCTTTAACCCATTTCCAAAATAAAAAATTCTGATGAAGTTGAATAAATGACGAAACATTTCCTTATTCAATCATTTTGCTGGATTTAATCCAGATCTTTACTTCAAAAAAAAAAAAAACTTTTGGTTTTTATTATTATTATTTTAAGTTAAAAAAAATGCACAGATATGATTCTGTAATTACATATTGTACACCATATATAAACAAGTCATATTTTGTACCCAGAGAAACCTTAAAAGTTTTTATGGGTAATATACCATTTTTGGAACCTTACACAATTTTGTCTGCTGCAATGTGACAAGGCATAGACTTTGAAAGAAGTGGTTCCAGAAAAAGAAAATTCAAATTCTTTTTCTAATCCACTGCTGGGCTGGCGTATTCCTAACATTCAAACCAAACGCCTGATACAACTAACTGGTCAATATACTGTCACTTAGTTGGGACTTTTATATAAAAAATAGATTCTGTTTAAGAAAACTATTCAATAAGGTCACAAATTGCCATCTTTTATAAACAGTTGTTTACTTTTAAATGAATTTATTTGCTTAAAAGGACAATACAAGCAGTTAAACTGTTTGTTTTTTTTTTTATGATTTCACCCCAAACAAGGCACTAAGACACAAAAGGGTTACTAATTGTGAGTGCAATAAAAGAACATGAATTAAAAAGACAGAAGATAACGATTGTGTCATTAAACATATTTGTTTTAATGGGAAGGAGGGGGGGAGTGTTCAATTTATTACTTAATAACTACATCAAACCGATCCCCACTTTATGTCCACAATTGTGTATTCATACAATTTTTTTTTTTCCCATGATGCCAAAAATGATATTTTTTTTGTTACTATTTTTTTTTTTTTAAAATCTTTTCACCACCAAGCAAGGCAAAGCTGCTAAGATGCAAAAAGGTTACTGAAGGTGAGAGAATATGAGAAAAAAGAAAAACACAATTAAGGAGAAAGAGCAATAAAAGAATTGTGTTGTTGATTTGATTGATTCGTTTTTTTTTTTTTTTGTTTTTTTTTTTTTTAGGCTGATTGTGTCATTAAATGTAGTTGTTTCTAATTATTAAGTGGTAATTAATGAGGGGGAAGGGTCAGTTATTAATAACTACATAAAACCGGCCCCCCACTTTATGTCCAACAGAATCTTGTATGCATACTAGTTTTTTTCTTTTTTTTTTTTCCAGGCTGTCAAAAAAATGATAGATATTTTGTTAAGTTCTTAATCTGTTTTTTTTTTTTGTTTTAAATCATTTTGCCCTAAGCAAGGCAATAAAGCCACTAAGATACAATGGATTACTGAGTGGGAAATAATTAGAAAAGAAAAACCTTATTGAGAGAGAGAGCAATAAAAGAACAGCAATTGAGACATTACATAATCATTGATATTGATCTTCAACAATTTGAAAGCAAAGCTGGAAGAGTTCCAAAAGCGAGAAGTGTGAGTTAAGATTAATGAGAATCCACATTATGATTTATTTTTTAATGTCCAACTAAAAAGAAGCAGTTTGAGTTCTTGCAAAAGCAATATTTATATTCTGACGGAGTGGGGGGGGGGCATATGAGGAAATGAATCCTTGAAGGCATGTAGGCCTTGGAAATTCAACAAATGTGTGTAATAAGATCATGTTTAAGATACTAACACCCTGATTACCTGCTGAGGCACGTCCATACTGGAGTGCTAATTCATTTTCTGGTTCCATCTTGGAAATAGAGGCCAAGAGGGAGCAAAAAAGAAAGAAAAATCTTTTAAAATATTTATGTACAAATTTACACACAGGTATACTCGTGATTTACCAGCATCTTGGCCTCTAGAACTGTTCCAGACTATTCGTAATGCCAGGCTAATAGAGATCACATAATAATTTGGCTATATGATACAGGGTGGGTGTGTATATATATATATATATATATATATATATATATATATACTCACACACACGTTTCATTAAAAACGACTGACAAGGTACTACATTTTTTTTTATTTAATTTTTGTGTTTCTTCTTTTCAAAACATAAATTATTTAGAAATTGTTCCATATGTCCGAGCGCTTTTGGCTAAACTTTTTAGCCATTATCAAGGAGGAATTTTATTTTTAACTGAATGCCAGCACTCAATAACATCAACTATGAATATGGCCACAATGTGCTGACCATGTTTGGAAAATAAAACATTCCTATAACTAGATACATATATAAAACAATCCATACATTCAGTTAAAAGTAAAAATAAAATCATCCTTTATAATGGATACAAGTATAGCCGAATGTGCTCAGACAAGACATTCGGACAATTTCTACATAATTTATGTCCAGAAAAGAACACAAGAAAAATTAAATAAAAATCTTAACCACATTACCTTGTCAGCCATTTTTAATGAAACTTGTATAAAAGGGGGATTTCTGCCCAAATACACAATATGTATGTCATAAAAAGTTAGTACTATATTTATGGATAAAAGTGCTCAACATCAGAGATAGTGTATATAAATATAAAAGGGAATACTGAGGTCAACACAATCTTCAGGCTGTGTGTGTTGTGTTTTAGCTTGACTATTTATATATGCTGGCTAATGGTGCATTATGGGTAGCAAGGTCTATTGTATTATCCTAACAGTTATCAGGTGTTGCAGTAGTGAATTATATTTCAAATTATTCTCTAGGCTATTGAGTAGAAAGTATTGTGGATTCAAATCCAGTTATTTGTAGCTATTCCATAATGTTGTTTAACTTTCTGCTCATTAATTATTATTGATTACAAAAAGGATCAGTAGATATTGGTGTATGGATGCACAAATGGGTAAAAACATAATTGCAAAGAAATATATTACAGATCTCACATGTGATAGCAAAAACCTAAAATATGCTGGCATTTATAATGGCATGTTTAAACTCATATTAATATAAAGTTCTATTGAACATAAAGTGGGATTTATTCTTTTTTTATTGCTAAGTAATAAACTTGTCTCTCACAGAATTACTACATATTACTATAATAACCAGAAAAAATATATTCATATATCAAGCGTAAATATATTTATATATATTAGGAAGGACTTAAAATATCAATTTCATATATATTGTTTTTAATTGGTAGACTTGTAAGATATTGATACACTTCTGACCAATTGGATGTTTTGGAAAAAAAAAAAAAAATCCTTAGGCCTGGTAGAAAGATTACATGAAACAAATCTATGAGGTTGACCAGAAGTTACTAAAGAAATCTACAATAAATATTTGATGAAACGTAAGTAATGCTTAATCTTTAAAGAAAGCAGTATTCCTTGATTTCCGCATTGGCTGAAAAAAAAAAAAAAAAAAAAAATGCCAAAATTCTTAAACAACATTCCAATATCAGCTCAGTCTTTCAGCAGACTGAGCAGATATAAAAATTTTGTCTAGATTAATATGTAGTAGACCCACCAGTGATGTATCTGCGCAGTATTAGGACCAGCAACTCTCTGACACTCATCAGGTGAAGAGAGAATTTACCACAGCCTGATGACCAAAAACAGAATTAGCATGAAACTTTTTTCTTTTTAAAGATGAGTGTAAAGTTTAAACTTTCAACCTCTTCACCTCCAATAATTTCCACAATTTTTAAAAAATGCATATGACATAGAAAGCCAATGTTTAAATACCGTTATATTGCAAAAGAGGCTTTTTGTATAAATTTTTAATAAAATTTCAAAAGGGAAGAGAGAAATGCTTAGAAAATAAGATGAATGAAATCAAAATTTGACAGCAAAAATTTTACCTGGGGCCAACAGAAACAATACTGTCAGTTTTCAGCAGCCCTAACAAAAAGTGTGCACCTAGAGTCTTGCAAGCTTCATTTGAGGCAATCATTTAGAAAGCAGAAAAATGTTTTATTAGCACCTGTATTTTTTGTGTTTGAATGAATAATTGTTAAGGGCTAGTTTTTACCTTTTCAAAAATGTTCATGTTGGCTTTTTTTACAAATCACATTTTGATGAATTAGATTTGATCTTTCAATTATATCACGACCAAACTAAGACCAAAGTTAAGTAAAGAGTTTTGCTTTGTAAAGAACACAAACATCGGTACCCTTCTTGAATTAAAAAAAAAAAAAAATGACTCCCAGGATATTTGATGAAAAGTTTTAAACATTTTTACTGCCATTTTGAAATCAAATCACCATGGTAACTCAGTACTTATTCCTTGGAGCATAAATACAAATCTTTTGCAATAGGATAACATTTGAAAACAGTACCAATTTACCACATTGCTGTTGTGGTTTGGAAATTACCCATAGTTTCCAAGCATTAAACAAAAGCTTCCCTCCAAGAAGGATTTCTTTTTACAGGGGATTGGTGTATCTCACTTGATCTCTGCTTTGCTCTTTGTTCCAACAATGATGAGTTTGCCATCTCTAAGTCCAACCAGAATGTGTGTGTTGCCTGGAGTAGATGCAATGCACTGAATAGGGACCAAAAGTGGAACTGTTGTCTGCGGGCTCAGACTGAGTGGTAAAGAAAAAGAGAAGAATCCATATCAAGTTATAAGCGCAATATTTATAGCAAGAAATTCATTACTTGAGCTGGAAAGAAAATTTTAAGACATTGTTGCAACAGCAAAGACTAAATACAGTATTTATTGATAATGTAAGAGAAGAGTTTGGTAAAGAAAAGCTAAACTGAGATGAAAGAAGATAGTCTTTTAATATTAATTTACTTATTAATAGCACCCCACTACATATATTTTGTGTATCAGACTTTGCTTCTGCAGCCCTCTCTGACACTCAAGGTATCCAAATTCATCCTTCTTGAAGCAATCTTTATGATGAAATAATGTATTACATACCTTGAAAACTGTTTTATGCCTTCTATGCATAGTAAAGTGAAGATTACGTTATACACTGATAATGTGAATAAGGTGATAGCATTATACATGAAAATTAATTTTTTTTTATATTTTTTTTTACATCACAAAATAGGATTTGGATAATGCAAAGTTGTATATCCTCTCAAGGGCCAAATAAATCCCTCACCCACTCTGGTTGTTGATTTTTTTTTTTTTTTTTTTTTTTTTTAACCCTAACCTCACTAATTTTTGACATAATTTGATGGACATTTATTTATATTGTAATGTTGTCAAAGCTTCATGGAAATATTCTGGTTGTGTTTAAACATTTTATGTTGCGGCTACATTGCCAAAGTTTGTGTATGGTTACTACACAGCTGACCAGTTCCCTTGATATGTCTCAGAATCAAACACTGGCATGCAATTGATTAGACAAATCAAGAGCTGCAATAATTTTTTTTAGAATTCATTATATATATATATATATATAGATAATATTAGTGGAAAATATACATATATATGCAAAATATATAAATACCCCTACATATATATTTTAAAAAAAAAAAATTCCAAGAGGAAGAATCCAGGTAGAACTCAATGTCTAGGACAGAGTAAATGATATAATGAAAAAGGCTTAAACACTAATATTCCATGGTCATAATTTCATTCCATTGGAATACGATTCCAATGGAATAAATTATGACCATGGAATATTAGTGTTTAACATTTTTTTTATATATATATATATATATATATATATATATATATATATATATTTCTCTTTTTCTTATTAAGAATAATAATAATCATCATCATTCTCATGACTAAACAAGGTTACAAGGTCACTTATCAACCCTTTGCAGGTTATTAAAGCCAGAAAATATTTTTAGATTCTTAGAATTTTTTTTTTTTTTTTTTTGAGATAATGATTTACTGATACAAGTCTTACTAATTAACCCATAGTTGTGGGGTGAAACAGTGGCTTCATACCATTCCCAAGAGTATTTGTGCATAAGTGAATATGGAATTGAAACTGGTTGCTTAACCTTGATCAAATGGGAACCAGTGAAAAAGCTGTAACTAAAGTATGGACATTTTATTTAACAGCACTAAAGCATGAATGATTTAAAAACAATAAAAAACCCAAACACTACTCACCCCTAAAAGTAACCCCCACAAAAATAAAGGCAAAAATTAAACAGAAAAGAAAAAACAACAACAAAGAATAACCACCAAACACCTCCACCATAAAAAAAAACAACAAAAGAAGCTTCACTCACCCAAACAATTCATAGACTGTTAAATGACCCTGGTCATTGCCAGAAATCAGATAATTTTCTTTAATTATCATGTCAGTGATTGGATATGTCACTTTCTGTTGAAACAGGTGTTTACCATTGACAGTGTATAAATGTAGAGTGTATTTATCCTGAAAGAAGAAAAAGAAATTAAAGCCAATTTATCAAATATTGTTATTCTTCTCATTAGAAGTACAAAAAAAAAAAAACAATTGACACCCACAGTGAATGTGGCAAGTTCTATGCGAAACCTCCATAAGAAAAAACACAATGCTATATAATAATTTGAACATATGATGTCAGTAGGAGAATTTTAATTTACAAATTTATCCTGTAAAAAAAATTAAAAACAATTCATGGGGGGTCAACTTTTGAACATCTGAGCAAAAAAAAGTATTCAGAAATGGAAAAAAAAAAAGAAGTCTGACATAATTAAATTATATTCCATGTTCAGTGATTATATCTACTGGACAAGAGGTGTTGAAAAATATACAAATATTTACCAAATACACACACAGTTTGAGATATATATGTATATAAATATATTTTAAGACATTTTTATGTTTATAACATTCTTTTTATAGATACAAATATTTAAGTAAATACTCTGTTTATAATAAACAGTATTAAACAACATTTACTGGCCTGAATATCCAAGAAATTTTCATAGAAAATATTCATTCTCTGACAGGAATCGAACCTGCATCCTATACAGAACGTGCCTTTAAGCGATTTCGCCACAGAGGAGCGTTTCGGTTAGCAAAGTCGAATTTACTGTCTTTAAACTACAATCTTCCATGATTCTCTTACGTACGTTCATATCTGCTCATGGCATATCCAAATGTAAACAAATGATGTCAAACATTATGAAATGAACAAAGTCTGACAATTATTTTAAGACATTTTTATGTTTTTATATATATATATATATATATATACACACACACACACTTTAGTTTCAAATAGAGAGTTGGTTGAAATAAATGGGAGGTTAGGATTTTTTTATTAATAATTTTTTAATATGAAAACACTTTATCCTAGAATGCTCAAAGCATAAAATTAAGACCTGAATCTATATAATAATTAAACTCTAATATTGTATGTATGTATGTGCATGTGAGATACAGCTTAAATGATACGCACTACCCCAACTAATTTAAAAGCATATTGTACGTCTATCAAGTGCAATGCTTAATTTCATTAAAATTAGACAGGGGGTTCTTTGGCTGGGGTTGTTTTTGGTTTTATGGCATTTTTAATAGGCAATTTGGTAGTGTTTTCAATACACATATTTTTATATCAATCTGCATATATGAACAAACATTTGCATATCATATTCCAACTATTATTTTTCCTATTTAAAATTTCTGATGAATCTTAATTCTTAAGTTAATGATTGAATAAGCTCATGGCAAGTTCTACAACAATAAAATATTTGTAGAAATTCCCCTACTATGTTGTTAAATATTTGAACTTAACAAAATATTGCAATAACAAATATAAATACTGGTTGTTATTTTAAGAAGTGGGTACAAATGAAAAGATTTATAATTGACAACTTTTTCCATTTCACTGAAACAGGTGTTAAATACTTCTATTTTCTCTTCTTTCATTCATTCATTTTCTCACTGAAACCAAGTAGTGTCTCCCCCCCAACAATCAAATCAAAATAATCCATTACCCTTGAACCTTCAACAGCTATCTTTTCTTTCTAGTCAAATCTCCATCTTACAAACATTTCACTTAATAATAATTTAAAAACAATTCAGCAGAAGATGTTATTTTATTTATGGTAACTGGATTTTTGGTGATTGTCTTACTCTGTTTGCGTCTTTGATACTGTATATCTGAAAAATGACGGTTTTATTGTGGGTGTCTTGCTTCACAGATTTTTGGCTCAAGGAGGTTCTAATAATTCTAAACCCAATATAGAGTTGTTCAATTCAAAAAAAATTATTCATCAGTCATAAAACATTTGAATTAAATAAAAGGACTATTGATGATTCAGGAATTTTAATAGCAATAATTGTTACTAGCCAAATCCCTGTCTCACAAACATTTCTCTTAATAATAACTTAAAAACAATTCAGCAGACGATGTTATTTTATTTATGGTAACTGGATTTTTGGCGATTGTCTTACACAGTTTTTGATGTTTAATATTCTGCATCTGAAAAATGGCACTTTTATTGCAGGCATCTTGCTTCTCAGACTATTGGCTGGGATCAAAGTGTTGTTCTTATCATTTTAATCTAATTCTCTTTCCACTTCTATCTTCCATTTTCTCTCTGAAACCAAGTAGTCTTTTTCATGTGATCAAAATGCAGAGTAGGCCATTATTTTTAAGTTATTGGCAAGGCATAACAGTCATGTGAACTAACAAAGAGAGGGATTAGTACAATTATAAAAGGATTATTAAATGCATTTAAATATGTATAAAAAAAAAACACAAATTTATACAACTCACTAAATTTTATTAAAAATTTTTTTTTATATAAACAACTACTTGAAAGGTGAAGAGTCTATATATGTCACATGACTTGGCGGTAAATAAATAAATTGATGCATGCTGATTTGCTGCCATTATGTATTTTGAAATAAATAGAAATTATCTGTACTAAGAACATGTGATGGGGAAAAAAATGTACTTGATTTTCAGGTTCAGCGTGAAAAAATAGCCCAGAAACATGTATCCATAGCCCAACAACGTTTGGGTCAAAAAAAAAAAAAAAAAGTCAACTGGTGTAATTGAAAAAAAATATGCTTATTATTTTGAAAAAGACTACACCTGTTTTAAGCTATTACTCCAAATTTTCAAGCAATGTGTTAACTAAAAGGACTAGTGGAACAATAAACCTTCTTTGCCATCTTTAAATACAAATTAACATGTATAATCTTACTTATTATAAAATGCAGATTGTGTGTGATATATTGGATCGGATTTCCTACATTTTTCAACTGTTTTCAACAAAACTTCACAGGACTTGCAGTGGTTCTAACAGCGCCAAAAATTGGAAAAACACAATTGTTTTTGCACGAAATCAATTTCAAAACACGATTAAGAGGCATCGCTTTTGCGAGAATGAAAGGGGGACAACTCATATCGAGTTATACTTATTATAAAACCCAGGTTGTTTGTGTGTGTGTTCGTTTATATATGGGATCGGATTTCCTACATTTTTCAACCGATTTCAACAAAACTTCAGTTTTTTTTGGCAGGTAGTGTTTCTTATTGTCTTGCACACTTTTTTCTTTATTTTTACATTCAGAATGCTTTAAAAATTCCATTTACAAGACAATTGTTTATAATAAAATTCTATTCAATTGGTAGACTCAAAACAATGTTTTTGTTTGAGTTTGACCAATTCGTAAAAAAAACAAAAAAAAACTAATTAGGACATGTGTGTCCGTCAACCTTAAACAATAATCTTTGTCAATTTTATTTTTCAGTCTTTATCTATCTCTTACTGTTACATCCCCGGGCAACGCCGGGCTCTACTGCTAGTTAATAATAAAATTGATAATATTGTTACTTTGTCATTTTGTCTCATTAAAAGGGCCTGAACAGGTTTATGGGTGATCTAGTATTTAATAAAAGGTTTTCATTGGAATAAGGATCTTCAAAGTGGATTTTTCTTGAAAATAGAATCATCCCAGCCTGGCCATTCGAAACTCAGAACTGTAAAATGTAAACAGTATTCTATACTAATCTATACTTTCCTGGCACATGTTGAGTCGGGTTTATCATGTTTCAGTTGTGACTCTGTCCATGGAGAGAGGCACAACTGAGGAAAATAAATACTGTGAGGTGCCTGGTCCCGGGGAAGAGCTGCCCAATGCTGCACTCCCCATTGCATTAGAGACGGAGGATTGCAAGTCATTACCAAGATTGCAGGGACTGTGCAATTTTTGTCCTTAGCCCAGGTGTACACGCTTGAGTTTCATACCTGAGTTTCATCTCAGTAGGGGAGACACAGCAAATATTATACTACTTGAATTGATAAATTTACGTTTTTAAAATAAGCTTCTGTTGTGTAGTGATTCCACAGTGGAGGCTTGTATTTGTACTAAATCGGTCCTAAAATAGGTTCAACGTACAAAACATTACGAACTTGGTATAATAGGTATTACGCAGTGTAATCTTGTTGTGGTCGCTGACATCAACTGACCGTCGTTTCTCTTACTACTCCTACTTATATTAGGTGGGAGAGTCTATTAACTATAGAATAGGTGTGTTTCACCATAACAGCTTCCTAGATGGCCAACCAATACATAGAATTCATAAACCCCTGACAAACTATGAGGTTACTGAATCACATTTGTACATAAAATAGATTACATATTTTACAAGTAACCTTACAAAACAAGTGTACTGTCTATATCGCTAGACTGAGCATCCACAATTGTAAACGAGTAAAACTTACTAATCAGCCATTAAGTGCTCAAGAAATGTGGCCTTGTACCAAAGTTAGCAATATCCAACAAATATCTACTAGATGAGAGGTTACATATACAGTTTGGGGATGTATTCCAGAATAATTTTGTGGTATAGGCAGCCCCAGCATGAACTGATGCATTATGTGCCATAAAGAAAAGACAGAAAAATAAAAAATTTCAAACAGAAACAGTTAAGTAGAAAATTGAGATTATGATGGCAGATAAAATATTTTTACTTACACTCTTTTCAGAGGGTTGGTTCTGCTGACAGAAGATGCAAATTTGCCCATTTTCAGCTACATCCAAGAGTGGAATGTGCAGGTGTTCTATCGGCTCACAAGGTGGCTGCAATGTCCTCATATAATGACCTTTCCTCACAGTATGGATGATCACTGTACCATCCTACAAAAGAGATAGCCACAAATTTAAAATCAGTTTGGTCTTGATTGATTGGTCTGTTTAATGACACATCAACTCCTTATGGGTCATTTCATGCCAAAATTAAATTTTCTTAGGTGCTTGAAAGTAATAAAAATATTATTAAACAAGTGACCTTTATATATATAAACTAATATAAACAAGTAAAAACAATAAAGTAAAAACTGTCCACCCGCCAAAAAACAATAGACTACAGCAAGAAATCTAAACATTGGAAAAATAAATATGTCTTCCCAGACCAAAACAAACTATTAAATAAGTGACCTAAGCAAATCCCCACCCGACCAAAATTTTTTACTACGTTAATAGAACATCAAAAAAAAAAAAAAACAATGAAAAACAAGTAGAACAAATTAACCCAAATAAATAAACAAGCCACTCACGCAAAATAACCCAGAATATATTATCCACAATGCAACACTGACACACACAATATATATATATATATATATATAAGAATTATTGAACTGTTTGAACATTTGCCAGAGGGACATGGGAAATTGAGTCGAGTCATTATACGGCTTTTTAATTATCAACTGGTTGTATTTCTTGTTCCTTTCCTCTTAAATTAAAATTATTTTCTTTGATAATAAATCCTAAATCTCCTTTGGGATATCCTCACTGTAGAGGTTGAATAAATCTGTGGAGAAGACGCATCCTTATATAGTGGGTCAGCCAATTTGTATTGGTTATAAATAGAAATAAAAACTGACCCTCTACAATTTTTACAATATCAAATGTAACAAAGACAACAACAAGAGAAATAATCAAGTAGAAGGTAAAGAAAGCAAACAAAACAAGACCGATAATATATGTATATAAAAATATATATTAATAACAAGTTACAATACATGGAAACAGTACAAAAGGACAGAAGTGTGTGTGAATATTCTGTATGTGGTGCGTGTGTGTATATTGTGCTTAGCGTGTTTCCATGCTATCCCTTGTATCGACTACATTTGAGGTTGATAGCTGAAAATCCTCTAGGAATAAGAGAGTTTACCTCAAGGTGTCAGTGCACAGGCCTGAAGAAAAAAAAAGAGATAGAGCGAAGGGTCATTTATTATTTATAGCCAGGAAGAGAGACCCCTGGTGAAAGGGTTAACGGACTGAAAGGAGGAGTTAACTCCGACATTTATCTTACACCTCTTTCTATTTTTGTATAGCTACTGAATTTCTTTTCAAATGTAGTGGTTTCCTCCCCAGCATAAATTCTGGATTATTCTAACATCTTTTCAAAATAGATTGAGTTTTCCTAGCAGTTCAAATAGATCCTTGTACTGTACCTTCTTCGATGCTTCTGCATAATCTATAAAGCATGAGTGCATTTGGATTGCTCACAAAATATATATACAAAGACATAAATAAAAAATAAAAAAAAATCCATATTTACCCTGGAGGCAGACACAGCCATGTCAAGCTCTGTGGAGATGTAGACAGCAGTAACTTCTTTGTCATGACCATACAGGATTTGGCTGGGCTTTGAAGATAAACTATATGAACAGCCTCCCTGAAGAAAGAAAAAAGTGTACAAAATGTTTTATATATAGACAGACATACTATCATTATATAAGATTCTGTCCCGTAATAGTTGTATTCATTTGCATTCACACTTCATACACTCAATGTAACAACTATTTTGGGACGGTCTATTCAATTTTCAGGCTAGAGTTCTTCAACAGAAGTTGGTTAATTTTGTTTAGTGGCATATCAACTTCTATGCTGAAATCTAAATATTTTGAACACAATTGTATGCCTTCAACTACAGATAAAATGTATTGTTGGTAATTTTTTTATATAAGAATGTATTTTTATACTTTCATAGTGTTTTGTTTGAAGGGTTCACTATTTGCCCATAGCTAGGACCCTAACAGGTGCTACAACCCCAAGTCAGGGTGGACCTGGAAACTAGAGCAATTAAGAGGTGATTCCATGTTCCTCAAAACTTCCAACCTCCTGATCAGAGGCCTTGCTGCCAAATGTAGTTTATCATCATAACCAGAACTATCATCAGAAGAGACAATTTCATGCACATGCAGATCTAATCAAAATGGTTTTATATCAATAGACATAATGTCATTGAACATAAATTATTTCCAATTAAAAAAAAGTAAAAGTTTCACTTGTTTATGATTGAAAAAAAAAAAACAAAAAAAAAAACGTTACATTTCACAACTATCTTGGGACAGAAGTATAATTAAATTTTCAAGCCAGTGTCCTTTATCAGAAGTGCTAAGTGAACTACTCCTTTGTCCTGTGTGCATGAGAGGTAACTGAAAATATGATATTTTTGTTGCTGCAACAAGGGTGAAATTTATGTTGAATAGTTAGATCCAGTAATCAGACCATCCTGGGTATGATGATAAACTACATCCTGCTTCCTGGGTAAGACAACAAATTACACCCAACAGCAAGGCCTCTGATCAGGAGCATGGAAGAACTTCTTAATTGCTAGTGTTCCAAATAGTTAACCCCAAACTGGGGAAACACTGTAAAAAAAATAGGTTCCCAATACATTAGTAAAAATTTAAATTTTAGAAAAAAATATTACCAGCAAACATTTTCAAATTTTGAAAGGAAAAAAAAAAAAAAATTACCAACAAATTTAGAAAGGAAAAAAATAAAAAAAAATTACCAGCAATACATTTTTTGAAAGGAAAAAAAAAAAATTACCAGCAAATTGCCAGCAAAGAAAAAAAAAAAAGGAAAAAATTTTTGTTTTTTGAAATTAAAAAAAAATAAAATACAATTTTCAAATTTTGAAAGGAAAAAAAAAATTATTACCAGAAATACATTTTTCAAAAGAAAATAAATTACCAAAAATACATTTTTGACAAAAAAAATATTACCAGCAATAAAAATCTTGTTGGCATTAAATAACCCATTGAGGTTGATATGCCATAAACCAAGCCAAACCAATAGCCCAAAATGAACAAAATGTCTACTGAATCATTTCTTATGTGATGGTTATAATGAAGAATGAGTGTTACACGTATGCAAGTCCAAGTGGCAAAAGATTGTTGACCAACTGAGTTTTTTTATGGCTTATCAAGTCTTTGTGGAATATTTAAAACTGAAACCTATTTTGGATTGCAAGAAAAATATGTTGAATGGTTAAATCCTGCAATCAATATTTTTTTCTGTTGCAATTCAAGTAATCTTGAAACAATTACGTTTCAGCTCTTACTAAAGGTTGCAGTGTCTCTTTTTGAAGAATGTAACAATCTGTCGTTGTATGCACTACCATCTTTTACCACCTCCCTGCATTCCAAAGGTGGGATTTTTTTTTTTTTTTTATTTGTTGTTGGAATTTACTCCCCCATTGGTTATAGTTCCCAATGTTCACAAATAGTTCCCCATCTAAATATTAACTAGACTTTATGTTGCTTAACTGCAGTGACTGAATGAAGACCAGTGCTTTAACAGTAAATGTAATATATCATCATGTAATAGAATGAACAGTGACAGTTTGTTTCATGCTTAAACACAATCTTCAGACCATGTGTGTTATGGCTCGACTTTTATATGTACTTAATGCTCTATCCCTGATATTCAGCACCTTTAACCCATAAATATAGAAGACCTTAAAACACACACACACACACACATATATATATGAGGCAGCATGATGGAGTAATAGATAATGGTTCAGATTAAGGAATCAGAGAGCCGAGCCTTTACATTCCCTTACGTGCTAATACCCTTGGGAAAGGAATGAATTCTCCTCTTCTCCTCCCAGCTATGGGTAAATAGCAGAACAGACTATAGCCTTGGATGGCAACTGGTCTAGGAGAAGAACAACTCTGAAGTCAAAACCTGCAGAGGATCGTTTGAGGACCTTGAGGTACATGGTACACCAGGTTTCTGTATTTGGCTCTTTGAAAAAAGGATGGCTGGTTCTACACAAGCCTTCACCATTCTAAACAAATCTTCTGTGTGGCTAGTCTACAGTTCTGCATTCAGGATTGTTGTCTCGTGCGAAACATAAAAACTGAACTGAAAGACACTCATACATTGAAAACGATGGGAGAGTCCATTATTTTATATATATATATATATATATACACACACATGCACAAACAGGGCAATGTACGAAATTCAATATATAAAAAGTATATCTAATTATAGAATTGAATGTCCTTTTGAAAGGCTTAATGATTGTTTATTTATTGGCAGTCACACAAACATGAAACTTTAAGTTGCGGAAAAGAAGCAAAATTTAAGCATTAGCTTTTTATATATATTGTATTCTATGTGTATAACACATACACCCAATTATTTTATTAAATAGATAATAAAATTGTCATACCCTGAATACAGTATGTGCATGCTAGTGAGTAATAGGTCTTAACTTGTGATATAGTAATGCTCATACAAGTGGACAGTCTGTTGGATTGCTACATTAGTCCTGATTGCATGGTGAAAGTCAAGGTGTCCAATTCTAGTCTAGAAATCATTGATTTGACATTGTCAGACCAATTTCATCAGCCTACTCATCTGTACTGTCTTAGAGCAACATGAAAGAGGGTTTTGTATCCCAACACCAGGATTGATGGTTTGGTTTGGTTTGTTGTTTTTTAACGCATATCAACTTCGATGGGTCATTTAATGCCAACAAAATTTTCGAAATAGATTCATGGCAATAGATTGGTAAAAAAGGTGTGTATGTATACATATATATTTAAATCATTTTTCAATTGCTCATATTTTTGAGTACAATCCGACTTCTTTTAGGAAATTTACAATCTTGGATGGTTTTATTTTCATAAAAAGTTTTTTAAATTTCTCACTTGGTAGATAATTTTTCCTTCAAAAATTATTGTTGGTAATAATTATTATTTTTTTTTTTTTATTACAAAGTATTTCTGGTATTAAAACCTATTTTTACACAAGTTTGGGTGTTAACTATTTGCCCATAGCTGGGACCCTAACAGGTGCTACCACCCCGGGTCGGGTCAGGGCAGACTTTTGAACACCAGCAATTAAGAGATGATTCGACACTCCTCAAAACCTCCTGATCAGAGGCCTTGCTGTTGGACGTACTTTATCGTCTTACCCAGGACGGAAAAGATGAATGCGGTTCAAGAAGACAAAAGACGGCAGTTGATGCTGCATTTAAATTTTTTAAAGATTGTAGTTATCAGGGAAGCGTAAGGGAGTTCCATAGGTGGGAAGTGTGAGAAAAGAAAGAAGTGGCAGTTGTATTTAACTATTTCAACACTAAAAGGGTGGAACTCTAGAAACCAATCTAGCAGCACCAGGGGAAAATAGCTCATTAGAGCAGTTGGCATGAAAATATTAGTAGAAAAGACAGAGGGAAGCCACATAATGTCTGTGAGAAAGTGACTGCAGTTGAAATGTCAAGTCAGGATTGATTGCATTTAAGACTCTTCTATGGACATTTTCAAGTACAACTGTATATTTCATTGGATAATATCAATTGGTAAGCAACTTGCATTTACTACATTCTTTGTCTCATGTACTTTGTAAGGACATGCAGGTAGAGTAATGGATATTGACAATTCAAATTCCAGGGTAGTCTTATGTTCACATTTGTACAAATGTCCTTCTTCACATAGCTATAGGTGAAATAACAGAGTAGACTGGCCTCTCTAGCCTTGGAGGCAAATAGTCAAGAAAAATGGAGTACACTATTTAAATTATTTGGACTATTGTCCTCATCTTTGTCGCCATATTTATTACAATGTTTCAGCTGTTGTACGCTCCGGCCTTCTTCAGGTGATTGGAATGTCAAACCGATCCCTTTATTTCGGTTACTGGGGTAGACTGTTCTATTCAGGTGATTGGAATGTCAAACCGATCCCTTTATTTCGGTTACTGGGGTAGACTGTTCTATTCAGGTGATTGGAATGTCAAACCGATCCCTTTATTTCGGTTACTGGGGTAGACTGTTCTATTCAGGTGATTGGAATGTCAAACCGATCCCTTTATTTCGGTTACTGGGGTAGACTGTTCTAGGTCCACGTGCCATGTTTAATGGATGTCAGTTATCAGTTATCTTCTGTTAATTCCCCTCCCCAAGTTCTCCACTGCCTCACATTCTTTGGATCCTGTCACTGGATCTAACCAACACCTTCATCCACCTCGCCATGTGTCCTTGAGTACATCTGGGTATTATAAACCTAATGTCTTCAGCAAACTTTTTTTTACCAGAGCTCATATTGCAATTTTTATTGTTATTATTGCCCTTCTCTGGCACACCTTATTATATGGAACCAGTAATAAGGAGTGCCAGAGAAAAGCAATAATAACAACAAAGATACCTCATCTCAGAAAAAATATAGACAAAAATGGAGTAGTTTTCCATTTCTTTAAGAAGTCATGGAAAGATTGGTTTGTTTAATGGCATATCAACTTCTTATGTCATGGAAAGACATGACATTTGAAAAAAAGAAAATATATCAGTACAAACCTGCATCAAAACTTTCCAAATCATACAAGTTGTATCTTTGGATCCTGTAATAAGGTAACTGCCACAGTAATCCAATGCGAGGCATGTTACAATATCTGTAATTAAAGTGAAAATTTATTTATAAACGTTGTCTTGTATTCCTTCTTACTAAAATAAATAAATAAAAATAATAAATATAAATAAAAACAAAATTTTCAAAAAGGATTTTTCTTATTTATAATAATAATGTAAGAAATATCAAAATTATACGAATCAAAGATACTCGTTCATTGTGAAAAGCAAAAATTCATAGTTCGCTTGGTGATGATGAGACATCACCTGTTAGGTTTTCATGATCAGCAATTTGGACAATTCAGTATATTTGGTCACAATGCCTTGCAATATTGTGCTTGCGTAACAGGGAAACATCCCTGTTTTATGAGTAGAAATCTAAAAACATTTTGTAAGGGTTAAAATTTAAATAAACAGAAAATTAGAAAATGGTTTGGCAAATTCAACTCTGGCTTCAGGAGGGAACAAACCCTGGACCAGAAATTGGAAGAAAGAAATGAGAAGTTATGATGGTAGCTGATAAAGTAAGATTAATATTATTTTCAAGTACAAAGCGTCTTTTAGGCCAGAATGGTGTTGCTCTGATGATAGGTGGCACTTGGATACACTTTTTTTTTTTTCATGAACTCCACCTGGGTGGTCACAGTGTATGTTTGAAAACTGGTAAGGGCAAAATTCATTTGAAGCTGAGGACTAGAGAGAAACCAGATGTCCCTTTTCTGTGACAATCGTCTTCAATTTTTATAATTGTCATTATTTTGGAATTCTGGAGAGAAATCCTTCACCAGTAGGAGAGCCAGCTGGTTAATTTATGGGAATATCGAGACAATGAACTGGGACCTATGAGCATTGTAAATTATCATTTTCTGGGGCCTGGCGAGGTAAAGTGAAGTCATTAATCATTGCTATCAGGAAAGATTTCTCCATATAAGCAAGCATGGATTTTGTTTTGCACTCATTTTCTGTAAAGGGAGTAAGTGAGCTAGATTCAATAACATGCCCACATTTCCATGAACACACAGATCCAGTGAATACAGAGAATCGTCCAGTGTCATTTCATAAAAGTTAAATTCTGTAGACTTATTTTTTTTTCCTTCATATTAAATTCTATTTAGTTCATTTATCAAAAACCTTTTCTCTCCATCAAGCCAACTAACAACAACTCAACCGTAACCAGAAATCAGAAAAGTTACCAAGCTCTGTCGAAGATTGATTAGCAACTAGAAGTGAAGGCTTACTATACTCTGTGTGTTTCCTTGTAGAAAATCAATGAAATCAATGACAGAATTTGGGCCCAACTATTGACTATCACCGTCAAATAGACAAGTGGAAAGGTTAATCTCTGTTCAAGTGAAGCAGGACAGAGAAATGTACCAGCCTTGTTGGCACTTGTTCTCAGGTATGACGTAACCAGCTGATACTGATAAATTACAGCAAACCAAGAAGTAGTAATTGAATACTGTGACAAGAAGCACCACCAGCCACTCTGTTATACTAGTATGACTATTAAAAGATGTTCTATCTATCCAGTTTCACTCACAAGGTTTAAGTCAACTCACGGTATAGTTTTCAGGTACTCTCTAAAGGTGCTGCATACAGGGATTGCCTACCTATACTGATAACATGAAGAAGTCAGTTTCCTAACAAATAGACTATGGTGAGATTTGAACCCAGGTCTCATGGTCAAAAAGCAAACACTAACGCTGGGCCATGTATCTATATGCACATAAAAGTAGTAGTATTAACACTGTGTAATGATTGGACAAAAAAAATAGTAAGGGAAAATATGCTGTGTATATTTTTAAAAACTGAACAAGCAATGAGATGCCATACCGATATGTCCAAAAATGTGATTGACTTTTCTTAGTTTGCTCAGATGAAACACTTGCAAGCTGTTGTCCCAGTAGCCACCAATAAATAAGAGTTTTGCATCATGTGAGACAACAAACAATTTTGGATCGATTTTCAACCCTGGATAAAATGTACCATGCAGCCTCTTCTTTGTTCTGGAAAATAAAAAAGAATAAAATAAGAAAACATTAAAAAAAGAACAAAATCTTTTTCCTTTAATTTTATTCTGTAAATTCTTCACATTTGGGCTCTCATTAGCACACAGCCTTTGTCCAACATTCAAATGAAGTATAGTCATAGTTCTTAAGGATTTACATTTTGAACAAGGTATGACCAGTACCGATATTGCTTTAACTTTTTTTATCACTACTTCCTTTTGGACTGTGATTGTCTTCCCTTGATGAGCTCGTCGTTATTTAGCGTCTCTACCTCCTTTTGAACTGGGACCGTCGTCCCTTGATGATCTCGTCGTTATTTAGCGTCTCTACCTCCTTTTGAGCTGGGACCGTCGTCCCTTGATGATGATTAGCGTCTCTACCTCCTTTTGAACTGGGACCGCTGTCCCTTGATGATCTCTGATGTTATTTAGCGTCTCTACCTCCTTTTTGAGCTGGGACCGGCTGTCCCTTGATGATCTAAATGGATTATTTAGCGTCTCTACCTCCTTTTGAAATGTGACTGTCATTCCTTATGTAATTGTCACTACATTTTTGTTAATGTATTCTTAAATTTATTTTTAAGGTCAATAGTTCAGGTGATTGGTTTTCTTTATCTTATTAATTTTATTACATTTGGGCATCAACAGTTCTTGCAGGCAGAGGCAATTCAGTAACCACTCTGTAAAATCTGGCTCCATTTTTTTTTTTTTTAATCATTTCACCTTAAGCAAAGCAATAATGCCACTAACATACAAAGGGGTGACAGAATGAGAAAACTGTAGAAATAACTGGAAACAAGGGATACACCTCTACTCCTGTTCAATAGACAGGGAAGGACTGTGAATTGGGTTACAGGTGAACCTATCTTCTCCAATGTAATGAGTAGATTGACACTTTCAGGCAGGTACTGGGAAAAAATTAACATTTTTAAAATCGGAAAGTACTTTTTTCTTCTTAAAAGCACACGCTCTAGTAAGCATGTTAAGATTTAATTGTATATGTTTTGTTAATGAAACCTTATTTTGTTTTTAGTCTCATTCATCCAAGCTTATTCATGCTCCTGTTATTACAGTGAGATTTTGCTTTAAAGGGAAAAGTGTGGTTACTTTTGCTTCTCCAGAAGTTTCTACACAACCTCCCCATAACATTAAAACAGGAAAACAGTGAAGTGTCAGAAGACCTCATGGTATGATGAAAATGTAACATCTCAGTATTTCTAATGACCAAATCAGTGAATTATTTTTTTTTAAATCTCAATCAACAAAGCAAACATTGTAAAGTACACACCAATATGCAAAAAAATGTACATTCTACTTTTTAACTTTTAATACATCTTTATCATACCATGAAAACATATTCCAGAACAATATAAGCAAAATTTGGTTCGATTGATCTGATGTTGGAGGTTTTAAAGCCCATTTGAGTGGATTTTTAGGTATGCACACTCATAAGCAATTCTGACAGGTTTTAAAGCCCATTTTAGTGGATTTTTGGGTATGCACACTCATAAGCAATTCTGACAGGTTTTAAAGCCCATTTTAGTGGATTTTTGGGTATGCACACTCATAAGCAATTCTGACAGGTTTAAAGCCCATTTTAGTGGATTTTTGGGTATGCACACTCATAAGCAATTCTGACAGGTTTTAAAGCCCATTTTAGTGGATTTTTAGGTATGCACTCTCATAAGCAATTCTGACAGGTTCAACATTTCTTTTTCAAAACTTCATGTATGTCTGCATGCTCTGTTATAGATAGCAAATTGCCCTTTCAGATGTATGGGTTGCACCCCTCCTCACCCCAGAGTCTGTATTATTTGGATAAAGTTTCATTCAAGTTAAATTAATTCAAATAAATCACTGATTTTGTTTAAATTTACATTCTGTTTTTAAAACAAGAATTTACCCTGTACAAGGCTTGAGAGCTATTCAAGGTAGAGGATTTACAAGGCATTATGTGATATTTAATGATAAAGAAATTCAAAATGTTAAAGGACAAATAGTTTTTGCCTTTAGATATGAACAATCAAGAGTGAAACTAACCTTTGCAAGGAGGTTTCCAACCAGCATCCAGTTGGCTGACAAACATAAACTGGGTTGTAACTGAATACAGTCACAGTACTGTTGGATATTTATTGAGCACAATATCCACACCAGAATCATCAGCCAATCAGAACTTGCAGAATAGGATTGCCCCAGTAACAGAATGGAATCTCCCAGGCTGTTATATAAACTACCTACCAATTCGCCCAGGGGTGATAAGCCATGAAAGTGTCTAAGTTTTAATATTAAGACAGATGATGACAGTCCTTTTCCCTACCTTTTTTTTTTTTTTTTTTTTTTTTTTAGGCCTTGTGCCACATTTTCTGTATTTTTTTTTTACAGAAATAAATATTGATAAGCCATGAAAAAAGAAAAAAAAAAATCACTGTTCTAGCAAATGATGGTCTAGCACCTCTCTTAATCTGGACAAAATTACGAGCAGATATTTATTTAATTCAGTTTTATAATTCCCCACCTGTGGCCAAATTCTACAAGATACTTACTTGTTGTTAGCTAAGGACGGATCTCTTTCAAATGTGAAATAATTGGAAATTGACTTGTCATAGCACAGCCATCCATGAATGCCAAGAATTCTGTCTTCGGTGATTGTGATCTGGAGGGAAAAAATAATGGTTATATATGTATAATATGACTTTGGTCCCATAATTGTTGGTACATTGGCATACACATTTCTGATACCAAATGTATCAAATATTATGGGACAGGTATTAACTGAGAATGGACAACTAACTACTATCCCAAAATAGTTGGTACATTTATAAATGCATTTCGTATACCAAATGTACCTACTGTTATGGGACAGAGGTACTAACTGAAAATGGACTCCTACTTCTGTCCTATAATAGTTGGTACATTTATAAATGCATTTCCTATACCAAATGTACCAACTATTATGGGACAGCAGTATTAACTGAGAATGGACAACTAACTACTCCTGTCCCATAATAATTGGTACATTTAGTACAGGAAATGTGCATGCAAATGTATCAACTATGACTGGACAGAGGTGTTAACTAAAAATGGACACCTATTTCTGTCCCATAATAGTTAGGAATATAAGGTTGATATGCCGTTAAACAAAATCAATCAGCCAACTGTTATGGGACAGGTGTTAACTGAAAATGGACACCTACTTCTGTCTGATAGTAGTTGGTACATTTACATAGACATGTACAGAGAAACTAAAACGTCATACTGTTCATTAGAAAGATGGATACATAATATTGAAATCTGGTAAAATCTTTGACTATTCAATGAGGTGGATTTACACTCTGTCTAGAAGAGTTCAGCTACAGTGGAACATAAAGGAAAAAAATGGTAAGGAATTAAAAAGAAAACTCACCATACTGTCTGGCATTCCATGTTGTATTATTGAACGTGTTTGTATCCGAGGAACACTGATATATACAATTGGATCATTTTCATTTGATACCTACAAGGATAATAAAGAAACTTAATATATTAAGTAGTTATGTGTGTGTGATGGTTAATTTTGAAAGCACACAGGATATATATATATATATATATATATAAAAATATGTAGAAAGTCAACCTCCAGAACCAACAATCTGTTTCATGCTAAATGTAATCATCAGGCCACGTACACTGTGTTTTTTCTCAACTATTTATATATACAGGTCAGTGATGCATTATGGGTAGTCTATTGTATTATTCAAATGGTGGGCAGTAACGGTTGTGTTTCGGTTTATTGTAGATGTTATTGAGTGGATATAATTGTGGATCCAAATGCAGTTCTTTGGCTATTTATAGTGTTTGTTAACTTTATTTTTATTGATTATTTTATTGTTGGTTGTTATTACTATGTTTCCTAGTGTTTATCTATGCGTATGTGGTTTGCTAATTTATTTAATATTTACTTAGTTTATTTTTTAAACATATCACTCCAAGCAAGGCAGAATTACCACTAGCACATAAGGGGTTACAGAGAGTAAAAGTAAAGAGGGATGTTTGAGGATAAAAGGATAAAGAGAAGGACGGGGATCAAGATCAAGGCATCAGATGTCGATTGATATTACATTTGAATATTTGAAGATCATAGCTATCAGGGAAGCAAGTAAGAGGAAGGGAGTTCCACTGATGGGAAATGTGAGATAAGAAGCTGTTGGAGTAGAAGAGACAACTACATTTAACTGTTATTTATTTGTTTGGATTAATTTATTTTACTTATTTTTGTTTTATTCTTGTTTGTTTTTAGATTTCAATTTTTAAGCAACATAGTAAAAATTTGTTTTCATGTCTGCATTTTGAGATGAGTTCTGATCATTTATTTAGTAGTTTGTTTTGGTCTGGGAAGGTAATTATAGCTATTTTTTTATGCAGGCAGAATTTACAATTTTTGGATTCATTGCTGTAGGCTGATGCTGTTTTCCTTATGTTCCATGATATTTTTGATGTGATCTCCCTGATCTGTTTAGAAAACCTTGTGCCGTTCAGGTATTTACTATTTGTAAAGGATGTTTGTGTTTAAATGAAACAGGCTGTTGTATTTGGGTGTTGACTTCAATGTCCACTTTTATATTTACATATGTTGTATGTTGAGAACTTGAACCCATAAATATAATATACCTTAAAACTATATATATATATATATATATATAATCTTATATTTATAAGAAATTATACTCATCCGGAAAACACTGGGTACTTTGATATGTAAATAAACAGACCAATACCCAAAGGAAAAAAAGGTACAAAAAAAAAGAAAGAACAGAGAACATGTATCATCTAGCATCCAAGTTCAGAGTCCAAAGAAAAAATCCCCCGATACGAGTAAGTAAAATAATTAAGTGCTTAATATGCTAAGTAAACCAAACCTAATTAAACCTAAAGAGCCAGATAAACCTACCAAGGTTTCACCTACGCGGATCGTCAGGGAATACTGGTCAGGTGAAACCTTGGTAGGTTTATCTGGCTCTTTAGGTTTAATTATTTATATATAGCTGACCACTCATATTCGAGAATACCTGTGTATTGGGGCGGGTAGCCAATCCCTATTGCAGATGCTTCCTCAGGTACATTTATGTTCAACACCGACAGAGCCAACCTGTGGTTTATACTGCAACTAAGCTGAGCAGACCTTAGATACAGTTTCTGGAGGTGAGGGTGTTATCTAGCATGATCAACAATCTTAACAAGGCCAGCAAACTCAAACCCTCGGTCATGATGACTTGTGACTTTGTGCTAGCACAGCTGTCGACGGCCCCCAAGGGTTCTGTCTACCCAATTTCACTCACAAGACTTGGGTCAACCCGGGGTATGGTTTTCAGGCACTTACCAAAAGGTGCTGCATGTTGGGATCACCTCCTCCAGGTCGATAACATCAGGAAGTCTACTTCCTGACAAATCAACAGTGTGGTGAGATTTGAACCCGGGTCTCATGGTCAGAATGCAAAAGTTCTAACCACTGCCTATATATATATATATATATATATATATATATATATATATATAAAAAAAAAATGACTTTCATAGTATAAAATTTTATCAAAACCTTGAACAGTACCAAGGAAAGCATCTTAATACAAAAATAGCATATATCTATGGAAACTTTTGGTCAACCTTTCTTTGGAGACCAATCGCTGGCAATAACAATTTCTTATTTATTAATCCTAATAAGAAGGCTGAAAACATTTAGGGGACTAATCGCATAGGAGAACAAACTGGTACACGATTAAAAGATAAATTGGGTGCTAAATTTGGAGAATTCTTAGAAACTGATATACTTTGTTGTGCAGATTTTTCATTTCTGTATCATAACATTTGTTGCCTGTAACATCAACCATTGCCAATGGTCAACCCTAGCTGAGAGCCGTGATGCCTGGTGTCTCCTTTGAAAATACCTGAAGGGCCACTCTCAGGGACAAAAGGCAGAGGAGGAAGTACTGCAATGCTATGCCATTGAGCCCAGGCCAGATTTTTAGCTGCAATTACTGCGACCGTGTATGCCTGTCCCACATTGGACTTATCAGTCAGAAACGTGCCTGCAAGCGATGTGTACAGACTCCCTCTTGATCTTCGTTTTGCCAAGCCATAGCGATGATGATCATAATTTTGAAATTTTTTAGGACACAATGAGGAAGGAAGGTTTAGAGAACAAAACACCCACTGGCAATGATATATATGGAATGCATACTGCAAAACCAAAGGATTTATGAAGGAGCAAATACTGTGGAGAGCAACAAAAGAGAGGAAGCTGTGGAGAGCCGTGAAAGCGAGAAAGTTGTAGAAAGCAACAAAAGAGAGGAAGCTGTAGATAGTGGTGAAAGAGAGGAAGCTGTGGAGAGCCATGAAAGCAAGAAAGTTGTGGAAAGCAACAAAAGAGAGGAAGCTGTGGAGAGCCGTGAAAGCGAGAAAGTTGTAGAAAGCAACAAAAGAGAGGAAGCTGTAGATAGTGGTGAAAGAGAGGAAGCTGTGGAGAGCAACAAAACAGAGGAAGCTGTAGAGAGCCGTGAAAGAGAAAAATAAGTTTAACTTACTTCTACAAAATATGTTTTCAGTTGATTTATAAAATACAGAATGCTGAGTGGTTTTTCTGACTTACTGGCACGACTGGCAACTTCATCAAAAGTCATTCTCCTTGGATGCAACTCCTGTAAAAAGATGAGAAAAAAAAAATTAGTTCTCTTCCAACTTTGTACATAAAACAAGTTGCTTAACTGATTTTAACTTGAGAATTTACTTAAATAACTATAATCATATTCATTACATATCTTTTTGACTGCCTAAACAAAAACTTCCTTCTAAAGACTGTTTTAATTTTTTTACAATGATTTTTCCATCTTAACTTCAATTGCTTCTTATGCCATTAGTAGCAATATTATCTTGAATTTGTTTTTTCAGATGAATCATTCTCAACACTGTTTACATTGTTCAGACTATTGTCCTTATCTTTGTCACCATATTTATTACAACGTTTTGGCCATTGTATGCTTCGGCTTTCTTCGGGTGTTCTAGTTCCACATGCCATGTTTTAATGGATGTCAGTTATCAGTTATCTCCTGTTAATTCCCCTCTGAAAGTTCTGCACTGCCTTAGCCAGGTATTGAACTCACATTCTTTGGCTACTGTCACTGGATCTAACTAACACCTTTACCCACTGTGCCATGTGTCCTTGACATTCCAACCACCTGAAGAAGGTGAGAGCATACAATGGATGAAACATTGTAATAAATATGGAAACGAAGATGAGGACAATAGTCTGAATAATGTAAATCGTGTAAATAATACCTCATCTCAGAAATATAGACAGATACTGAATCATTGTCAAAATGTTCAATTTTTTATTAACAATTCTTTCATTTTAATTTCACTTGCTTTATTTCCATTAGTAGTAAATGTTTTAATTCTTTGTTCCAAGGTGTTTAGCGCTAAGTAAATACAAACAGCTTGTTTCATTCTCTGCAACTAGCAAATGCAATTAGTCAGTGTTCTATTATTGGTATACTTTCTTTTGGATATTTTAAAAAGAATTTAAACCCAGCCCTGAAATGTTGATTAAAAGAAGGGGAGAGGTGGGTTAATTCTGCTACCCGAATATTTTTTTTTAAAATTTGGTACAGAAGAATTCTGTTCACAGCCTGACATGACTGCATAGGTAGAGTATCAGAAACAATTCAAACAAAAATGAGAGATGAAGATTTCAGCTTTTATTTACCTCTATCCCACAATTACTGTCACATCGGCATACTAAATGTCACAACTATTATGGAACAAGTAGTTTGTTTTTTTTTTTGTTTTGTTTTCAACAACGCCTAAGATTACTATAAAAATAAAATATTATGAGAAGTCCCTGTCAAGGCTGATAATGGGTGTCATGAGATTTTGCATCAAATATTTGGACAGGTCAGGTAGAGGTTTGCCCATCATTGTGGTAGTTGAACAAGGCCAGTACGATGAAACCCTTGGTCATGATGTGGTAGCAATAAGTCACAAGTCAAATTGACATCTTTTGAATAGATTCTTCTATTTTTCCCCTCACAAGGCTTGAGTCAATGCTTGCTATAGTTAGAAGGCATTTTTCCCCCCTATGGTACTGCACACTGGGACCCATCTCTCCGGTGACAAGGGTGTACAGGGATGTGGATTAACCTTTAACACAATGTAACTATGTGTATTGAGCAAAAAGTTTGTTCTACCCCTTGATTTACTAAACAATTGTAGGTTTGAATTTCACAGTTGTGTTGTCTATATCAACAAGGAAATGACTGAAATCAAGAACTAAGCTACTGCAGTTTAGCGGCTGCAATATACAATAGAAATTAAAGTCCTATTAAGGAATAACACAGAGGAATAAAGGTTAACAAAAGATGGAAAATGCGACATCAGAATCTGAACACACATTGGTTTAATGAAAGATGCATTCCCAAAGCTAAACAAAGTATCAAGAAACAGAAAAATTTTGCTAGAAACAGTGCTGAATTGTTATGTAATATTGGTTGTTATATGGCAGTAAATGCTGGACAAACTCTTCACAGATGAAGAGAAAACTGGAAGTAACAGAAATGTGCTTCTACAGGAGGATACTGAGAATTTCATGAGTGGAGTAAGTAAGCAATGAGGAAGCCTTAAAGAAATTGGTAACAAAAATAATAATGACACTCAGTACTATGCTTTTTGACCTTTTAGATAACTTTTATGGAAATTGAGCTAAGTTCACACCTGCTGGTTCAGACTTTATTTGCTTAATTGCTGAAAAGTTTCTGGACTAACACCCACCATTTTTTTGCTAGAGTTGTGTAAGCGATCTGGGATTGCAAAGGAAATGTTTGTCACAAATTATTTCCATGTCACCGAGAATAAATCACTAAGTTCAGACTCGAACATCAGCAACAGAAAGAAAATGCCAAAAACTCGATTCGCAAGTACTATTCCACAAATCACAACGCACGCAACCAGTCAGAAAAGTAACTCACTCGCCAACCAACATGGCAGCCAGAATAGCCGACTTTTTCCTCCCTGATTCGAGAACACCAACTACTTTTATTGGCCGAACATTTTTTTTCCATTCGACAGCTGAGAGAGGATGTTCAGTATTTTGCATATCAAAATACTTTTATAGCGACTCCTGCGACGGACTTGTTTTTTAATTCAAATATTCCATCTTCAGCATGTCATCCGGAAAACGTGCCCTTTTGTTTGGTAAGAAATTTTCTTTTTTACCACATTTACCATCGTAGAATTTCACACGACACATTTTCTTCATTATAAGTTGCAGTTATTGGGCACAGTGATGTAGCTCTAAGTCAACATTTCTCAACATTATTCCTTTTGCGGAACCCTTGAAATAGTTTTCATGCCTTAGGGTACCTCTGCATAAAAATTCCATAAAATGACTCAAAAAAAGCATTAACTTATTTATCACCATTTCTTGTGGAACCCCTAACGACCTCAGTACTAAAAAACAGAAAAAAAAAATCTGTTAGGAACAAAGAGACCTGAGCTGAGCTGAACTGTTATGTAATATCCATCCTCCTATATGACATTGAATGCTGGACAATCTCCACAACAGATTAAGTGAAAACCAGAGGCAACGAAAAGTGGTTCTACAGAAGGATACTGAGAATGTCATGAGTGGGGCAAGTAATCAACAAGGAAGTCTTAAAGAAATTGGTAACAGAAAGGATTCTTAATGTTAACCATGTTCTTTTACCTTTCAGATAACTTTTATGGAGATTGGGCTAAGTTCATATCTTCTGCCAGTTTGGATTTTATTTGCTCGATTCGATTGATGGAAAGGAAGTACTCACTATGGATTAACATCCATCACTTTATTTTTTTTTAGAGTTGTAGTTACTGAGAACAGTGATGTAGCATGAGGTCAGCATTTCTGAACCTTTTTACTCTTGTGGGACTCTCTTGAAATAGTTATCATGCCTCAGGAAACCTCTGCATGAAATTTAATAAAAATGCCATATAGGCTGTTCTGTTTCCACTGCACAAAACATGTTTTACTCCCCCTTTGTCTTTTTTTTTTTTTTTTACTTCAGTTACTTCTTAGATTACTCACCATTTTTGCCCATTTCCTGTCTATCACTGGCACAACAAAGTGTGGGCACAAGCATGCAGTTCATATTTTTCTCATTCTCCTAAATGTTACTCCCTCCAATGATAGCATTGCCATTTTACCCTTTTGGCTTTTAATAAATATGCTGATGAACAGGACTTCATCTTCAGAATCTTAATTGCCATAAGGCATTTATCTGGTTGTCTTGAGGTACGCACACATGAGACCGAAGAGCTTTGAAGATTGGCCTAGAAGGTAACCTCATGGCCACCAAGTGCAGAATGTAGTTATGTCCAGAATTGCCTTTTAATACATATGTTGATGAACAGGACTATCTTCAGAGACTTAATTGCCATATGTCAACAAGGAAATGAGTGACTGGAATCAAGAACTAAGCTACTGCAGTTTAGAGGTTGCTATATACAGTGAAAATTGAAGTCATATTAATGAATAATGCAGAGTACTAAAGATGGAAAATGCGATATCAAAATCTGAATGCACATTGGTTTAGTGAAAGATGCCTTCCAAAAGCTAAGCAAAGTACTAAGAAACAGAAAATATTATCAGAAACAAAGAGTGCTAAATTGTTATGTAACATAAATTTTGTTATATAGCAGTAAATATCTGACTGTCTTGAGGTATGCACATGCATGAGACTTAGGAGCTTTAAGGATTGGCCTAGAAGGTAACCTCATAGTCACCAAGTACAGAATGTAGTTATGTCCAGAGTAGAAAATTCAAAGTGGACTTTGCATAAAGATAAAAAGAACTTTAGAAAATAAATATCTTGTTGAAAATGTTGTTTGTACACAAATTGTTGAGAGGTCAAAGAACTTTTATTAAAAATTTACTTTTCTCAGACTGTTGAAAACATTTGATAAATCTTCTATCAGATTTAGCTGCACTTGTATCATCAATTTGATTTTCACTAGGTCCTCCAGAATTATGGCCTTATGCCAGCATACAATAAGCTAGGTAAACATTAAGAACAAGAGTTGAATATTCACCCCCACTCACTTCCTGTGCTGTAAATCTCTGGTTAACAAGCTAGTCTTGCAAACAATTTGGTTGTGTATTGTATCAGATTTGTGGTGAGTACTTCGACGTGGCGTAATGATTACCGAGCTTGTTTTGCTAGATCAATTGCGACTGAGTAGTGAGTTTGATCCTTACTGGGTGCTCACACTTTCAGCCTTGTGTCACATCTAAGTTATGCTTAGAAAACAACCTTTGGGCATCCTGACATGGTGTAATGGTTAGCAAGTTTGTTTTGCTAGAACAATTATGACTGAGTAGTGAGTTCAATCCTCACTGGGTGCCTCATACTTTTGACCTTGTGCCACATCAAAGCTGTACTTAGAAAATAACCATATTCCACAATTGTAATCTTGTCCCTAAGTCAAGCTTTTTCAGTTTGCAAGTTGGGATACTCATTGTTTGGGTATTGGTTCTGTTATCACAGTACAAATCCTGTATTGTTTTACCCCCACTTTGTTTGTCCCATTTTTAGGTACTTTCTAGATTAGTGACCGTTTTTAATCACTTCCTTTCTAGCCCTTAGTCATCACAGACTCTCAGGCACATTGTTAGTACCATGTAGCCAGACTGTCTTGCATATTGTTATTATGAAGTAGTAAGTTCAGTCCTCAACGGGTGCAGCATTGAACTACATGTGTACAAAGTCCAAAACAAAATTATCTTCTGTCCATAATGCCATTTTTTGAAAATAATAAAAATGTCAACAGACTGACCTTAAGAAGTTGGCATGGCGTCTGACCAAAATTGTTAATCATTCCTTCCAATGCTTTACGCTCAGTTGGATCTTTGACTGCATCCAAATCCACAGCACCTGAGAAAATAGAAAATGAAATAAATATTAAGGCAATTAAGGTGAGGCTGAAAAGTTCATGGCCTGACCAAATGACAAAGCATGAAATTGTTTTTTTGTTTTTATCCTATTCTTGGTTATGCTGAGAACTTTTCAACAGCCCCATTCGTAGTATGAACAAACTAACATGTTAAATGCCAAAAAAACAAAACAAACCATAACATTATAAAACATTAATTATATTGAAGTAATAAGCTAAAAAAACTTAAAGAGGAGATGGGTGCCGGTAAGTAAACCTCACCATCCAACAAATGGTATAAAGAGAATGGAATAGTATCTTGACACCATACATATATATATATATATATATATATATATATATATATATATATTTTAAGACATTTTTATGTTTATGCATTCTTTTTATAGATACAAATATTTAAGTAAATGCTCCGTTTATAATAAACAGTATTAAACAACATTTACTGGCCTCAATGTACGAGAAATTTTCACAGAATATATAAACATCCGACAATTATTTTAAGACATTTTTATGTTTCAATATGAAAATAATTTTTACAAAAATCAGATTGTAATAAGCTTTACAACATAGGGTTAGTAAATATAATTTTACTTAATAACAATATTTCCTAAGAGTTATCACATTGAAACTGAATTTTAAAAGATTTAAAATCTTTTTACAATTTTAAATAATTTATAAAGTGAAAACAAATCTTGTAAAAATTCATTTTTCATCAGACAATATTGTCTTTAATATATTATTCATAAAAGCTTCTGTATTTAAATAATATTTTAGTTTTATTGTATTTTTTATTTTTTGATTCAGAACAGATTTTCGCTAAAATAAGGTCTGATTTTGCAAAAGAAATTCAATAATTTAAATTCTTCAAAAAATTATACTTTTAACTAATATAGTCACTAAAAATTATCACATTGAATTTCTCAAGTTTTTCATAGAATTAAGGGGGAAAAAATATTTGTAACCATGATTTAATATAAAAATTAAAAAAATAATTTCATGCATTTGTGAATAAGTACTGAAAATTTCATTAAAATCCAACAATTATGTGATTTTTGCAAGAATTTCTAAATTAATGTGTGTCAAAACAAAAAGAAGCTAAAATTTGCCAAAAGTTAGTACAACTGCTGACACAAGAAAAATAAGTCTTTAATCAAAATTTCGAATGTTCTAAAAAGGTGTAAAAAGTTTCATTAAAAATTCAAAAAATACTTTGATCTTTCCTCTTAATAAAAACAAAGATTTTGCCGATAAAACTTTGCTTTTATTATGCTATGCTGGATTTTTAGTGATTTTGTGAAGGTACCTATTTTTAATATAAAAACACATTGCAAATGATTTTTTTAATATGAAAATGCAAATGATTTTTCCTATAAAAATGCACTTCAAATGACTTCCAATATAAAAATACATGAAAATAATTTTTACAAAAATCCTTTGCAATGCACTTTTATAGTAATTATCATTTGCATTATATATTTTTTTTACTATAAACATTTAAAGCAATGGTTACAAATATGATTGCCAGAACTTCATTATCTGTAAACATTTTTATACTCACTAGGTGCCTCACACTTGTGTTTTTTGCCGAAAAATTAACTTTATTAAATATCATGAAGCAAATGTTGCTGTGGAGCAATTATTTGCAATCCTGTATTGCAGAACAATAGAAACAGTATCTCATTTAATCCTCACTGGGTGTTCTACTCTTGTGGCCTTGTGCCAAACGGAGCTAAGTAGATATCAATACCAGCAAAGAAGACACCTACCTTCATATGTACAATAGTAGAATACATTGAGAGCCTCGATAGCAGGTGGTCCCTTCTGTTTGTAGCCGAAAATTAAGTCAATCCAATGATGCAGATTGCAAGATACAAAATCGGATTCCTGCAAAAATAAATGAAAGAATTCAAAAATACACGAAACATAAAATGTGTTACTACTACATCTAAAACAATAAAAGACTTAGTCTAAATAAAACTAAATTTAGACTTACTAAGCAAAACAATAACCTAAAACTTGGAAGAATTTATTTGAACGCCTGTAATAATTGTCACAAAAAATACCTAGGAGAAACCTCAAGGAATCTAAATAAAAGATTATATGAACAGAAAAGGGACATTTTACAAAACAATACATCAAATGCATTAGTTGCTCACCATGATGAGAATGATCACAAAAATGTTACTTTGATCAAAGGAGAAAATAATTCACTAAGACAATAACTTTTTAGAAAATGCCATAATCACAAGGTCATCTACAATAAATTTGGGCCCTGGTTCTTACAACATTTCATCCTTCCTGGCAGATCTGTTATCAAAAAGTGTGGATATCCAATAAAAAAAGTGATGGAAAGGAAAAGAATCTAAATGAAATCTGCTCGGTTATATATAAAAAAAGAAGCAGAACCCAGTCATGGCTGTGAGACAATTTCTGCAACCACATCACCCCTTATGTATAGCCACCTAACTCCTCAGACTGCAACCTCCTTGATTATTGTGTGTGGAGCACAGTTGAACCAGCAAAACTCCTTGTAATACCAAAAATGAACTGAAGGCAAGGATTATGGCAGCATTCACCAACTCCAACAAGGGAACAGTCCAGAAGGATTGCAGGAGATTCCAAAGTCTGGAGGCCATGCCATGGTTGAAGTCAATGGCAGTTTTATTGAATAAATTTACCCTTTAGTATTTCAAGACTTTTTTGTGTAATTTTGTTAAATAAATCTGTGGTAAAATGAAATGTTAGTGTTATTTTAATTTTTCTGTAATTTAAATGATAATTTATCATTATATATATATATATATATATATATATATATATATATATATATATACAAGCTAGTCTGAATCGTCTTCAAGAAGCAAGAGCAAGATCTAAAAAGGTCAGCTAATCTAACAGTGATCTCATCCCACAATCCTCCTCTTGCTCCATATGCAGCCTCCATTGTAAATTACCAGCAGGTCTTAAGTGCCACTTAAGATTATCACACAAAATTTTAACTGAATCAACTGAATCATATATCCTCATGTTGAAACCAACAAGAGAGTCCATTATCATATATATATATATATATATATATATATATAAAATGTGTGTGTGTGTCTGTAATGTACATGCTAAAGGGTTATGTTCTCACTTGTTAAGCATTGCCAAAAAATCTACCCATTTTTACATCTGTCTGCAAAAAGAAATTGTGTCAAAACGACAGTCCTTTGACATTGCTATTACAGACTCTCAACAATGTTTATTGTTTTTAAAAACAATGATTAGAATTTAAATAAAAATGAAATATACAAAAGTAGATTTATACATTTTCATTATTCTTGAGAATTGACAACAAAGATGTTAAACACTATTTATTTATTAGATTGAATATAAAACTTGTTTTCATAGTTATTTATAAAATGGTGAATAATAAATACTGCTTTATAGTTGGTTTACATATTTTGATAATTTCAGCAGTTTTTACCAATTTTTGGATAAAAAGATTTTTTCCAATTTATTTATTTGTTTATAAAATAAATAATAAATCTTTATAAAAGTTAAATAATAAACATCACATTCTACTTTGTTCACGTATTATAAAACTTGTAAATAAACATTGCTGATTTTCATAGTTATTTACAAAATCGTAAATATTGCATTGTACTTGGAAAATTATCAAAATAGGTAAACCAAGTTTTTATAGATTTTTGAATAAAAGATTTCTTCAAATTCATTTATTTGTAAAAGGTAAATAATAAATATTGCATTTTACTTTGTTTACATACTTTTATAATCAAATAAACATTGCCAAGGAAATCAAAAGTGTATACACTAATAGTGGCATCAAGGGAATAACCATCCTTTTGAGACAATTTTTTAGCTGGTATGAAAGCTATACATAATTTAAAAAAAAATTAAAAATATTTGGCTAATATTTTTTTTTTTTTAAATATTGCTATTACCATATGTTTTCTGACTTAATAGTCCAAATGTTAACAGTGTAATTAATATTTTAATACATTTTTTATATACCTGTTAATATAGTTAAATTTATTTTAATATTTTTGGACAATATACCTGAAATATAGTAAATTTCAGATGAAAAAAAAATAACAATAATGGGAATTTAAGTTTTATATTACTATTGACATGGAAAAAAAAAAAAATAATCTTTGTTTATAAAGGTTTTTTTAATTTATAAAAAGGCTTAAACAGAAGCATTTCATTTATGTTTGAAAAATTTGGATTATTTAATGTAACTATAAAAACAAAATTTTTTTTCAATTTTCATTTTGCCTTTGAAAAAGTATTAAAATATGATTGAAATGTTTTATATATACCTAAAAGTGTAAGTTTTTTTTTCCAATTGTCATTTGATACCATACCTGTTAATGTATTAAATAATATTTTAATACATTTTTTATATATACCTATTAACAGTGTAAATAATATTTTAATGCATTTTTTATATACCAGATGAGCATTAATTCCGATTATTTTACTGATAATATACACAGAAAAAACTGAAATACGATATGTGATTACAGATCATTTTAAAATACAAATGATGACTTAAGACAATTATTATTACTTCAAACTAACACCTGCAATCATGTGTGGGTCATGAAAAGGTTAAGAAAATTTACAGCAGCAGAGATATACCAGGATATTTTTCTACCTCTGAATGTGTAAGTATAAAGTAAATAAAAGTTTTTTTTTTTTGTATCTGTCTATATTTCTGAGATAAGGTATTATGTACATTATTCAGACTATTCTCCTCATCTTTCTCGCATATTTATTACAACGTTTCAAGGGCACATGGCACAGAGGATAAAGGCGTTAGTTAGATCTAGTGACAGGATCCAAAGAGTGTGAGTTCAATACCCGGTTAAGGCAGTGGAGAACTTTTTGAGGGGAATTAACAGGAGATAACTGACATCCATTAAACATGGCATGTGGAACTAGAACAGTCTACCCCAGTGAGCGAAATAAAGGGTTCAGTTGACATTCCAACCACCTAAAGAAATTTTTTCGGATTTGTACAACGGCGAAACGTTGTAATAAATATGGCGACAAAGATGAGGACAATAGTCCGAATAATGTAAGTAAAATGTTAATGAATGGACATACCAGAGCTTTTTTGTGCATGTATATAAATTCTTCAGCTGTTTTGGCCCACTTTGGTAGGACAATATGATGGACACTTTCTTTGCTGTTTTGGAGGGTACCTAAATCAAAATCTGAAAGAAAAAAAAAAATAATCAATTCAGTAACATATTTGAATTTCAGTAGATTTGGTTGATAATTGCAATAAATATTCTTTTGTTTTCTTCAGCTCTTTTGAGATGAGTTTGCCACTCCAAGAATTGTTTGGATGACAGGAAGCAACCAAAAGAACATGATCAAAGAAAAGAGTGCTTAGCTGCTATGTAATACCAATCCTCCTACGTGGCATTGGATGCTGGACAATTTCTTTTCAGATGAAGAGGATAAATTGAAGTAACAGAGATGTAGTTCAACAGAAGAATGCTGAGAATATCATGGGCAAAGAATGTGGACAATGAGGAAGTCGTAAGGAAAATGAAAAAAAAAAGGACAATAGAAAAGTTTGGTTTGTTTAACGGCGTATCAACTCCTTATGGGTCATTTAATGTCAAAATTTAATTTTTTTGGGAGCTTTGGTAATTTTTTTACAAGATATTTTTTATTTTACTATTTAAATCTGTCTGTATCTCTGAGATGAGGTATTATGATTACTTGCATTATATACATTATTCAGAGTGTTATCCTCATCTTCATTGCCATATTCACAACGTTTCAGTTGCTGTACACTCTGGCCTTTTTCAGGTGATTATTTTGTCCACCAGGGTAGATTGTTCTAGTTCCACATTCTATTGCTAGAATTATTTCTTTTACCATTAAAATTTATTGTTAGAATTATTTTTTTACAATTAAAATTTATTGCTGGAAATTTTTACTATAAAAATGTATTTTTATACAGTGGAACCTCAATTTAACAGACTAATCGGTGGGTGGGGGGCAAACATCCATTAAAGCCATCTGTCAGTTAATTTGAAGTACTTCTTTTTGTGGCCTAAAAGCACCAAGTACAGTATAAAGTTATTGTAAATAAATGTAAATACAATATATATATATATATATATATATATGTGTGTGTGTGTATATTTTATTTTTAAGTTACTATATACCTTTAAATAAAGTTTTAAAGTTAAATCTGGAGTTTGTTGGTTCTGGGGCCATTAATTCGAGGTTTTACTGTACTTTCATAGTTTTCTGACTCCCAACAATAGAAAAAGATGCTTTTCAAAAGCTAAACAAAGTATTAAGAAATAGGAAAATTTAATTAGAAATGAAGAAAAGAATGCTGAATTGCTGTGTCCTGAAGAGACATGACATGCAGAAGTTGTTATCATAAATTGACTGATTTATTCTAGGGCATTCTTCAATTGATTAACATAAATTTCTATAAGGATTATAGTAAATAATCCTTATAGAGTATCCTGGTTAAGACGATAAACTATGTACAACAACAAGGCCTCTGATCAGGAGGTTTTGAGGAGCATGGAATCACCTCTTAATTGCTGGTGTTCCCAGGTTCACCCTGACCTGGGGTGGTAGCATCCTTCTCTTGGTTAAAATAATCCCAGCTATGGGTAAATAGTTAACACCCAAACTGGGGTCAGAACACTATTAAAGTATAAAAATAGGTTTTAATACCAGCAATACTTTTTGGAAAAAAATATTACCAGCAATAAAGATCTTGTCGGCATTAAATAACCCATTGAGGTGTTGATATGCCATAAAGCAAAACAAACTAATCAGTATAGAAATATATGTTATATTAAAAAATCCTTATAGAATTTATGTTATATTAAATAATCCTTATTGAATTTATGTTATATTAAATAATCCTTATAGAAATATATTATATCAAAATCCTTATAGAAAGAGTTTTTGTTTTCTCTTTAGTATAAAATAGAAAAAGTTTCAATGAACAGAAAATAAAAATAAAATGTCATATCAATATGAACAACATAATAAGATGTATGCATTTTTGGTAGAGTATATTGTAATGGCTTAAGAGAAAAAAAAAATCTGATTATTTGTTTATTTTTTTCAAGTTAAACATGTCTACAAGTTTTTTTTGGAAAATATATTAATGCTTTTTGTCCTATTGAAGATCTGTGAATGTATATAAAATCCATGTATATAATTTAGTGAGCATTTTTATCAAAATTTTTGAGATGAGGAAATATCTTTATATGTATCTTTCATATATTATATATCTTTATATGCTTTGCTACTCAGACCAGCATCCTCCTCTTGGTTAAAATAATCCCAACATTTTAGCCACTATACCCTCCAGTCATCTTCAGCTGTCTGTCTGTCAGTAGCTTTCTTAGAATTTCAAACAGCATCCTTTATTCAATCAAAAGGGAAGATTGTTCTTATTCACCTTTCAATGTTTCAGGGGTAGATGACTACCAATATGAAATATCTCCCTAGGTTTTTTTCTTTTATGTACTGTGACCTTTCAGGATGGAGACGATGATGGCCCTCCACATCTTCCTCTCCCTTATAGCTCTTAAGTTTTGTTTTTTTATTATTTCTCTCAAAACCTGTTCTATTATCCATTTGCTCAAGCTCATCAAGTATGTTACATGCTGCTTTCCTGTGTCCCTCAATCTGTCCTGTGAGTATCAGATTTTCCAAGCCCTCCTTCCTCATTACATGCCTCTGAAATTTCAACTGCCTCTTCCTGATGTTAAGTATTAGTTTCCTTTTCGTTTTCCATTTCCTCCAAAACCTTGCTGTTGTTCACATGTTCGGTCCATGCCATCCACAGCATCTTTCTGTAGAACCATATTTCTGTTGCTTCAAGTCTCTTCTTCAACTTTGAAGAGATTGTCTAACATTCATTACCATACAAGGGGACAGATACCATGTAACAGTTCAGTACTTTTTTTCTTTTTAGAAAAACCTAATTGGAACAAGTGTTTATTGAGTAATAGGTTCAGTTTGAAATTCCAAGATACTGAGTGGGAAGAGAGACACCTAAATGATGTCTTGAGGATACAACGGCTGAAATGTTTTGAATATAACATTTACAAGCAAGAGACTGATGGTATAAATAGCAAACCGTGTAACAAATTACCGAGCATATTTGTTATCAGTAAATGTTAAAAAACAATGACAGATGAAAAAGATCTGCTTCAAGAGTTTCAAACTTTCAAAGAAATCTCCAAAAATTCTACTTACTATTACTATTATACAAGAATTCAGGTAAATAGAAGAACTCGGGAATCAATTCTTTGACATCATTTGGATTTTCATAAACAGACTGCCAGGAAGCAGGAATTGAATGGAACTGCCGATCAGCAACATCAAACCTGAATAAAGAAAAAAGAATCTGTTTGAAAATAGGCCCCAAACAAAAAGTGCTGGCATTCTAAGAAGAATCAACATCATTATTCTGAGAGGAATCACTACAATCAATACCATTATTCTAAGAGGAACCAATATGAGCAATACCATTATTTCACAATTGGAACCAATATCAATGCTCTTTTAGTTATGTGTTTTGTCTTTTTCTATTGAATAATTCATCATGTACTCCTTGAATGATGACATCCAGATTTGTGTATATGAGTAGACAATGAGGTCAACACTAAGTGGCAACTGTTCATTTCATGCAATCTTCAGGCCTGAAGATTGTGTTCAAGCATGAAACAGTCTGTCGCTACTCAGTGTCTATGCATATATTTACACACAGTCTATCCCTCTGATATTGTGCACTTTTACCCATAAATATACCATATCTTAAAACTATTTTCACAGTATTGAATCATCCTCATTTCCTGTGTATTCAAATTGTAAGGAAGTTCTATTCAGGTAGCAATTTCACTAGAACTACCACTTTGTGGAACAGGTTCCCATGTGGGTGCTTCCTTAAACACTTCAGTCTTGATCTTTTCAAGAGATCATTGTTCTTCCTTTTCCTCAATCTTCAATTCTTACCACCTTCTACCATTCATATCACACACCATTCATGATTACCATTTTAACAGTAACCATCCACTTTGAGTGGCTCTTGAGCCTTGTAATAGAATAAATGTTGTGTTAGAAAAAAAAACTTTGGGATAGGTGTCAGGTTTTATTATGTAAATAAACAAGTTCTCAGTATTTTTAACAGTAGCCATCTACTTTGAGTGGCTATCGAGCCTTTAAGAGATTAAATGTTGTGTTAAAATATTTTTCTTTCCAAGTTGAAACTCACATGATATATTGCATATATAAACATATCCTAAAATCTGACATTGCGTAAACTTTGATCTCTTCACTCACCTGCCACTTTGCAATTGAATGTGCAAAGTTGTAAAAGGCTCCATCCTGATCATAAAATGTTGAACCCCGGCCGCATTGGAATAATGAGTCCCATAATGGAACTTTTCCACGGTGCCGCTGGGATCTTCAAACAAATCAAATCTGAAAGACAAAAAGAAAGCAGAAAATGATGGGTCAGCTGAGATTGGCGCAAGGCAGGCAAATTGTGTTTTACCAACCATCCAAGGTGGTCTGCATCGATAATGCTCTGATGAAAAACTCAGGTGCAATACATGAAATATGTTGCAATTTACATGGTATTTGTTTGGATGAACTCTTCGCTATAGTACGAAAACTTTTTGAATTTAAACACAGTACTAAACTGGTATCGAGATCTCAATTTACAATTGTTTTCTCACACTTCTTGCTTGTGGAACTCCCTTCCAGCTCCTTGTTTTCCAGCCATCTTAAATATGCTAAAATTTAAATGCAATGTCAGTTGCTATCTACTGTACTCCCGATTACTCTTTTCTCTTTCCACTCATTATTAATGATTCTGTTTCTAATTGTTCTGCACCCAGTGACTCCTTGTGTCTTAGTGGCTTTAGTGCCTTGCATGGGGTGATACCAATTTATAAAAAAAAATTTATACAGTTAAGAGCTGTGTGAGTAGCATAATTTTTCACAGAAATTCCCTTTCAAAACACATGAATCTGTCTCTTCGTTTTTGTTGTTTTTTAATCATTTCACCCCAAGCAAGACAATAAAGACGCTAAGATGCACAGGGTTACTAAGAAAGAAAATAAGAACTCTTCAGGAGAAAGAATCAGAAACCCAATCCTAGAAGGAAACAAGAAATAAATGTTTACTCTTGTTCAACAGATGGAGGAGGAGAGTGAACCAGGTGATAGGCAAACATATTTACTCCTAAGTTAAATAAATTAGACTGGGCTCTGTTTTAAGAGGCAACCAGTCAAAGAGAAGGAAAAACCCTGAGTAACAAAAAATGGGGAAGGCAACAGGAAACCACTTTGCCAAAAATGTATAGCAATTTATAGGTAATAAAGAGAGGGAATTTGTGGAATAGTGTGATTACCTACATCACCAAGGGACAAGGAATTAAACTATATATAATGGACTCTCTCATTGGTTTCGACGTATGAGGATCTGACAGCTTATTGATTCAGTTGTGAAAGTTTGTGCGATAATCTTAAGTGGCATTTAAAACCCGCTAGTGATTTACAAAGGAGGCCACATGTAGAGCAAGTGTGAGGATTGTGAGATGAGATCACTTTTAGATTGGCTGACCCTTTAGATCTTGCTCTCACTTCTTGAAGATGATTCAGACAAGCAGATTGAAAATTGCTGAGTTCACTAAAACATGTTGATTGGCATTCTACCCACTCCAAGGCTAAGCGCTCAAGGGTGTTATGTGGTATATCGACTGCTGACATACACATATATATATATATATATAATTTTAAAGAGAAGAGAGAAGCCACATTGGGACTTAAATTCAGACATACTATATGGCCAAAAAAAAAAAATCCTGCTAAATTTTCATCTACAAAGCCACGTGAAAAAGTATATCATCACCTGTCTTATTTGTATGCATCATTCTTAATCATTTTATTTACCTATTCCTTTTCAATGATATACTTTCTCACAGGGCTTCGTAGATGAAATTTAAGCAGAAGTGACTTTTTTTTCTTTTTTTTGGCCATATAGTATACAAAAGGAATTTAAACCAACACCTTTTCAACGATATTCTTTTTCAGTCAAATATCTTCGTAGATGAAAATTAATCAGAAGTTACATTTTTTTTTTTTTGTCCATACAGTATGTTTAATTTCAATATTAGTTTTTCGAGGGAGTTGGGTGGGGGAGACAGTGCTAATATAGCCATGTACCAGCATTAACTTTGCAAGGAAGACGAACTCTCCATGTCTGTAAGCCAGGAATAAAAATATAACAGTCAATACTTGCAGGAGTCAGAAAAAATTCAAAAAACTAATATTCAAACAAAGTTTTCAAAAAAAAAAAAAAAAAAAAAAAAAATGGTGGGGGACTAAATTCACTTCAATTAAAAAAATTTTTGAAAAAAAAGAATTAATAAAGAGTAAAGGCTAATAAAAAGGAATAGGTAAATAAAATGATTAAGAATGAAATTCAAAGAGACTTCAAGTGGAACTTGTACATACGATCTATCACGAAAGATGTTGGAAAAATGGTCAGTTCCATGTCTCGTTTCTACTATCCTTTACCTTCACAAGAGTCAGCTCAGGTTGAAATGGGAATACAGTCACTATATAGGGGCAGGAGCTGCCACAGTCTGAATAGAGTCCAAAAACCTCTCCATGTCCTTGTGGGTGATGAATTATTTTCCACTCTACAATCCCTTTCCCACAGACAAAACATTGCCAATCTTTTGCTGTTTTATCACCATTTCTATGGAAAGTGTTCAGATAAACTACATTCTTTGGTACCACCAGTTCTAACTTTCAAGGCTAAGACCCACCATGCCACACCCATTATAACCAACCACCCTCATTCCCTTCATATTCCAGTGACATGAAAGTTCCTCTTGAGCAGTTTCTTCCCATGAAACTCCTTTGTGGAACTGACTCCAAGAGGATGAGGGTCCAGCAGTTTAGTTCTTAGAACCAAACAGCCAGACAACCTGCACATATGATTTGATTATAATGCTGAAAATTTGTGCAGAACCAGTCACACTTTTGGAGAACAGCTGAATCCAGAGAACTGGGGCACATGGTATGCTACAATATTCCCAAATGACTCTCCTCAGGTTTTGAGTTCAGAGTTATCCTTCTCCTAGACTGGTTGACAGTCAAGGCTATAAAATGCAGTCTGTCCTGCTACTTACCCATAGCTGGAGGGGAGAGGAGATGGAGCCATACATTTTTCTAAGAGTATTTGTACATAAGTGAATGTAATGACCTCAACTGGAATTTGAACTCGGCTTTCCAATCTGAGCTGCGATCCATTACCCACACATCATATAGGGTGTGGTAGAAGCAATACCCTTTTTCATTTATTAGTTTTTATTGAACAAAAATAAATTACAATAGTTTAAGAAAATTTATAAATATTACCACATCAAAAATAAGATTTGTTATGATCAAAAAAACTATTCAACATGTTCAAAATGCCCCTTCATGTTTAATACCACACAGAAAGCCATCAGCAATACTTTTATATACCATTTCACATATTACTACATTAATTTCAGAAAACTGATCGGAAATTTTTTGTTTTAATTCAGGAATTGCTTTCGATGTGAGCTTATAAATGATTTTTCAGTACCAACCCCACAAGAAAAAGTCTATTGGGGTAAGGTCTGGTGATCATGATGGCCACTCAATTGGTCCATGTCATCCTATCTACCTTAGGTCAAAAAAGAAAAAAAGGTGGGAAGGGGGGGGCAGCACTTTTACAACACTCAAAATATATATATATATATTATAGTGAAAAAAAAAAAAGAACTGTAAGATATATAATCCGGTGTTCTTAATATCTTTACAAAACAGTGCTCACTGTAAATTTACAGAACATAAATGCTATAAATTAGATATGTATTTGAAATGTGTGTGTGTGTGTCACATTTCAAAAACCGAAGCTAAATTTACCCGGTTTTTTGAAAATATGGAAATCCTGTGTTATGAAGGAACCATATTTTTAAATCTTTCAATTTATATATATGAGAGAGAGAGAGAGAGAGAGAGAGGCTAAGTTTTAATGCAAAAGTTAAAATCAATAAAAAAAGGTTGAATTTAAAGCTGTAATATTTTGTGATTGCTTTAAAGCTCTTGACCCATAAATTTCTGCTTTGAGACAAATTCATATAGGTTTTAAATGGCGTTCAATTGAGTTTTAATAAAATAATGAATTAAAAAGTAATCACTGACTTCTCTCGAACCTCCATTTCATGCTTCGGATTGACAGTACCAATTGGTTTGGACAGATCACGATAAATCTCCTTATTTTCAAGGTCCAACTTTTCTGATTCATAATCACATAGGATCCAGGGAAACTGAAAAGAAAAATAAATTGAATCATAATCTAGTAATTTGTTCACCATTATTACGAGATGACTGAAATGCTACTCCTTAGATTAGAAATTTCTCCCCTAGGAGCACTAAGTGCATTTTGTTTAAGAATTACTGTCCAAGAATATGCTTTTTAAGTTTTGCCTTTTGAGGATGCAATATAAATAGAAAATTTCAGCTTTTGCCACAAAGAATACACAAACTTTTGTGACGTACAGTGGCCATTAATGATTAAGTATAACTCAAGACTTCAATGTTAAGATAAAACATTTAATTACAACTGCAAATAAATACTTAAGAAAAAAAATTTTAAAACCTAATATTTGTTGAATTTAACAAATTGAACTGAAATTTTGACAACTGGTAGTCGTTATCATCCATAATGTCATACTAAAATTTGAATCAAAACCCAAAGGATAGAAAAATAATTCATACTAATTCATTTATTTATTTTCAAAATAATCACACCAAAAGTAAGGGACAAAATTTAGAAAAACAATGGTAAAGCAAAAAATATATATTCATCCAGAGTGCAATCAAACCTCTGTGTTGGTAGCCCTTTTTAAATTTTCTTCATATCACAAACACATAAAAAAAATTAGTAAGTTGCTTCATTGAAATTTTATATAACTGTCACATGAAATTCTGAATGGAAACTTTTATTTATGGGGTTAGATTCTTCCAGGCCCATAGCAGCCTTTCCTTGGCTCTCCCCAAAATTTTTACCAATTGTAGTATATTTACAGGGTTTTATTTTAACAAAATACAATAAAAGAAGAAAACTATCAAAGCAATGATGTACTGAAAAATTTTAAATGCTCTTGCCTCTAACCATGTTGGTGGACTTTGATAAGTTAAGACTAAATTCTACCCCCACCCCAAACATTTATCTCCATTGTTGCCCTGTTTCTCATTATACTGGTTATGTCTAGGAATATCTCATCAATTTCTTAGTTTTAGTACTGCTCAGTTATTGCTTGCCTAGTTCCCATGTGTCCAAGTACACACAATTGTGAGTTCAATCCGTCTTTCCATTGAGTGTTTTTTCATCATTTCCAATGGTTTTAGGGTTGCAATAACTGAAGAACACTAAATAAGAACGAGATGAGATTTCTCCTGGGATACCTGTTTGCAAACTAATCTCTTCTTATTCTTCGAACTAACAAGTGGTTTCTTCCCTGGGGTTCGATTAAACAGCCCTATTTCTTGCAGTCGTCTACAAACAGTCTGTCTTGACACATTAACACATGAGGTACTATTCATAACCCTTTTAATTTCTGTGCAAGACTTAAAACGGTCCTTTAATGACATACGCTGCATTATGCAAGATCTTCTCTTGCCGAAGTTTTACTTGGGGTCTGCCGGTTTTAAAAGCACTAACTATTTTGCCAGTATCATTGTAGGATTTAACAACCCTGCCTACAACACTCTTGGAACGTTTCACTTTCTCTGAAATCTCTCTAATGGTGTGCTTTTCCTTGTAGCTTCACAATAGCTTCACAATAGCTTGTCTCACAGAGTAATCAAGTTTTTGCGTTTCGCCATGGTTCTTGGCTGATGCAACGTTTACAAATGACTAATTTAAGACTTATTCTTTAGAGGAAATCAAAAAATTTTTGTTTTTTTTATAGCATACTGTTTACATTGTTTTTCTCAATTTTGTCCCTTACTTTTGGACGATCCTATTTTGAAAATAAATAAATAATTGTTATAATTCTTTTTCTATTCCTTTGCAAATGATTCAAATTTTAGTATGTTATTATGGATGATAACGACTACCAGTTGTCAAAATTTCAGCTTTTCACAGTTGTTATTTCTAACAAATATTAGGTTTTAAAATTTTGTCCCTTAGTTTTGGACGCTAAAATGTATATATATATATATATATATATATATATATATATATATTTTATAAAGTTGGAATCAATTGATTTTAGCTAGATATTTTGCCAACCATTCAAATAAGAAATGACCCTCTCAATTTTTAGCTGTTCAATTTTTTCACATGTTATAATTTCTCATTTTTGCATTGTGTGTTATAATATATATATATATATATATTTATTGGGAAAAATTGATATTAGTGATATTTTAGCCAACCATTCAAAAGGTCTTAATTGAAAATACTTTTGCATTCACATGTTATAATTTATATATATATATATTTAGGTGTGTGTTTTATATATATATATATATATATATATATATTTTACCGTTTTATTTTGGAATCAATTGATATTCAAATATTTTTCCAAATTCAAATAAGAAAGACCCTCTCAATTTTTTAGCTGTTCATTTTTTTTGCATTTCACATGTTATAATTTCTCAGAGTGGGGAAAATAGTGAAAGGTGTGTGTGTATATATATATATATATATATATATATATATATTTACCGTTTTATAAAGTTGGAATCAATTGATATTAGCTGATATTTTGCCAACCATTCAAATAAACAATGTAATAGTGTAAATAAAAATCTAATAAATAGTAGTTATTATCTTTGTTGGCAATTCTCAAGAACAAAAACTGTATAAATTTACTTCCATCATAGGTTTAGGTTTTATTCCAATTCTAATCATCACTTTTAAACAATTAACATTACTGAAGTATGAAGGCAATCAAAATAATAGCAGTGTCAAGGGAAAAACTGTTCTTTTGACATTATGGTTTCATTTTTTTTTGTGGACACTAAGGCCTAAGTTTGCCAAAAAACTTTAAGAGAAGTACCTTGTCAGTTATATTTTTTAATAAAACACACACACATATTTTATATATATAGGTATTGACGTAGATAAATCAAATACCTAGATATTAGCAACTGTATATATGTGCGTTAGTGTGCATACACAGGTAAGCGAATAAATATTTACTCAATTTAATTTAAGGGGTAAACAAAATAGTGCTCAATGTGGTTAGACAGAGCTAAGAAGTATATATTAATAAATATACATATACCTATACCTATGTTCAAAGTACAACTTAAAGTTTTGTTGTTCAACTCATCAGGCACAAATTCATGCCTGATGAGTTGGTAGAACAATGAAACTAAGTTGCATTTCATAGAAAATGTTATAATGTAAATATATATTTATATATACATACACACACAAAGTTGGTAAGCAATAAAAAGAAACCAATAAAGTTACTTATAATAAAAAGCAATGCATTGAAGCAGGTGGCTTGCATTTTGAATAGTATCGGTAATTAATTTACTATTGTTTATCATAGCATTTTATTGTTATTAACCAGAACCACTTTAATAATAAATTTCTGGACTGTTGATTAATTGTAAGTAACTGTATAGTGACTTTGTTCCAACTATATATATATATATATATATATATATATATATATATATATATATATATAAATTAGAATATTAGATTTTTTAGTTGTGTAGTTAAAAAAGAAAATCAAGAAAACATTAAGATTATGAGAAAGAAAAAAACATTGTAAGGAGCCAGAGTGTTGAACTTTTATGTAACATTGAATCTCCAAAATGGCCATGAATGCTGGACAATCTCTTCACAGAATGAACAACCATTTGTACAATTTCTACACAGGCTAAGTTAAAAAAAGAAAACAATTGTTTGCATCCAAGAAAAATGTAAAGTGAAGCACACATGCATAAAAACATATCTGCATCTTTTTCTAATTAGAATATTCACTTGCTGTCACAATTTAGGTTTTTTGATATTTTACTTAGCAAAAGGACAACCCAACATACAAATTGGCGATGCCAAGATCAAACAAGTACAACAATTTAAATAACCAGGATGTCAGTTATCATAACTCTCTACAACTACCTATCATTTAGAGCTGTAAGCAGTATTTGTCCATTTATACTCTTCCTTCTCTGTGTAGCATTATCGGTCAGCTGATATCTTATTAAATGGTCAACATCTAGACCGGTCCCAAAAAGGGATTCAGACATTTGTTTTCCTCCATGGTTATCAGTAGTGAAATGGACTTCACAAGTACATAGCAGGTGGCTTGGACAAAGAGGGTCACTGAATGAAGATAAATTACTTTTTAAACAAAGATGACTAGACAAAGAACAATGTTCTCTAAAAGACAGTGTCCACTGCCTGCATAAAGTCAGAGAGACTGACAGAGTCCATGGAGAACAAGGGTAAGGAAAGAGTTAGACTGTTCACTTCCTCATCCTCATCTTGGTTTTGCTCGTCAGTAACAGTAGGTGACAACCCTAGAATAAAATCTGGTTTACTGCTAGAAATTGACATGGTTTTCATTTGTGGGTAACAATCTGGTTAAAAGGTTGTTTTTAAGCCACAAGCATCTGATTGGAGAAAAAGCTGCACCTGTCAACAAACCTGTTGTCTGGTCTGAGCTGTAATCCACCAGTTGTTCTGCCATCAATTTATACAAGCTTGTTAGGCAGAAGAAATAGGGAATAACATACCTATCTTGCATTCAATATATCTAGTGTTAGTGAGTGTCAAATTCTCCAAGCCTGTTTTCCTCATGATTTCTGATTCTAAATATAAGTGACCTTTTTGTTTCCTTAAAACTTCCTTATGACTCACATGTTCAGTCAATGATACTCTCAGCATTCTTCTATAGGACCAAATTTATTTTCTTGTCTTTTCATCTTTGAAGAAATTGTCTTGTATTCACTGCCATATAGGAAGATTAAGATTCAGAACTTGTTTCTTGATTTCTAATGAAATTTTCCTGTTTCTTAATACCTTTCTTAGTTTCTGGAAAGTATATTTTACTATTCAAATGCGCTATTGGATTTAACCAGCAAATGAAAAAAAAGTTTTTTTTTTATTCCACTTACAACTGGATACTGGCTGAGATCATTGTACGTGCGACCCGCAATTGTATTGAGTTGCATCAGGTATTCAAAGTTGGAGATTTCTCTCTGTACCCATTTCTTTAAGAAAAAGAATAAGAAAAACAATCTGTATTTAATTAGTGAACTTTTGATTAAAAAAAAATTCTTTATTAAATTTATCACCCCATGCAAGGCAGTAAAGCCACTAAGACACAAGGGGGTTACTGAGTGTGAAAGAATAAAAAAAAAAACAGAAACGTTATTAAAGAGCATAAACAATAGAAGAGTAATCAATCACATTGACATAGATCTTCAAAAATTTGAATGCAAAGGTTGTTAGAAAGCATGGAGCTGGAAGGGAGCTCCACAAACAAGAAACTATTAGCATAGAACTTACGGTTCCTTCTAACCAATTCAAGTGTGAATTGAGAAGACCTTGCTGCCAATCTAGTACTGTGCTTAAATTTGTACAGTCTAGGTACCATAGCAAAGAGTTCATCTGAATAATTACCATGAAAGTATTTATAGAAAGATTTAGATTGAGATGGATTATTTTACTGGCACACCTACCCCAACAGTCATTTCACACTGAATCAGATAGTTTTAAGATTTGTTTTTATTTTGTGTCTATTTTGAAGAAAAATAATTATATAAGTCATTATTATATAAGGATGTACATGTAATTTGGTTTTAGTTACATTTTGTAGCTGAGTGTTCATTTAGTTTCCTTTTTATATTTTGGAGAATAGTTTTGTTAAAATTCTAGAATGATTTTGGGTTTGACACTTTGAGGACCATCATTTTTTAGGAGGAAGAGGTGGGTCATTTGGGCGTGTCCGATTTTGATGCTTTTAAGTGTGACATCATCTTTTCTTGAGTGTCTGGTACTGTGATGATGTACAGTCAGAATGGTTTTTATTTGATTTAGTTTAGTTTGTTGTTTGTGTGTGTTTTCCATGATTTTTATCACTAGCTGTGGATGTAAGAGGCTTTTAAGTCTGTAAGGGCAATTTTTGAATTTGATATGTTCATTGTGAGGAATTCCTTGGCTGCCTCATCAGCCCTGCTATTCTTGGGGATCACTCTACCTTGAGTGGCTTTTGGCCTTGTATTGTGTAAACAATTTCTTAAGAAAAAAAAAAAGAGCTATTTTGAAATTTCATTTCTCTACACATGACATTTTATGAGATTAAAAGTCACAATCTTTTTGGAGACCAAATAGTTGACAGCTTAAAATAAATGTTGAATGTTGCTTGCATACATTTTCTTTTAATTAAGGATACAACATTTAGGGAGCACAATAGCTGTTGGTACAGAAAGTGAAAATTCATTTTCTGACAGAGTCCACTACCTTCACTTTCACACATGTGTGAATCCATCTTTTCACCTCCCCCAGTTATGGGTTAAATAGTAGTTTAATCTGGAATCTCTAGCCTTGGGTGGTAACCAGTCTAGGAGAAGAGCTACTTTGAATTCCAAAGTGTGTAGACAACCACTGGAAACCACTCCATTATCTTCCCTAAGTATAGGTCAGGGATTAATCTTAGCTGCTGGTACCATGTAACCCAATACAATGTTGTATGTTACTTGTAGTGGAGATAGGTGATGCCAAGTGGGTCATACAGCCGATGGAAATGCCATGAAGTATAATTATTCAACATGGCACCATGGTCTGTGCTAATTTGATAATTTACACTCAATTTTTTTTAGATGAGCAATTATCATTATTATTTTCCTTTCTGTTCAGATTACCCTACTCATCTTGGCTACTGTACTCTTGAGTAAAAGACCTAAAAACAATAGCCTGAATGGAATACTCATTGCTGCTGTACTACCTGAATATGAGAACCAAGACAAGAATAATAGTCTAAATAAAAGGCATGTAATAAATTATAGAAAACTAAAATTTTCTATTCTCACCTGTGCTACCTGTAATTTCCATATTTGACGGCAGATAAGGTACACTTTTTTTTTTTATTAAAAATATCTTTTAAAATTCCCCTGCATCTTATATGCCATATGTAAGTTTAAAATTCAGAATAGTCAGCCGAAATTAATTACCTGGCAATTCTTATTATCTTAGACTTTAGAGTAACTTTCACATACCTATTGTCATTATTTAAAAGGCTATTTATGCAGATTAAAAGTGTTATCATTGATAATATTCATTATATTAATTTCATCACGTTTAATATTAGAACTTTGTTTCACTAAAATTATACGTAATAAATTCAAATTATATACTTGTAAAATATATTTGTTTCATTAATATTTTTCTTGTGATAAAGTTTGGTTGCATTGGTAAAAATACAATCAGTATTTTTATATCCTAATTATTCCACTAAGACGTTTACAAGACGCAGGTTGTACAGATCATATAAAAGAAAAATTTTGACTGAATTTTAATGATAATTGTACTGTTTTGCTCAATTGTAATAATTGCTTGATTTTTTTTTTTTTCTTATTTTGGATATAATAAAGTTTTTTTATAGGCTTGTGTTCTTTTTTCCTATTTTTTTCATTTAATTGTAATCATGGCTTGTTTAACCAAAATAATACCTCATAAATATAGCCTAGGCTGTACCATTTACTAATGATTTTAATAATTTTACTAATTACTAATTTTTTCTTGATTTTCCCTGCTTAAATTGGGGTGCCTCTTATAAACCCATGCGTCTTATATGCCATAAAATATAGTAGTTTATTCAAAAATAAATTTGTTAATGACCTGTGCTTTTTATTCCCATTAAATTTTAAAATTATTAATATGACAATAAACACTGGATATAAATGAAATTGATTAAGTGGAACATTTCACATTCAAATGATACATTGTCTCAATCTTGCCAAGATTTGAAACCCTGCCCTCTTGGTAACTCAGACCACTCTGTGGTATCTATTAAATCATCTCTTAAATAGGATTCATAAGACCTTTTTCCCCTTACCAGCATGCTGACTGGCTCTCACTCCATAATTTTCTTCATAACATCGACTGACATCTTTAGCCTTCCAATTGAGAATTGTGACACTGAGGTTTCTTCTTGGATCAAAGCCAGCATGGACTCTTCTCAGAAATACCAAGTGAAATCTCAATCCTTTCCATGGTTCACACGAGCATGCTCAGCTGCTATACCACAGAGGAACAACTATTCTCAGCTATACCAGCATGACAGCTCTCATCACAACTAGTGCCTATTTGTTGCTCCTTGTAATGTAAAGAAGTCCTTGAAGGAGCTAAGTCCATGTTTGGTGAGAGAATGAGGAACCATATAGCATCTAACAACTTACTGGCAGCTCTCTAATAGGATATTAAATAAGTATAAGGTCTCTCTATTCCTCCCCTTTTCAATCAATTTGAGGTGTTAACCCTCCTCTGCTGATAACACAGAATGCTTTGCTCATAAATTCCCCTTAAACTCTACTCTTGACGCATCTGGAGCATCCCTGCCTAACTTAGAACTTTGTTGATATGCATGTAACCCTTTCTATAGCTTCTGCAATCATCTCTAACCTAGATCCCTACAAAACATGTGGACTTGATGGTATCCTGTAATAGTCATTAAGTGTGCTCCCAAACTGGCTCCTGTTCTCTCTAAACTCTATAATAAATGTCATGCTGCGTCCTGCTTTCCTGGAAGTCATCATCTGTTGTTCCAATTTTTAAGAACTCTGGTGAACCATCTGACCCTTCCAATTATCAGCCTATTAGCCTTCAACCTCTTTTTGAGAAACTCCTGGAGGCCCAAAATCAATTTTGAATTGGTTCATCATCTCTCATCGCAGAGCTTTTTTCAGACAAGCAATATGGCTTTCGTTTCTCCAGGTCAACTGCTGATGTACTGATGATAATTGCAGAAAGAGTCTATCATGCTCCAGATAAAAACAATGAAGCCCAAACATCTCGAAAGCCTTTGACCATGTTTGGCATACAGGTCTTCTCTACAAGCTGAAAAGTTATGGTGTCTCTGAACAAATTTTTGAACTGATCCCATCTTCCCTATCAAATCATGAAATGAAAGTTATCCTGATGAACCTACTCTGTTTTTAATTTTCGTTAATGTCCTTCTTTATGACATCAACTCTCAACTTGGTATCTATGCTGATGATACAACCATTCACTCCTGCCTTGATAGTAAGGCAAATCAATCTGTTAGATTCATTTGCCTATCAAGGCGAGGTCAAAATGGCAGCTGATGTTCAAAACGACTTCAAGTCCGTTGTTAACTGGGGCAAAAAATGGCTCGTTAATTTTAACACCTACAAAATAAAACTTATCACCATTATTTCCACTAGTATGGCTGATGCTATCTTCCAGGAAAGTGACTCATTACACTTTCTCGGGTTAACATTCTCAGCTGAAATGGAAAGACTATATTGAATCCATTTCTAGGTCAGCTGGTAAAAAAGTTGGTTCACTGTGTCATGCAAGACGATTTTTCTTACTCAGAATCTATCTTACATATTTATAAGTCTACTATTTGTTCAGGCTTAGAATATTGCTGCCACATATGATCTGGTGACCCTGTTATTTACCTTGAGCTCCTTGATAAAATCCAAAGAAGAATCAGCAATATTATTGGTTCTGATCTGGCGGCTTGGCTACAATCACTTTCCCAATGCCATGAGGTTGCCTCTCTATGTCTTGTCTATAAATAATTTCACGGTAATTGTTCAGGAGCTCTTCGCTATGGTACCTAAACTTTATGAATTTAAGCACAGTACTAGATTGGCATCGAGTTCTCACCAATTTATAATTGAGCTGGCTATATGCCAATCTTTTGTCTCCTTGAATCCTGACTTATGTTAGACTTATAGAGATTACATATCTATAAGTCTACCATTCGTCCATGCTTGGAATATTGCTGTCACATATTGTCCAGTATGCCCGCTATTTACCTTGAGTTCCTTAATAAAATCCAAAGAAGAATCAACAATATTATTGGTCCTGAACTGGTAGCTCACCTTCAGTCACTTGCCCACCACTGTAAAATTGCCTCTCTGTGCCTTTTCTATAAATACTTTCATGGTAATTGTTCAGATGAGCTCTACACTATCATACCTAGCAATTTTAAATTTAAGTGAAGTACTAGATTGGCAGCAAGATCTCAGCAATTGACAACTGAGCTAAATAACTTCTATGCTAACAGTTTCTTTTCTTGCACTTCTCACTTGTGGAACTCCCTTTCGGCTTCATGCTTTCGAGCCAACTTTAAACTGCAAAAATTTAAATGCAGTGTCAATCGCTATCTTTTGTCCTCCTGATTACGCTTTTATCTTCCCGCTTATTATTAATGTTTCTGTTCCTAATTCTTCCACACCCTGTAACCCTTTACTGCCCTGCATGGGGTGAAACTGATTAAAAAAAAAATAAATTAAAGAAAAAGATTATGAAATGTGTACAGGTTTGGATATTGATTCAAATGAATATTAACATATTGACTGCCAAAATCAGTGTAAGTCATGTGGGGTTACAATTTCTTTTCTTTTTTAATATTTTGTAAAAGAATATCTTAAGTATCATGAAAGTTTTTAGTGTTAATATTTTTTTGAGAAAATGGCCGTCTGAGTGTTTTTTCTTACTCTCAGAAACCAGGACACCAACTCATGGTGACGACTACTTGTCTGTTCAACATTCTTCAGATTTTCCAAATTCTAAATTCTATAATTTTATTCACTATTTATTTATTATTTTTATTTTGTATCTTATTTCTTCATTTTTTTTTCCTTGATAGGAGTAGATAAGTTTGCCTATTGTCCGATTCACACACCTCTGCACCTTTTTGAACAGGAGTAGAGGTTTTTCCCTTGTTTCCTGTTTAGGATTGGGTTTCCAGTTCCTTCTCAAGTTTTTTTTTCATTCTCTTTCACTTCAAGTAGCCTCTTGCACCTTAGTGGCATTATTGCTTTGCCTGAGGTGAATTGATTATCTATATAATAAATGTGAATGTCAGTGTGCCATGCTTTTTTCAAATTAAAGGGACACAACTCTCTAACTTTTAATAGCGCATTTTAAATGAAAAAAATGACTGTTCTCTATTACAGTATTTCAAAATAAAATTGTCTTTTCAACTTTATTCCTAGAGTATCTGCCTATATTTCTGATTTCAATACCTGGTTAAGGTGGTGGAGAACTTAGAAAGGGTAATTAACAGGAGATAACTGATAACTGACACGCATTAGACATGGCACATGGTACTAGAACAGTCTACCCCAGCAAGCGAAATAAAGGGTTCAGTTCGACATTCCAACCATCTGAAGAAGGCTGGAACATATAACAGCCGAAACATTGTGATAAATATGGCAAAAAATAGTCTGAACAAACTAAATAGCCCAACATATACCATTTAGGAATCAGGCCAACACCATGAGCAAATCAAAAACATTGGATCTGGATAAAATAATCCTAAAATTTTGAATTATAAAGTTTTCATTAAATAAAAATTTTTTAAAAATGATTTTTTTTTTTTTTTTTACGTGACTTTTCACGACAGATTTTTCTGTATGATGACAATTTTTATAACTTGGAAATAAATTTGGGAATAATCAAAATTATTTGTGAAATCCAGTGAAAGTCAGTTAATTGTTTGTACGGAAAGTAAGGACCTACATACACCAAATTATCTTTAAATTAAATGGTGGATGAAGAATTATTGTTGCAGCTAATATATAAAGTTCAATAATAATTCTTCTCCCACCATATATATATTTTACATATATATAAAATATAATTATTTTCTAACAATTAGATATTTGGTTAAGAGAGGCTGTCTACCATATGCATGTTCACAAAATTTGATAGGAAGCTGCAGATATTCCTTTATATAGAAATATAGATAGAGTGTCTTGAACATTTGGAAAAACTACTTAATATGAAAATATAAGCATCAACAATATTTGGTGACACAGTGTAAACTGAAATATCATGTCACCATATATTGGTGACATGGCAGTCAACATGTTAATTAAAAAGTTTAACATTAATCTCTTAGTAAATTCTTAAATTGGACAATATTAGGAGATAAAGCTCCTGAAATCTGTAAGTACGTACTTGTGTAAGTCCTGATGCTTTCAGTAATTCTGCAGGTGATCTTGTCCCATGATAGATTAAATTTGGAGGTCTCAAGCTTAATATTCGACTGTAAACCTTGTTACGCACCTAAATAAAGAAAATATTGTCAAAAAAAATTTTTTTTAAATTTTAAAAAAATCAACAGTTAAAAAAACAAACCCAAATATATCACCAGACTAATATATAAATCTCAAAGTTTGTGTCCACTCTGAAGCTTGAGAATTAAAATTATGACATCAAATAAATGCAGTTTTATCATTTACATCTTCTACCATGTGTCTTATATCTGGCCCAACTTAAATATATATAATGTTGGTTATATAAAATAATTGTAACATCAAATAAATGCATTTTCATCATTTCATGGGCTGAAATTGATTAAAAAATGTGTATAGTGCAACTGGTCAATGAAAATGCATGATTTTTTAACCTTTTCAAAAAAAAAATTACCTGTGTATAGTGCGATCCCTATTTTTTGCATAAAAAATTTATCATAAAATCTCATACAATACACGAGCATAAAGGCTAATTAGAACTATTTCACTAAAACTCATTTTGCAGTAAATGCAAATCCCTTGAATAAAGAAACAACTAAAACAACAGAGCAAAAAAACAAAAATAAAAACAAAAGCTGTGTTGGGGTCTGCACAATGACAGATTATTGCTTCTCATGTAAAAAGTTTAATCTTGCAAGATTTCAGAATATATTTTTGCACAATTAAAATAAAGAAAATATGATTATTTCATGGTCACTTGTGTGAGACAAAGACATGTCTTCTCACGAGGCTTATTCAACCTTTAGAGTGAGGCAGTCCTGAGAGAATTAGAAGTCCTACCAGGATTCATTATTGGCAATCCTAACAACATTAGATATGCAGTGTTGATAGCAGACACAGAAAGTAAACTACAGAAACCCCTAGAGAAGGTAGTAAAAGAAAAGGAGGAAGAAAGGACTAAACACCAATTGTAAGAAAACAGAATTTATGGTTGCTAGTAAAAGGAACGACCCCTGGCACGAACTACAAATTAAAGACACTAAAATCAAGCAAGTAAAAAATTTAAATATCTAGAAAGTGTTTTAAGAGGGGGACAGAAAATGTGACACTGAAATCCAAAGTGGCATTGGGATAGTGGAAGATGCTTTCCAAAAAGAAAAAGCAAAGTATCTCTTTCAAAAACAGAAAAAAAATTGTTAGAACAAAGAAAACAGTTCTGAACTGTTATGCAATTTTGCCTTTCCCAGACTTCAACATTTAAAGGAGGCAATCCTGAGACAATCTTAGAAGTCTTAACAGGATTCATTATTGGTTAACCACAACATTAGATATGCAGATGACACAGTGTTGATAGCAAAACAGAAAGGAAACTACAAGATCTCTTCCAGAAGGTAGTGAAGGAAAGCAAGAAGAAAAGACTAAGCATCAATTGTAAAATGACAGAATGTGTGGGTGTCAGTAAAAGGAAAGCTCAAGATGTCAACTACAAATTTGAAACACCAAAATAAAGCAAATACAAAAATTTAAATATATAGGAAGTATTTTAAGAGAGGACATAAAATGTGTCATTGAAATTTGAATTTTGTTAAAGAGCATTTCCTTTATAATTTTATAAATTTCTTTTATAATGCTAGGCCACCTATGACTCCACCACACACATTGTTTAATTTGATGAAATGTCTGGTGAAGTGCCAGGCCTCAGAAGAAAAATTATTGTTTTTCCACCATCTTTTTGTCTTCTGAAATTCCTCTTACCATCTTTTGTTTCAACATATTTGGGAAATTTACCAATTAAGAAATCTAAAACAAAAATTTCTGTTTTGCCCATATTTTTTTTTTTATTGTAATTTTTTTTCCGTAAACCTCTTTTCCAGACTTATTCAATCTTTACTGTGAGGCGATCTGGGCAGAATTAGAAGTTAATTGCAGACACAGAAAGGAAACTGCAGGAACCCTTAGAGAAGGTAGTAAAAGAAAAGCAAGAAGAAAGGACTAAGCATCAATTGTAAAACAACAGAATATGTGTTTGTCAGTAAAAGGAACAGCCCAAGATGTCAACTACAAATTGGAGACACCAAAATAAAGCAAATACAAAAATTTAAATATCTACGAAGTATTTTAACAGAGGACACAAAATGCTGCATTGAAATCTAAAGGTACATTGGAATAGCAAAAGGTGGCATCCAAAAGGTAGGTAAAGTATTAAGTAGCAGAAAAAAAACTTTGTTAGAAACAAAGAAAAGAAGACTGAACTGTTATGTAATATTGTTCCTCCTATATAGCAGTGAATGCTGAAAAATCTCCTGACAGATGAAGAGACTTGAAGAAATAGAAATGTGGTTCTACAGAGGGATGCTGTAACATACTTGATGGGCTTGAGAAAATGGATAATAGAACAGGGTTTGGGAGAAAATAAAAAAAAAAAAAAAACTTAGTAAGAGTTACAAGGGGCAAGAAGATGTGAAGGGCCATTATCACCTGCACCCTGAAGGGACATAGCACATAAAAAAGAAAAAAGCTTTCCAGTAAAGGCATGGAGCACTGTTCATATCTGCCTACATATCAATCCTAAGGTAATGAATTTGCTTTATATATATATATATATATATATATAGTAAGTCCCCCTTATTTGCAGGGGTTAGAGAACAGAACTGGCCACAAATATTTAGAAGCTGCAAATACTTGTAACCCAACTAAAAGTGCTTATAAGTACTTATTTTGATTGTTAAAACCCCATATGCCTTAAACTTTTATACTAAACACATTAAAAACATTTCAGAACTTTTTAAAACATTTTTTAAAAATAGTATTGGTGACTACACACTTAGGGTAAATTTTCTTTTATATGTAAAATAACTGTTTTTAATTACATATAAATCGATAAAACCATTGAAAATACTGTATAAAATATGTGTAACAAGACATAAAATATAAAGTTTAAAACATTTTCTAAAAACAGAACTGTGATGATGCCCCCCCCAGACTTAGCATAAGCCATTTTTCAGACCTCAGTCGCAGCCCCTAACAAAGCACAAAGCCCAAGCACCAAGTTTTTGCATGTTTTTTTTTTTTACAATGATGTATAATTCTGCGAATTTTTATCATGAAAATGTAATGTTATATGTTTTAAGTGACTTAAATAACAGAAAAATAATACACGGATATTTTAAATATGTTCTATCGAAAAACTATGCAAATCAAGGAGTTCTCAGCGAATAATTTGTAGATATGTTCTTCAGAAAAACAGGTGGATATTTGGGGTTTCTGTGAATAACAAGTACATATGTCCTGAAGAAAAATCCGCAAATGTGTGAAGCCATGGATGCAGAAAAAGTTTAATAGGTGGGGGCTCACTGTGTGTGTGTGTGTATATATATATATATATATATATATATATATATACATATATATATATATATAATCTAGTATATCCAACTTAATTATTTGCCATGATTCTTCCACGCTCCCTGTTAGCAATTTGCAAAAAAACAACATAGTTTACAAATTCACGTGCCCTTTGGGAGATTGTATCTCCAATGGATTAAATAATATTTATGTTGGTCACACCACAAACTCACTTTCATGACGCTTGACTCTACATTTGACTGATAACGCTAACATTTTTAGGTATTTAAAACAACATGCCTGGCCGCATACACAATTCCGGAAAATCTTTGTTGAAAACACAGCTATACTTAAACATGAAAACAATAAACAAAAACTAAAAATTCTTGAAGCTATATACATAAAATAGTTGAAAACTAACCTGAACAAAATAAAAAACGAAATCTCCACAAACATTCTTAAATGCCTATAATTGATAACAGAAGCCATTGGTCTATACCAATGGCTTCCCATACTTCATACTTCTCGTTTTTACTCTCGCTGGGTCATGTATGATGTCATGAGCTGCGACGCGATTTTCACTTCCGCATCTTGTATACACAAATTAGTCGTTGCTTTGAAATTTTTCATGTAACAAAAACAGACTATCATTATTGTTTTATCCGTGTATTGGTTGATATATTGAAAAGTAATTGTCATCTTTGATAATGGCTTATGTAAGCCGAATGCTTAGATTGAATTTAAACATGTATCAATATGGTGATTTACTTTTGTCTTTCAATGATAATGTTATTAAGCTTATTAGACAATATGAAAGGAACTTACTTAAAATAAATAGACAAAACTTGTCTATATTATTTAATGAAACATGCATTTTAATGAAAAATTATATATAAATATATATATATATATATATATATATATATATATATATATATATATATAAAGGGGCAGGAAGATGGGGAGGGCTGGACAACCTCCTCAAAGGTGAAGAAGAGACTTAAAGCAACAGAAATATGATTCTACAGAAGGATGCTGAGGATACCATGGACCGAACATGTGAGCAATGACAAGGTTTTAGAGAAAATGGAAACAAAAAGGAAACTTATACTTAACATCACGAAGAGGCAGTTGAAATTTCTTGGGCACATGAAGGAAAGAAGGCTTGGAAAATGTTATACTCACAAGACAGATTGAGGGACAGAAGAAAGCAGTGAATAACATACTTGATGGGTTTCAGTAAATGGATGGTAAAAAAAGGGTTTAGGAGAAATAACTAAATAACATAAAAGAAAGAAAGACTATAGAGACAGTTTCAAGAGAAACATGGACAACTGTTATCTATCCTACATATCCTCATAAGTTACACTTACTTCCTCCTTGTACATCCATAAAACAACAACATTTAGCTAGCCTCTACCTTGAGTGGCTCTCAGTCCTTCTATTGAACATAATTTATTAAAAAAATAATAGAAGAAACTAGAGAAAATGTAAAAGGTACCTTTTTTTCAAAATTGAGAAAGTAATTAGTCTGATCAATCAGGAATAATTCTAAGGCACTTCTTCGAAGATTATAACGTCTAAAATGTATTTCTCTCAGCTGTGACAAGTTCCATTTGAAGTCTTCACCACCTGGAAGAATAAAAAGATTTACTTTTTAATGCACTTTGTAAAAAGAATAAAAATTTGATAAATTAATTTTAAATGAATTAATGTAAGTATCTGTCTATATATCTGAGATGAGGTATTATGTACACTATTTACATTGCTTTGTTGCCATATTTATCACAACATTTTGGTTGTTGTACGCTCCAGCCTTCTTCAGGTGGTTGGAATGTCGAACTTAACTCTTTATTTTGCTCGCTGGAGTAGACTGTTGTAATTCTAAGTGTCATGTCTAATGGATGTTAGTTATCAGTTATCTCCTGTTAATTCCCCTCTCCAAGTTCTCCATGGAAAAGTGGATAAAGGCATTAGTCCTCAAGGACACATGGCACAGTGGATAAAGGCGTTAGTTAGATCCAGTGACATAACCCAAAGAGTGTGAGTTCAATATCTTTTTCCCCAAGGGCATTTGTCCATAAGTGGAATTTGAATCTGGCTCACCAATTTCCATTTCAGATTTAGAGGGGTTATTTTACCGGCCCACCAACCCCATGGATCATTTTGCATCGAATTGGGTAGTTTTAAGATTTGTTTTTATCTTGTAGACAAATTCTTTTATAAGGTGTTACTATATAAGAGTGTAGATGTAATTTGGTTTTAGTTGCATTTTGTAGCCAGGTGCTTATTCAGTTTCCTTTTTATATTTTGGGGTTGTCATTCTGAGCCACTATTCATTATATTACATGAACAATATCCGTTTTTTGCTCCATCTACATAATCTGGGTATTGAGCACTTTGCTGCTGAGTTGGTAAGTGTTTGCTTTTTGGTCTTTTTTGTTTATTTTTCCTTGTTCTGGATATTTTTCTTGTCTAAGTTGTTAGGTCTTCTGGCAAGTTGTCTGTTGGTCACACCAACATAGTTGTTTTTAATGTTGTGGGTTTTATTTTAAACAGTGACTATTATGGCTAATAATGCAAAACTCTTTATGAAAATCGAAAAGAAGTTCTCTCGGTCACTGTGTTTATCTAAAAATAAATAAGGTTTTAAATTCACTTTCATCTCTGCCATGCACCAACGGCTTAATGGTAGAATCCCCAATTGATGCCAATTCAGTCGGGTTTCGATCCTAGCTAGAGGGAACCGGACGTCTAGCCACACTAATGAGCTGTGGATGACTATATATATATATATATATATATATATATATATATATTAGTATAGAAAATTAGATCAGCCAATTCTGCTACCTTGGTTTCAACCTTTTGCTATCTACAGGCAATTTTGGTCAATTTATTATGACCTGTTGTATTCATATTAAAGTTCCATTTGAGTTCATATGAAGTGGGATGAACAGAATGTATGTATATTTCATTTAACCCCCCCAACGATACATTTCCAATACACTTGATCTACCTTTCCTCTTCCACACCTCATGTTGTGCGCTTATGCATTTACTTTTTTTAAAAATATAGCATTCATCAAATTTTAATTTAAATGAAATAAAGCATTAGGAAACCAATTGACCGAAATCACCTGAAGATACCGAAAGGTTGAAACTATGGTAGTGGAAACGGCTGATCTAATTTTCTATACTTAAAAGCTCTACATGTTAAATTTTTATCTTTTTTATATATTGAGCACTTTTTTAATACTACTGTTCATGGTCTAATTCAACTCTAAGCATTAACTTTTTATTATATATATATATATATATATATATATATATATATATGACAACAAAAATAATATAAATTCTAACATTCTCAGCATTAATTCAAAAGAGGGCTCAATACCAGTAGTGCAATAATTATTTATTATAATTTTTATATACGGGCAAAACGACTCACAACAAAGATGTATTTTTGTTTCGATGTGCATGCATCTCAACTGGTGAGAACCAAAATTGTTATGAGCAAGTCTATTTAAAGAAAGCTGCCCACCCATTTTGGTTCTGACCAAAACGAGATGCATAAACATCAAAACAAAAATAAATCTTTCTTTTATTGAAAAAATTTTTTTATAAAAGGTATGTAAAAAAATACAATATATAGTGTTGACAGATTTGTCAATATGGAAGATTTTACTGATAGTAAAAAGAAAATAAATCAATCCAATTAATTCAGTTGGAAATATTAAATTTAATCTATTAACTTGGAATTAAAACTAAAATAAAAACTTCAAAAAAGATTTATCATTTTTAAAATACATTTTAAATGTTGGATTTTGCTTTTGGGAGACACCAAAAATATTATATATCACACACATGCAAACAGAATTTACACTTTATTTATACTGATAAACTTTCAAAACTAACAATTCATTCCAAAAATAAAATTAAAAAGATTTCAAGTTTAATTAATATTTAAATAAATATATAAAATTTTCATACCAAAATGACCAATGGTAAAGAAACAAAAATATTTTAAAAAGTTTTACAAACCAAATAAAAAGACTGATAGCAAAACACTAGTCCATTTAACATGAGAATGAAAGCAAATAGAAGGAGACTGTTTTATAATGTATACTTTTGAAAGTTTTGAAGTGGTGAGTGAAGATAATGACAACAGTGCCGGAGGATATTAGATTATTGCAGAGGTGGTTGTGCAACAAACCTTGCAGATATTGGATTTTGATTTGTAAATGGAGACATTTCAAAAACCTGCCTTGCTCTGCACAGCGGGGAAACTTTGAAAATTATTTGATACCACCTGTCGTTGAAACGAACAGTGATCTGGTTGTTTTCTTAACTCAGCACTCATGAGTTGAAAATAAACGTTTTACAACCAATGAACATCATTTGCTGTTAATATTACTACTATTACAAGAAGATGACTGAACCATTTAAGCTTTGCAAGCAATCACCTTGATGTCACACCTGTGCACAACAGTGGACATAAATCGTAAGAAGAACATTGTGAAGGGTAAGCATGCAAAAGTACAAGGGTGTCTGGACCTGGCTGGGCAAATCTGAGAAATATAGCAAAGTGCGTTTACCTCTAAAACAAAACTGCTCTCTATTACTCATCACAGGGAACCATCCCTGCCACCCATTAAAATGTCTGATGCTCAACTCCACGAGAGCATCTCTTTGTGACTGCTTGGTCTCACACTGTCCGCTGACCTGAGATGGAACAAATGCATTGAATCAATTGCTTCATCCACCGCAAGGAAAGTTGGTTCCCTGTGTGAAGCCAAAATTTTTTTTTCTTGCCCAAATCCATCCTTCAAATCTATAAATCAACTATTCGCCCTTCCACAGAATACTGCTGCCATATATGGTCTGGTGCCCCCACTGCTCACCTTAAGGTCCTCGACAAAATCCAGAGACAGATATGCAATGTGATTGGTTGGTCCTGATCTGGCATCTCGTCTACAGTCACTCTCTCACAGACCTCTTGCCTCCCTCTGTCTTTTCTACAAATACTTTCATGGTAACTGCTCCAACAAGCTACCATGAATTTCAGAGTGCTACTAGGCTGGCATCACCCATCCCACCCTTTCACTGTTGAAACAATTAAATGTGGCCGCCACTTCTACTCCAATAGCTTCATGTCTCGCACTTCCCATCTGTGGAATTCCCTTCCTATTACTTGTTTCCCTGATAACTATAATCTTCAACTATTCAAATGTAATGTCAATTGATATCTCCAGATGCCCTGATCTATTCCCTGTCCTTCTCTTCATCCTTTCCTCCATCATGCCTCTTTATTCTTGCTCCCACTCTCTGTAACCCCTTGTATGCTAGTGGCATCTTGCCTTGCTTGGGGTGAAATGCTTAAAAAAAAAAAAATAAATATATATATATATATATATATATATATATGTATCTCAAACTGTGTTTAACTACCTTTTGAAACAAACATTTAAAAACATACCTTCTTCCTTATAAGGGCTGCAGTCAAAAAAGTAGACATGTGTTGTGGTTACCTCTAGCCGACCTTTGATGACATCCACCATTGTGATCAGTTCACATTCTTCAAATAGAACCAATTTCTCTTTACCGGAATATTCCTCCCCAGTTGTACTGGAAAAAAAAAATGTCAAAATAAAAATGGCACAAGGTCGTCAAAGATGACTGAGAAAGTACTGCAATTAAGCTTTTTATTTAATTGTTCTTTTTATGTTTTCTTTTCTGCACATCCGCAACATAATTGTAGAAAATACAAGTATAATAGCCTCATCTACATGTAAAAATGGAAGCATTAATAATAAAAAAGAAAAAGCCAACACTCAATAACATCAACTGTGAACATGGCCATCATATATCAGATTTTTTAATTTTTATAATACCAGATTTTATATTCTAATTTTAACAATACCAAATTTTATATTCTAATTTTAACAATTAATACCAGATTTTATATTCTAATTCTAACAATTAATACCAGATTTTATATTCTAATTTTAACAATTAATACCAGGTTTTATATTCTAATTTTAACAATACCAGATTTTATATTCTAATTTTAACAATTAATACCAGGTTTTATATTCTAATTTTAACAATTAATACCAGGTTTTATATTCTAATTTTAACAATTAATACCAGGTTTTATATTCTAATTTTAACAATTAATACCAGGTTTTATATTCTAATTTTAACAATTAATACCAGGTTTTATATTCTAATTTTAACAATTAATACCAGGTTTTATATTCTAATATTAACAATTAATACCAGATTTTATATTCTAATTTTAACAATTAATACCAGATTTTATATTCTAATTTTAACAATTAATACCAGGTTTTATATTCTAATTTTAACAATTTAATACCAGGTTTTATATTCTAATTTTAACAATTAATACCAGATTTTATATTCTAATTTTAACAATTAAGTTTATATCTTGTCAACCCAACTGAATCTGTCAAAATCTGGTACATATTCTTTCATGCCATGAAATCTGCTAAGCATGTCAACTTACTTGGCTGAACTGATGACATTCCAATCTTCATCTCCGAGTGTATCATCTGCAATGTTTTCATGGGCGATTAGCGCTTCTTTGGCAAGCTCCAATTTCTTCAGTTTGTCATTATCAGCCATTTCAGATATATCTAAAAAATAATCAGTATGCATGTAAATATAAATATATAAGCATAGAAAATAAATAATAGGAAAATATAAAAACAGAGATAATCCACAGAAGAGAGGATATAAACATGGAAAAATAATCCAGATTGGAGAGGCGGGTGGGTCTTAGCCATGAGAGCTAAAAATGGTGGCACTAAAGAGTGCAGTTCATCAAGTAGTGATAGAGCAGTAACAGGCTTGCCACATCCTGTCTGTGACAGGGGGGATTGCAGGGTGGAAAATAAGTCATCACCCACAAGGACACGGAGATGTTTTTAGACACTATATGACACCCACTGGTGGTTGCAGCAGCAATATGTGACGTCCTCTGGTCGCGACACCAATATGTGACACTGCGCTGTCGGCCTGTGGTCAACTCGCAGTTGCAGTGCGAAGCGGTAAGGTTTCTTCCACCAACATTTTGGGGTTGGCTCTTTGTTGCTGCCACCAGCCTGTGTCTCGGTTTGATACCAGCTTTGTCGTTCCCAGCTTACTTCCAATGTCTGGTTACCGAAGTAACTACTTTGATCTCAAGTCTAACCTACCCACATTGTGACTTTGATCTTAGGTAGATGAAATCAATCGGGTGTCGGGCCATAGTGCAAACTGAATCTGGGGTGAAGGTGATATCGCACAAGCGTAAATAAAAGGAGCAATAAAACAAAACTCAAGAGGTTCAAATATGTTGAGAAATAACAAATTATCTTTATCCATCTGTTATATATAGGAGTGTTTTTCTCTCCCAGCCCGTTTCTATGGATTTGTGACACTTTTGCGTTTCTTAAGTGAGTTTTGGTATCTTAAGTCGTTCAACAATATAACTTGCTTTTTGGTAGGAAGTTGAAGTTGAAAAGGATGTGGAAATCTCTCAGTCAGCTTCTGCAACTGCCAATCAACTGCGAAACTCTACTGCAAAAACTCTGAAACTAACTGAGAAACTGCCCAGGGATGTTCATTTATATGGGTACCGACCAAAACCCGGTGTGGGGCCTGATGTGGCTTGGGTCCCCGATAATTCTTGATTCCCAGCATGCCAGGAAAATTAATTACTTCCCATTTTTGGAAGATTAATCACTTTCCATTTTGGGTGTTTCTCCCTCGACCGTGATCCTCCTAGACTCTTCCTCTCTTACATTGGTATCTCATACCAATCCCCTCAGTAGGTGTCAACAACTTCTCCGTCCCTCTCATACATCCACCTCCGCCCATCACCTAGGCTACCACTCGACCAATGATCTCTCGGCAGTGTGGGTGTGGCTAGACTGGCCCTCTTAAAATTATTATCCTGAATTTTGTTTACAAAATTCTTTTTTTTTTTCTTCGGCCAAAACATTTTTTTTTTTTTACAAATCCCAGATTGCCAAATAATTCTTATCACATCTTCCTTTTGGGGACATCCAAAATTCACCTAGTCGGGTCTCTCTACTGACTCATCAATCACTGTCAAAACCCGACACCTGGTTTCTTCGGCTAAGTCAACTTTTAGCTGGGAGGTCCTTATTTTACCTGAGAATCAAATTCTTTATTTTTCTCATGCCTTAAAATCCTCTTATCACCAAATGCCCATTTTCAACAACGCTGTGTCTGATGTCAACAGTTTGAATAAGCAATAATAATACAATTTTCTTCCTCATGCCAGAATTCTAACACACACCAGATGGTTCCCTTCGTTGGACCCAGGAATTAAAATTAAATGATATCTCTGAAAGATAACTAATATCAATCCTCCCCACCTGTACCATGGTGGTCTCAAGCCAAAATTCTTTTATGGCCAGCATGTGTTGGTTGGCTTTGTTTTTCTTTCTGAATTCTGTTTCTCTTGGCACGTCACTCTCTTAGCATGACATTAATCAGTTTTGACAGAATCTCATATCTCGCTTTTTCTTATGGATTTTCTGTCTCATCTGAAAAGTATCCTTCTTCGTAAACAAAACAAAATCTTCTTTCTAATGTCGCTCAGTCTATCTTTCAATACAGCTCTTTCTCACCTTAAGTCTTTCCTGTTTTTAATTTCCATGGTCAACTAGCCAGCAAATTACCATAGCCAAATAGTGTCATAACTATTAAAACTGGAAAAGAAGGAATGGAAAGCTGCCACCAAAATATGACAGCTGTACTCCATTTTTGGCCTGATCTGGCTTTCGTAAAGGTAGACAATAGAGAAACGTACTAACCGGAGCGGTACAGGGAACTGATCATTTTAACTGCTTCTTTAGTGATGGACCGTATATAAGAGTTCCACTTGAGATTGGGTGTGAGTTTGAGGCCCAATAGTCACTCAAGGCATGGAGCCTCCCTGAATAGACATCCGTTCATCATGACAGGCAATTGTTCATATGTATCTACTTATGGAATTAATATCTTAGAGATTACCTAATTTACATACACATGTCGGAATTAGTACTAAAAGTGTCAGTGACACTTTTGAACTCTTTCAAGACAGCCCAAATATGAAAACAGTACTCCATTTTAGGCCTGATTTGGATTTTGTAATGGCAATCAGGTACTTATTGGAGCAGTCCAAGGAACTGACATTTTCCTGCATCTTTAGCGATTGATTGTATGTATAAGTTTCATTTGAGGCCTGTGGTGAGTTTAAGACCCAATAGTTGCTCAAGGCATGACTGATGGTAGTTCAAGGTTCAATTGGCAATGATGGAATGTACCTAGTTTGTTTTTTTTTTTTTTTGAGGCATTGAATATAAACAGACAGTTTTTCCCCCACTAGGATGTTAGAGCTAGATCAGATAAGAGATCAGCTGCTGATCCCTGGTTCCATCAGAGCTGAAGTAGCTAAATTACTGTCAGACTCCTACACTTCAAAAAGACCGTGATTTTTTTTTTTTTTTACAATAATGTACAAGGCCCGAGAACCACTTGAGGTAGAATTTTACAGAGTAAGAGACACAGTATATGTGGGAAAGATAACAGTTAACCCTAGATTTAAACAGGTTAAAATTGTAGCGATCAGGAAAGCAATCACTTGGGAGTTAGTTCCACAAAGCTGCAATCCCTTGGGTAGAAGCTGCTTGAATAACACTTACATCTCATCAATGGAACAGGAAGGGAATGAGAGGTTAGCAACGTTTCATCTGTAGGAAAGGAGTTGGAGGATGTAAAATAAGTCATCACCCACAAAGCCACAATGTGAAGGTCTTGTTTTTTTTTTGTTTTGTTTTTTTTTTTAACTCTGTTGAGGTGTTGGAAAATGAAGATCAGATAGCTCCAGCCTACATATGACAATACTCCATTTTTGGTCCGATCTGGTTCTGGTATCAACTGAGCATGGTAATAGTAGTCTGTAACTTTCTGGAGTAAGATAAGGAAGGAACTATATTTTTTAAACTCTATCAAGGCTAGAAAGTGAAGATACTACTTCTGATACTTCCTGCAACAGGATGAGAAACTATTTTTTAAAAAAAACTCTATCAAAGTTAAAAAGTGAAGATTGAGTAGCTCCAGCCCTGATATGGCCGGAATGAATAAACAAACACATTGTAGAATATAAACTTTTTCCAAATATAAGATGTGGTCAAGCAAGTAGCATACAGAAATATAATACATTCAATAAATATTTGAGGATGGGGGAATACACAGGTAAAGTAATCTGTTAGTAAAAAAAGTCAGCAGCGCTTACCCAGATTGTCTCTCAGCTTACTCGGTTCCGTGTGCGGGTCAAAATTATAGTTTGGGATTAATTTTACCCTCATACGAGAAAAGTTTTCTTGATTTGATAATTTCCAGTGTTTGCATTCAGTTGATCTGGAAAAAAAAAATGTAAAAGTAAAGTTATTTCTCACTTGGAAAATGGGAGTAACATGTAGAGTTAAAATTTCAGCCATGATCATTTCATCCATTTTTGCACCTCCCCAGTAAGGGATGATTGAGCTTCCTAGTTTACAATATACAGAAGGTCCTCAGGTGATATCGGGCCCCAACGTACAGCATTTTGTGGTTATCGCACCGACTAATATAAGGAAGACTGTGTTCTTTCTTCACCGGTTGTATGCCATAGTGAATTGTGCTACATTCGCTATCTCTCATTTGTGTCATTTTTTAAGGGGGAACTTTTTGCTCTTCATAATGGCTCCCAAGTGTAAAGCAGATTCGAGGGTGCTTATGTAGGTGAATTCCGACTTACATTAAAAATCAGGTTATGTTGTGCAAGATCTTTGACGTAAGTCAAGGACCTCCCATATTAAAAATAAATTAGGAGACGGAGGCAATATTTGAAATTTAGAAAGTAATTCTAGCTAAGAATTCTTGAAGTAAAATTTCATTGCTAAATATACTGATCATAAAACAAAAGCCAATAATTGCTAACTCACTTATCACTCCATGCCCCACGTTTAGCTGAAAATAATCGCTTTGTTGCCCTCCATTGCCTGATGGTGGAATTGTGCTGATTTCTTAATTGGGTTGTCACATTTTGAAAGCGGCGTTGTTCCTGTGATATTCGATGCTTGGCAACATCAACAATCTGACTCTGAAAATAGAATTATGAAAAAGTTTTATTGTCATAATGTAGTAAAACAGTTCATTGTTTCAGTAATTAGATATATTTTTATGTTTATACATTCTTTTTATAGATAAAAATATTTAAGTAAATGCTCTGTTTATAATAAACAGTATTAAACAACATTTACCAGCCTGAATGTCCAAGAAATTTTCATAGAAAATATTCGTTCTCTGACAGGATTCAAAGCAGTATCCTATACGGAACTGTCATTTAGCTTGACGTGCCATAACCAATTTGACTACAGAGGAGCGTTCGGTTAGCAAGGTTGAATTTACTGTTTTTAAACTTCAATCTCCCATGTACATTCATATCTGCACAAAGTGCATCCAAATGTAAACAAATGAATTAAAATAATTAAAATGTCTTAAAATAATTGTCGGACTTTGTTCATTTCATAATGTGTGACGTCTGTTTGAACATCTTTATGCTTATTACATTTAATTACACTGTATTCGGTGTTGAATGGAAAAAAACACTAAGAAATAACACACAAAAATGAAAAAAAAAAAAAAAAACTAAAGAAAAAGAACCAAAACAAAAAAAAGACTAAATAAAATGAAAAAAAACCCCAAAAAGATTAAATAAAAAGTAAAAAAAAATTGTTTTATGGCTTATCAACCATTTACAGGTTATTTAAAGCCAGAAAATATTTTCAGATTGTAAGAATTTTTTTTTTTTTTTTTTAGAGATAATAATGATTTAATGATACAAGTCTTTACTAATTAACCCATAGCTAGGGGGAGAAGAGGTGGATTCATACCTCGGCAGAATTTGATAAATAATCAAGAAATTATATTGTGATCATAAAGTTGGGGATCAATTCCATATGGCAATCAATATATAAACTAATCCCTCACTTTGTAGCCAAGATAGTTTCTATGCATTTATATTCCAGAGAATGTAAATAAATTTAAAAGACATGCTATATAGGTAATCAGCATTTCATTGATTGATTGATTCGTTATCTACGGCTTATCAACCCTTTGCAAGTTATTTAAAGCCAGAAAATATTTTTAGATTGTAATGATTTTTTTTTTTGAGATACTAATGATTTTGCTATACAGGTCTTACTAATTAACCTATAGCTGGGGATAGACTGGTGGATTCATACCCTTTTCCATTTATCCATTGAATATATTGAACCCACACATCCAAATTTAAAAAACCTCCGATTTTTTTTCATTGGTCACACATTAGGTACTCACAGTACATCAAATCTTGTTTAACTTATTGATCCCCAAGAACTTGTTGATTTTCACTCAATCAATTAGAATCAAAAATTCAACGAGAGCCATGACTGGTGAAGTATCAGTGCATCTCAACGTGATGTTGGTGCCTTCTGCACGTTTCTGAAAGGTAGTCAAAACGCTAAATATAGTAATTAATTTTTTAGGATTAAAAAATGGATATTTATTTCAAGTTTTTAAATCAAAAACCAAGCACATAGGTTTTCCATGTTTACACTCACATCTTAACGTAACATCTCCTTCCACAATCCTGGAAATTGTTTTTCATTATAGATCAAGGCATCATCCTTTTTCAATGGGTCTTGCTCCAGCAGTCTGCGTATCTACAGTGATACATGGCTGATCCCATAACAATGTTTTCTGTTGATTGCCATAACAAGTAGTGGAATGAAAAAATTTTGATTTGATCAAGAATCCTGGCTGTCAAAGACCTCAGACTTTTTTTTTCCATTTGAGGACTAATATTTTCTCACACTCAGGCATTGTGCTTGGACATTGTCCCCCATAAAGGATCTATACTGAATAACCAAATCAATTTGATTCCATAAACGTCATGGATTAAAAGACAAAGTTAAAAGGGTTAAAAAAAAATCTAGTGGATTGGAAATCATCAATTAAGAGGTGGATCCACTAGTAACCTTTTTGTGATGGTCTTTAGATAATTGTTTATCATCATGCCCATTTGATATTTTAAAATGAGACTCAAAACTCCTTAATCTTTAAGAAGGAAAGGATAATCCTTCGGGTATTTGCCACAGTGTTTTTTATCTTTGCTTCAGATAGACGGTACAGGAAACTCCATCGTGTATTAATTGAAATCGCTTGGGTTTATTCTTTCACCAGTATTTTGCGTATATGGATCTTGTACTATCGAAATTTCTATTTTTTCCTGGGATGTTTAGATCATTTGCTGTGATTACACTACATGAATCTAGAAATATGATGAAATTTGTTTGGCCTTGAAAAATATTCGGCCTCAGAGGATTGATGACTGGATTTTTTTCATGCCCTTCTTATCATCCGGGCATCAATTAGTTGCTTTACAGCCATTGTTATCCTAAGTCGCATTTCAAAGAATTTTTATTAAAAACTGTAATGTGAATGAAACCTTACTAGTAAGCAAATCAAAATTATATAGATTGGCTCAGAAATTCATAAATTTATGTGGATGTTCAATTTAAAAGAATTTTTCTCAATCTGCAAGGAATGACTTTGTGGAATGGACAAACATTATTGCTAACATGTCTACTGGGTCATTTTTACTGGAAAAAAAAAAAAAGTAAATAACAGACGTTTATTCGTTTTGTTTTCAATTAATTTCCAGAATTTTTTAAATTTCAATTAAAAATGAACACTGCTAATCTTCTTTGGGAATGCATAAACAAAAATTTTCAAATATTTGATGAATGACTAATTTTTTCCTTATTGTTTTTAAATTTGTATCGATAATTTTAGTTATTTTTTTCTTGTGTGTTCTCTCTAAAACATCAATTTAACACTGATCTAGATAGATGGAAACCTGTAGATTTTAATGGATCTGGAGGGCCTAAAAGGTATTTATCTAAATGGAATGCAATATCACCAACAATGTGCTATTTTATCATGACGACTCACTGAATGGAAACCACATTTGGCTGTGATGCATGTGATGGGCATGGTGTTGTTTTGTTAATAGGTTTTTGGTTGCCAAAATGGGTATATTGGCCTTTTATATTAGCACCCCAGCATCACTTTGTTGGAACCATCAATTCTCTCAGTAGTAATAATATAATTAATACCTGAAACGTCAATTTGCTTTTCCCCTCCTCCTGATTTCGTTTTTTAAATAAATCATCAGAAAATGTTTGGCATTCACTCAGAACGGGAAATCATGGCAAAATCTGTGAATTAAAAAATCTTTCAATAAAATAAAGACGGAGGAAAAGGGTCCAGTACAAAAAGAAAAAAAAAACAATTGATTACTTTGCAACTGAGGAAGAGGTTCCATGAATGTTGAAAAAGATGAGGTATTATAACTATTTACACTTTACATTGGTTCTACAACTGGGTTGCTGAGAAAATACCATTAACAGAGACATATAAAAACGACATTTCAGCTGTTGTACCTCCAGTCTTCTTCAGGATTTAATCAGTATTTCTGAGATTTCTTGGACTGTAACGAGGAACATTGTTCAGAATGATTTCACCTCATCTTTGACATCATGTTTAAATGAAACAGGGGGGGCAGTATACTGCCTCAGCATTCTTCATGGATGGAATGTATATTTCTTGGAGGGATGTAAAAAAAAATTACTACTATTTAAATTGTTTGGACTGTTGAGCCATTTATTGTCATATTCTAAACATTTCAGTCATGGAAGAAGTCTTCTTCAATTTGATATACACTAAAATTTTTTAAACCAAACCCTTTCGGGACCAATTGTTTTAATTTTTTTTTCCATGCCTTTTTTTTTATTCTTTTTTTTACCTTTAATTTTATTAACTTTAGACTCCAATTTTTTTACCAAATCTTTATTCTATATTAACTGATTTCTTTATTTATTTATCTCTTTTTTTGGGTCACTTTTCTATTTCACTGGATTATTCTCTCCAACCACACACACACATACATAAACATCAGTAGGATAATGGTTAATTTTTAGGGACTTATGAACCTAAATGTCTAATCAAAATTCGATCCTCATTGAGCTCATATACAAAATTTGATATTTTGTTATTGTTTTAAAGCACTTATAATTACTAATTCCCATTTTGTATTAATGCCAATTATATCCTTTGTCACTTTGGGTTTTTTTGTGGTAAAAAATGATGGTCAGCGAGTCTAATCTTTTTGACCATTTCTTCTTTTGTTATGTTTTAACTAGTATTTTCATTGTCATCCATAAATACAAAATTTTGATATTAATAACTTACTATAATTATATAAAAAAAAATCAACTTTTTTTACCTCTCTCTCAACACAGACACAGACACACACATCCCACAATCCACAATATAAACTGTTAATATAAACCAGCTCCTGGGAATAATCAATGTCGGGTTTTGTTCCGGTTAACCATTTTTCTTTTTTAACTTCAACTGATATTCTACTCTCTTCTGTTCTCTTCAGTCTCTCTGTCTTGCCATCGCTCACAGACAAACTTAAAAAATAAAATAAAAAAAGATATAAAATAGAAACACTTTGGAACAAGATATAAATCACACTTTCCCCTTCTATATGCTCTCCATTTCCGCTTATTTAAAAAAGGACCACACTTAAAATTTGTCTTGGTTTATTTAAAGTATTAATCTTCTTCCTAATATTCAGTCCTTTTTAAAATAATATTTCTCTACTACTTTTTTTAATTATTTATCTCTTCGATGAAAAGCGTTTTAAAAAATTTTGCGGTTTTCTAGTATTTTTTTTCGGATAAATCTTATTTAATTCTTCAATTAATAATTGAATAAGTTCTGAATAAAGAGTTTTTTTTCCTAAAATAATACACTATGCCAACCAAGGATATAAAGACCATTATCTGAGGATGGGGGCAGAAACGTTGATTCATAATTTCTGGATATTTTTTTACCTTCTGAAATGAATGAACTCAGATGGTTTTTTCGTCCACCATTGAACCAGCATTTTGAATCATCATCACAGAGCTGTAGAAGTTGACATGTCATGTTTACAATGGAGATCATTCTCAAACCTATTCGGATTCTTTTACTATTTTCCTAGACAAGTTCTTCAAAAATTAATCGCAGCACGGAATTGAACTTGGACTCTTGTTTTCGAATTGGAGTTGAATGTTAATTACTTTATCCACTGAAAAATGTGTCCTCAAGGGAAATTAACAGAAGACATGACATCCAACTATAGGTTAACAACATAGTACTACCACTGGAAAAATTACTGTACAACGAAAAATTTTAATAAATATTTAATGTAAAAAGAAAAGATTAATAGCACTATTCGTAAAAGAACAAAATGTAAATTAAAATCAATTAATTCAAGATGATATTTTAGTTATATTTGTTGTTGTAAATTATAAAAACAAATCATTCAATTCTTCCTCAGAGTTTTGATGTATTAAATTCAATTTCGAGAGAATGATTTTCGAACCATTCCAATCATTTTATTTGGGAAACCCATTAAAAAAAATTTTTTTTTCTTTATTTTTGGCCCAGACATGTTCTGCTAGTTAATTTATTTTTATTGTTTCATTTTATAAAAAAGCAAGTAATAAAGCCATTAAGAGAAGTTTTAGAACATCAAATAAATGCAAATATAAAACAGAAAAAATATTATTATCTTAAGAAAAAATAAATTATTTTTTCAAAATATAAAGTTTTTCTAGATATGAAAAATTAAAATTATGACAAGAAAGTGTTTTTTTTGCTATATATATATATCAGGTCATCTCATAAGTTCTGTCAGAATTTTGAATAAAGAAAACAAGTGACCAAATGTTACATTTAATTACAGATTCAATCAACGATGTATTTTCCCTGATTATCTATGACTTCCTTCCATCTATTAACAAGCTTACTAATTCCATTACTGTAAAATTCTTTTTGGCTTTTATTTGAAGAACTCACAAATGTCAGTTTTAACCTCTTCCTGTGTTACAAAAGCTGTTTCTTCCAAATGATTCTGTAAGCTACGAAACAAATGGTAGTCTGAAGGAGCAAGATCGGGAGAATAAGGTGGATGAGGAATTTTCTCCCAACCAAGTTCTTCGATCTTTTGTGACGTGATTCTTGCTGTGTGGGGTCGCGCATTGTCCTGATGAAACATCACCCTTTTCGATTCACTAGAGCAGGTCTTTTTTTTCCTCAAAGCTTGGTTCAAACGCTCTAATTGCTGACAGTATATTTGAGCATTAATTGTTGCATTAGGTGGTAAGAATTCAAAGTGGATTATTCCTTGGCGATCCCACCAGATTGAAAGAAGAACCTTTTGCCCATGAAGTTCCCTTCTCGGCTGTGGCTGGGGTCCTTCCCTTTACCAAGCCACTGTCTACGACGCTTAACATTTCGATAAAAGATCCATTTTTCGTCGCCAGTCACAAGTCTATCCAAAAAAAGGTGAAACAAGTTGGCGAGAATGGAGAGAAGAGCAGATGTCAACTCGGGATTTGAGGTTGTTTTCAGACAATTCATGAGGCACCCATTTTCCAAGTTTAGGAACTTTTCCAAGTTGTTGAAGATGACGATGAACAGTTGTATGGTTTGAACTGAGAACCACTGCCAATTCCTCAACTGATAAAGCAGGATTTTCTTCAGGGCTGCTTCAAGAAGCTTTTCATCAAACTCAACTGGACGTCCGGTTCGATCTTCATCTTCAAGGGTGAAATCTCCACCTCTGAATTTTGCAAACCATCTTCTGCAAATTCTTTCATTCACACATTCCTCTCCATAAATTAAGTGAATGTTTCTAGCCGCTTCGGCTGCTGAGTTTCCTTTCTTGAACTCATAAAGCATTATGTGCCTCAAATGATTCTTGGGTACTTCCATGTTAGCAGAGTTTTAATCAAACAAAATTTAATTTTATTGTTCTCTGAAATAAAATTTGATCAGTTTAAATGCATCTAAACATAAAAATAATGTTCAGCTCCATTAGACATTATAAAATACTCTTTAAATTTCGTTCATTTTAACAAAAAGTTAAAATTCGGACAGAACTTATGGGATGACCTATATATATATATATATATATATATATATATATATATATACCAAGGAAAATAACAATGAGATTTATAATTCAGAGTTCTTAGCATTTATTTTTATTTTTAAAAAACAGTGCTTGATACAACTATAGAGTATAATATTATAATTGTTTTGTTTTTTTTAAATATATTGCAACACTGAAAATTCCATGTTTCAAAACTGAAAATTTAATTTAAATTCAATCATAAAAGTTAAACTCAAAATACAAAGTTCCATTCCATTATCAAGCAATGCTAAGAATAACTTTTTTGAAATTGATTCACTTTATTTGTAAGTTCAGACAGACTTGATATTTTGAGATGTTGGGGTTAAGGAAAATTCAATCATTTTTATTTTAGAGGTGTTAAGATTAAACTTATTTAGAAAAACTTATGTGTCTAATGTTTTTCAATCAAATTGGTCAAGTCAAGGGGGTCTGGACTTTGTGAGGCCAACATCAAGTTTTTCAGCTAAACTACATTTAATAAATTGAAAACATCAAAAAGAAAAAAAAAAAACTATGTAAAAGTAAAAGGTTTTTGCACCACAAAATTGAAGCAGGAGAATCCAGTCATGGCTGTCAGACAATTTTGCAACCATGTCACTCCTAACATCTGACCATTCAACTCCCCTGACTAAATTTGGAACAACAGTTGAGAGAGAAATCAACAAAACTCCTTGTATAAAAATGAAGATGAACTGAAGGCAAGGATTAAAGCAGCTTTTCACCAACTTAAACAAGGAGACTACCCAGAAGAATTGTTTTTCAATCATCAAGTTGTCTGGGTTTAGTTGATGCCAATTGAATTCAAAAACTGAGTGAATTTGCTCTTTTAGAAAAATATTTTTTGTGTAATTTTGATAAATATATCTGTTAAAATGAGATGTCAGTGTTATTTTCATTTTTGTGTAATTTAGATGAAAATTTATCCATCATACCCTGTATGCATGTATATATATATATATACATATATATATATATATATATATATGTATGTGTGTGTGTGTGTGTGTGTGTGTGTGTGCATTTGCTCAGGGCACAGACATGGGCAAACTTCATTTTGACAAACAGGTGAAATCTTTATATGGCGTTAGTCTGAGGATATTCCTTTAAGTTAATATTTTTTTTTTCATTTTATTGTGGGTATGCAAGGCTTGACTCACCTGTGTACAAACAAAATTGGACCACTCACAACCACCACAATAGATGCGGAAATCATCAAAAAAGGTTGGACTTCTGGCAGTGGCTGGCAGGTTTGGTAAGTAAATTTCCATATTAAGAAGAGTGTATGATTTGTCGATCAAAGCTTTGAGGACAGGGATGAGGAAAGAGTAAGTATCACTATTTTCTGAATAAAAAGAAAAAATAGGAATGACATTAGAAAAAAAATGAACAAATAAATAATACAGGTAGAAACTTATATTGCTATTTGCAGGTGTTAACAATTTACATTGTTTGGTTTTTATCTGTCATATTCACATTTGTACTCTCAGGTTTTTTTCAGGTGATATAGGTTGCAATTTCAAACCGAAACCATTATTTCAGCCACTGGGGTAGATTATTCTAGTTCCACATGCCATGCCTTTTCTGGATATCTCAGTTTCTGTTAATTCCTTTTCATAACTCAACTCTTCAGTTTTTTTTTTACCTCTGCTGTGGCCAGGTATTGAACTCACAACTGTTTGGGTCAAGTCACTGGATTACTTCAACCAACACTTTTATCCATGTGTCCTTGGGGAGTGGACAATGGCCAAAACATCATGAATATAGCAATAAAGATGAGGACAAAAGTCCAAACAATTTAAATAGTGTAAATAATTACAATAGCTCATCTCAGAAATGTACACAGATCCTGAAGAAGGCGGGAGCATACAACAGCCGAAACATCATGAATATGGCAACAAAGATAAGGACAACAGTCCAAACAATGTAAATATTGTAAATAGTTACAATACCTCGTTTCAGAAATATAGACAGAGGTAAAAGGTGTTAAGTTGTTAAAAAGCTCAATAACTATAAAGGCTAAAAAAAAAAAAAAAAAAAAAAAAAGTAAATTATAAAAATCCACCAACTTTTGGCTTGGTTTGTTTTACAGTTTATCAACCTCGATGGGTTATTTAATTCCAACAACATTTTTATTGCTGGTAAAAATTTTCCAAAAAATGTATTGCTGGTAATATTTTTTTCTTAAAAAAAAAAAATGTATCGCTGGTAAAATTTTTTCCTAAATAAATTTATTACTGGTAATTTTTTTTACAAAGTATTTCTGGTATTAAAACCAATTTTTACACTTTCATAGTATTTTGACCCCAGTTTGAAGTTAACTATTAATTTTCTGGGACTAACAAGTCTTACCACCCCGGGTCAGGGTGGACATGTTCACATTTGCAATTAAGAGGTGGTTTTCTTATCTTAAAACCTCCTGATCAGAGGCCTTGCTGTTAATGTAATGGATTTATCATCTTACCCAGGACACGGATGTAGTTTGAAATTCTTACCAAGAATGCAACTGATGAACAATTTGATGGATATCCTACAACTGTTGGAAAACAGAAATCAAGATGTGGCAGTTAGCGACTGACCTAGACAAAAAGAAGGCATTGATATTAGCATTCTCACTTTGCAGAAAGACTTTTTCAAGATTTTTATTAGAAATGGACACTGAAGATTTGAATACTAATCACACATTGAATTGATTATTCATTGCAGAGGAGCAGAACTGTACAGTGGACCAAATGGGCATAATTACATAACCCTGAAGATCCAATGATCGTGCATTTATGTTCCACTGTGACTAATATTGGTCTAATCTGATAAAGGTCACTGTAAAATAGATTTATAGGGATTTACCAGAGCGCCCTTGTCACAACCAGATGTAACAAATGGTCAATGTTTAAATTGGGTTTAAATTTTATACTGCAAAAAAAAAAATTGCCCAAGACCCTCAACACTTCATTTAAAATAAAAAAAAAAATGAAAATAAATAAAATACAAATAATTACTTTTTTGGGGAAAATTCAGAAAAATTTTACAAATTAAAAAATCAAATATAAATCCCAGCCAAAGGCAAATGGATTTTATAGATGTTTACCATACAACAGATGTGACACAAGGTCAGTTTAAGGTAGGTTTATCGGCATTACTGTGGAAAAATTTCTAAACCTCCTCGGCACTTCTCCTTTTGAGTATACCTCAAGCACAGGGCAATAAACTCACCCACCTTCCAAGGGGGAGGTACAACCTAGGAGGATGGTCCCCCTGAGGTTTCAATTAAAATATAAATACTAGCCAAACGCAAATGGACTTTATATCTTCCAGGCAGAAAAACCATAAGTTTAAAGAGGCAGAACCCATTTCAATTGCAGGTGGAACAGGTCAACTTATTAAAGCACAAGTTAGCATTAGCTGAAAGGCTATCAGTTTAATACTTGTGCTGGGTAATAAATATACATTTGGGCTATTTAATAACTCAAAACATGTCATATGTGTTAAATTATTAAATTATTTCCCTGGGAAACAATGCCTTGTGCTTTTACTGTTGAATCGGTTTTATATTTTGTTGTTGATGTGGTAAAAAAATTTGATTGATAACTGAAAGCATTTACAAAAATCACACCTGTATATAAAGGTAGAGAATCTCCACAGCTTAAACAACAACAACAAAATTAACAATTGTATATAATCAAGTGTAATCTATGTATTTTTCAATCCAGAGTTAATGTCAACAGCACAGATAGTTAGGAAAAAGCTATACTTTTAGTAGATTTAAAAATGGTATCCATTAAGTTTTTCAAAATAATTGTGTATTTGATCTTCATTTTTATACTGCTGATAGATTTTTATTCATTTTTTTTTAAACATATCACCCAAGCAAGGCAATAAAGCAACTAAGACATATGAAGAATATGAGAAAGAAAAGAAACATATTAAGGAAAGAGAATAATAAAAGAAGAATTAAAGAGACGGAAGATAATGATTGATATTGCATTTAAATTTTTGGAGATCAAAGTTGACTGTGCTATTAATATTACTTCCTACTGTATTCTTTTTTCAATTGCAGTATCCTTAATATTAATTTTGCTCAAAGTTGTTTGCTGTTGCCATAGCAGGATATGACAGCACAACTAGGAAATTCAAACAACCTATTTTCTCAAATATGTCAGGAAGGTTAAACACTGCTTTACACGTCTTTGATGTGTCTTGTGAGTGTTAAATTCTTCAAGCCTTTTTTTCTCATTATGTCCCCAAAATTTCAAGTACCTCCTTTCTGATTATTAACAATTACTTTGTAGTTCCTCTTGATCTAATCTGACTTCATCAGGCAAATAGATTTGATATCTCCCCAGTGGAAAAAGCATAAGTTTATACAGAACTCAATGGGCAGAACCCATTTCAACTGCATGTGGAACAGGTCATCTTATTAACCTTTAACACTCTGCATTATTAATATTACTTCCTTTTCTACTGCATTCTTTTTTTCAATTGCAGTATCCTTATTATTAATTTTTCTCTAAGTTGTTTTCTGTTGCCATATCAGGATATGACAGCACAACTAGGAAATTCAAACACACTATTGTTCAGGTATCAGTCACCTTCAATGGAAAGATAAACTTTTTGTACAGTAAATGAAGTTTTATACAAAGTGATAAAGGTTAAAGCACAAGTTTACATTAGCTGAAGGCTATCAGTTTAATACATGGGCTGGGTAGTAAATATACATTTGAGTTATTTAACAACTTAACAAGGATAAGACATGCTGGGGGGACTTTTTCAACTGGAAAAAATCTACAGAGTGGTCGGAGAGTCTTGTCACCCCCTACCAAAAAATGATGAGAACAACAAGTAATAAAAACACATTCAGTTTATTCAATTTCATTGATGCTGTCTCAGATCGAGAAGGTCTGTATGAACATCATTATTTTTATAATGTTGTGTTACATCGTGTGTGATATTTTATGAAGCTGTACTTTGTTGAGTGTTTCAGAGGCTCTGCAAACGTGTCCTTCAACTGATGGGTAAACTGGTATCATTCATGTGAAACTCTCTCCTTGATAATACCCCACAGAGTGTTGAAAGAGAAAATTATGTAAGGGTAACAAGACTTCCGGACCACCCGTTACATTGATTTCCACTTTCAATGTTTGCAGACAGCACCATAAATCAGCTGCCACTGAACTGAAAATCAATGACATCTGTATTTTCATCCTGATGTCAAACCAAAACACCACGGTGTTGGGAAAAGCTGGATCTTCATTTCAGCCCCTGCCTGAAAAAATTCCCTAAGTACTACAATTAGAAAAAATACCCCAGGTACTACAATTAGAAAAATTCCTTCATTGCTGCTCACCCGCTTGGTCCATGATATCCTTAGCATTCTTCTGTAGAACCATACCTCCATTGCCCTCAATTGTCTCCTTCATCTTTGAGCAAATAATCCAACATTTGCTGCAATGCAGGAGGACAGATGTTATGTAGCAGTTTAGTACTCTTTGCTTTATTACCAAAGAAATACACCTGTTTCCTGTTTTTTATATAAAAAGGCCGACAATAATCAGCAATACATTTTATCGGTAATTGGAGTCATAATATTGTGTTCCAAATATTTAGATCCTGGCATTAAATAGCCCAAAGAGGTGTTGGTATGTCGCTAAACAAAACCAAACAAACCACCCCAGGTTAAGGTGGACGTGAGAACAATGTAGACTCGTCCTTTTTTTTTACCTATCACCCCTAGTAACAGAACAGTCTATATCTTACGCCTACGTACGGAAAACTTCGACCAATAAAAACTGTACTAGGCGAATGAATAAATCTCATTGGTTAAAGACAAAATAATCTGAAAGTTTCACGTGCAAAACAAAATTGTGCCAAAACTTCTTTGAGCCGATTTTGGACTTTCAAAACATATAAAAGAAAACACCGACTGACCAAAGCAGTCAGAGATGAATATCCACAGAGAAATTGCCAACATACTCCACGTCACTCGAAAACACTATTTTACCACGCAAAAGTACATCAACGCTGACTCACTTGCAATTTGAACTTGACCAACTCTGTGGACATCGAATCGCAAACCTAAAACACCTTTGCTTATCCAAAGTGAATTATATTCACTACATATTAAGTAAAAAATCAACGTTCGAACAATTCAGAAATATTACAGTCAAAGGTAGATCACTCCATAAGAACTCATTCCTAAAAACACTTAATATCGACATTTTTAATATTAACACAAATCCAGAAAGACTGTAAATAAACATACAAATACTAAGAGAGACATTCCAAAACCTCAAGTATCACACACACTTTGCCATAGCAACATATACCAAAATATCCTGTATATATATTACTTTGAATTGTATATAAATGTTTTATTGGTTTCTAAATTGAATATGTCTTGTTTTATGATTGTATTTAAAATTCGTTTATTTATTTGTTTGTGGATGCAGAAAGTCACGCAACCTATACAAATTCCTCCTGATTCACTCAATTACAATTAATTAATTCTGCACATCCCCAACAACAATAACAACAATTAAGAAGTGGTTCTGCATTCTTAAAAAAAAACCTTTTATCTCCCAATCAGAGGCCTTGCTTCTAGATGTAGTTTATCATTATACCCAGGAATCCTTTACCTTTCTGGAAATGGTGCCAATTTAATAAGAGTAAACATGTATTACCAAATAAGGTAAGTCAGTTATTGTTAACTAAAAAGGTATCTCAATTACAACTCTCATATAAGTGCTGTACCTGTGGTGGAGAAGATGAGTTAACAAAAGCACATTATTTTAAATGAAGCCGTAATTGATATCCCACCTGTACTTACCTTCAATTGCTTTCTGTACATTATCATATAAAGTACCAATTAAATAAGAAGCTTCTGCGGAACTGGTCAGGGTTCTAGTCTGCACTAAGGAATGCAACCGGGCGGTGGCTACTGCACACAGCTGTAGAACGGAAAAAAAAAAAAAAATCAGGTTTATTCTTCTTTCCAATAGTGTTCATTTTTTTTTGTAAAATTCATTGTAGGTGTTTATCTGGATATTTATCTAAGTTATTGTTTATACATTATTTTTATAGATACAAATATTTAAGTAAATACTCTGTTTATAATAAACAGTATTAACAACATTTACTGGTCTTAATGTCCAATAAATTTCATAGAAAATATATGTCCTCCGACAGGAATCAAACCTGTATCCTATACAGAACCATCATTTAGCTTGACATGCCTTTAACCGATTTGGCCACAGAGGAGCGTTCGGTTAGCAAGATCGAATTTACTGTATTTGAACTTCAATCTTCTATGAATCTCTCATGTACATTCATATCTGCTCATGGCGTATCATGTAAACAAATGACGTCACACATTAGGAAATGGACAAAGTCCGACAATTATTTTAAGACATTTTTTATGTTTATACATTCTTTTTATAGATACAAATATTTAAGTAAATGGTCTGTTTATAATAAACAGTATTAAACCACATTTACCGGCCTGAATGTCCGAGAAATTTTCACAGAAAATATTCATCCTCCAACAGGATTCGAACATGTATCCTACATGAAACCGTCATATAGCCTGACGTGCTATGCCATTTAGCTACAGAGGAAGCATCTGATTAGCAAGGTTAAATTACTGCTTTTAAAGTGCAAATTTCCCATGATTTCTCTTGAATGCTCATATCCGCTCAAAGCATATCTTAACGTAAACAAATGACATCATATATTATGAAATGGACTAAGTCCAACAAATAGTTTAATATATTTATTGTTTATATGTTATTTAAGTTATTGTATCGGACAAAGGAATATTGGACAGCTGTTTCTCAGGTATAAAGAGTAACCTCTCAACGCTCAATAAAAAGACTAACTTTGAGCAAATTGCCCTAAATAGAAATAACGGAAGATATTTGTGCCAGAGTGATATCAGTAATTTTTAAATCACTCCTATTGAATGGCTAAATGATGAAAGACAACAGCAAAATGTGTCAGCAAATGTTCCTGTTGCTATGTCCTGAGATCCTCACTGTAGCACAATATGTGGACTCATATGCAGGTCACTAGTGGGACTGAAGTGTTATATATGACACAAACATGAAAACTGAGTGAGCTTGTCAGATTCTCATACGTTGAAATCAACTCAAGACTCCATGATATATATATATATATATATATATATATATATATATTTATTTTAAGAAATTTTTATGTTTATACATTTTTTTTATAGATACAAATATTTAAGTAAATGCTCTGTTTATAATAGACAGTATTAAACAACATTTACCGGCATGAATGTTTGAGAAATTTTCATAGAAAATATTTGTCCTCCGACAGGATTTGAACCTGTATATAATACGGAACCGTCATTTAGCTTGATATAGGATACAGGTTCGAATAATTCGGAGGATGAAATTAGTAATAAAAAAAATGAACATTCAGGCTTAAATGTTGTTTAATACTGTTTGTTATAAACATAAATTTTTTAAATATTTGTATCTATAAAAGAATGTATAAACATAAAAATTTTTTTAAAATAAAAATAGGACTTTTTCCATTTCATAATGTGAGATATATATATAATCAATTCCTCCAAGCAAGGCAATAATACCACTAACATGCAAGGGGGCTACTGGGAATAAAAGAGAATGAGAAAGCTTTAGATGGAATCAGAAACTCAATACCTAAACAGGAAACAAGGGATAAACTTCTACTCCTGTTCAAAAGTGGGGCCAGGGAGGAGTGTGAATTGGATGATAGGTGAACCTCTCTACATTATATATATATATATATATATATATATATATATATATATATATAGAGAGAGAGAGAGAGATAAGTAGAGAGTTCACCTATCATCAATTTATATATTCTTTAGTGCAATATATATATATATATATATATATATATCCAGCATGAGATCCAAATTTACAATTTCCATGATTTGTCTACAGGATAAATGTAACAAGATCAAAGTGCGGTCTGGGTCAAGACTGGAATCTATGAATTTACATAGTAAAAAAAAAAAAAAAAAAGCACATTGACATTTAGGCACTTCTCTAAAGTCTAAATATAAAAAAAAACTTACAATATATAGTTCTGGTTGACAAAAAAGGCTAAAAAATTCTTAAACCTATATGAACCATTTCTCTCCATTCAGATTCTTTTTTATACGTATCCCCACACAGCCAGGGCATCAAGTAGGGTCTTAATATCCTCAACCAACTAAAAGAAAAAAAAAATCCTTTTATAATATATTTTCTCATTGTGTTTTCACATTTTTTGTGAATTTTTTCCATTTTGCTGAATGAAGAATTAAAATGTGAAATCAGTTGAACAAATGTGAAATCCTTTTAAATAATTTCCTTACAGGAATGCATGGATTGATGAAATCAAAGTGATTCTACAAAAGAAATTTAGTGTGACTTATTTGGTGATGAAATTGCACCATGAGTTAAACTGGGCGACAAAATTGCGCCGGGAGTCAACTGACAATTGACAGAATTGCACCCGGAGTAAACTGGACACCAGAAAACTTAATATGGTCCTGGTAACATGAAGTAATGATGAAAAAGCTAATGTAGAGCCCACAGTGAAGATCAAAATCACTACAATAGTAATGGTCTACATGACTGACTTCCTAATTCATTCAAAAAGGTCACTTTTTATTGTACTGTAACAGCTGTCACACCAATGTGAATTCTACCAGAGTGATTGAGGTAATTGCACCATAAATTCAATTCTACACATTACTTTTACGATCTTTTTGCAGGAAGAGGAAAAATATCCTGTTTTGCTTTTCATGCTTTACAGTACAGACTCTTGTTATTAAGATGTTATTCTTTGAAATATTCAGAGCAATAGCTTCCTAATTGTTTTTACCAAGTGAAAGGATTTGGAACAAATCTTGATATTCCGTTTACTAAAGGAAACGGTTTATTATAGAAATATATTTAAAATCCGAAAGAAAAGGATTGTCACTGGTCTTAATGAATTAATGCAAGTGCTGCTGGTAGAATAAATTTATTATAATCATGATGTAAAAAGACTGTATAATTACAGTTTAATTAGTTTGCTGAAATTTCTAGGTCAATGGAAAACAAAATGCATTGTATATCACTTATATAATAAATATATTTGGTACTTTATATCATTTTTATAATCAAAGATACTTACATTTAAAATTTAAGTCATTATGAATGGAATAGTCAAATTATTTTTCTTTTTTTTTTAAATTTTTAATAGCATTGCTTTTGAGAATTTTAGTTTAATAGATAGAATGTCATGCATACAAATACATTTTTTTATTTTATCATTTCGCCCCAAGCATTAAAGCTACTATGATGTAAGTGGTTACCGAGTGTTAAAAAATATGAAGAAAAAACTATTAAAGAGAGAGAGAACAATAAAAGAACATGAATTAAGACAAGATAATGATGGACATTACATTTCAATTTTTGAAGATCAAAGTTGATTGAATGATTTTCTAAGCATAGCTTAGATGTGGTACAAGGCTGGAAGTATGGGGAACCCAGTGAGAATCAAACTCACTATTCAGTCGTAACTAACCTAGCAAGACAAGCTTGCTAACCATTGCCACGTCGAAGTGCCCAAGATCAAAGTAGACTGAGAAGCAAAAAGCCAGAAGAGAGTTTCACAAGTGAGAAGTGCAAAAAAAAAAACTGATAACACGGAACTTACAGATACATCTAACAATTTTGATTGTAATTGGATGAAACCTTGCCACCAATCCAGCACTGCACTTAAATTTGTAGAGTCTAAGTAACATCAAGGAAGGTTCATTAAAACAATTACCATGAAAGTATTTATAGAAAAGGTACAGGGAAGTGAGGTTATATAAACTATTTTTCCAGTTGTATTCAACTTTTCTTGCCATGTTGACTCAAGAGCAAAAAGCAGGAAAAGAGTTCCAAAAGCAAAGAGTGGGTAGAATAAAACTGTTAGCATAGAACTTATAGTTACATCTAGCCATTTCGTCTGTAAAAGGATGAGACCTAATTGCTAATCTAGTACTGAACTTAAATCCATCAAGATTAGGTACCATAGAGGAAAGTCCATCAGAACAATTACCATGAAAATATTTATAGAAAAGGCACAGGGGAGCTACGTTACGGCATTTGGTACAGGTCTGAAGACAAGATGTCAGGTCAGGACCAATAACATTGCAGATTCTTCTTTAGATTTTATCATTACACAGAAAAAAAAAATCACTGAAAAAACAATTTGAGTTATTCAGCTAGAAAGAGATCAGATTAAAATTGTTTTATGTCAGCCCCACTATGTTTTCCCAAATGAGCAATGGCCAGAGGAAAAAGATCATTCAGGCCTTCAGTAACAGTATCAACATTTATATTCTGGGTTCCATCTTCAAAGTTTATTCAAGAATCATCAAGAGAATGGTGAATAAGTTTAAAAAAGAGGGAACAGTAGAGAGAAAACTGGACCAGGAGGTCAGAACATCAATTGCAATATGAACACTGATAAAAAAAAAATTTATAGAGTCTAGGTATCATAGAAGATGGTTCATCAGAATAATTACCATGAAAGTATTTATAGAAAAGGTACAGGGAAATGAGGTTATATAAAATGTTTTTTTCTAGTGTATTCTGGCTTCCTTCTTCCACATGCCAAGTCCCTTCAGGATGTAAACACATGGAAGTTGACTTGGAAGCAAGAAGCTGGAAAAGAGTTCCACAAGTGAAAAGTAGATAGAAGAAACTGCTAGCATAGAACTTACAGTTATATCTAGCCATTGTGATTGTAAATTAATGAGACCTAATTGCCAATCTAGTACTGTGCTTAAATCCATAAAGATTAGATACCACAGAAGAAAGTTCATCAGAACAATTACCAAGAAAGTATTTATAGAAATGGCAGAGGGAAGCTAAATTATTTATATTATTTGGAAAAGTATCAAGCACTTTTTAATTTGAAATATAAACGTATTTCCCCCCTGTATTCAGCCTTTTTTTTTTTATATGTACCATGTCTCTTCAGGATGTAAGTGATCATGGTTCTCCACAATTTCCAGTCCTTTATAGCTTTTCATAAATTTTGTCTTTTTGTTATCTCTCCTAAACACTAGTTCAGCCAGCCATAAACCTACCCTGTCAAAGTCGCTATGGAGGTTATGCATTGTTTTCCTATCTCTCTTGCCTTCAAATCTGTCATGTGAGTATCAAATTTTCCAAGCCCTCTTTCCTCATTATGTACCCTAGAAATTTCAGCTCTCTCTTTCTAATGTTAAGTATAAGTGTTCTTTTTGTTTCCATTTTTTTCGAAAACCTCATCGTTGCTCACATATTCGGTCCATGGTATCCTCAGCATCCATCTGTAAAAATTTCAACTCTCTCTTTCTAATGTTAAGTATAAGTTTCCTTTTTGTTTCCATTTACTCTAAAACCTCATTGTTGCTCACATGTTTGGTCCATGGTATCCTCAGCATCCTTCTGTAGAAATTTCAAATGTCTCTTCTTGATGTTAAGTATAAGTTTCCTTTTTGTTATGATGTTGATTTGGGGTTAGTAAAGACAAACGCCAAATAACACATAACAATAAAAAGGGGTTTATTAGGTTGGTAAGAAGGTACAGAAATCGCCTGAGTAGTCTATAACTAGCTCAGCCAAGAACTTCTCTGTCTCTGTCTCTCTGACATGCCACTATTTAAAGTCTTTGTTTGTAGACAAGTTCATCTTCTCTAAATCTTCGTCGTTGCTCACATGTTTGGTCTATGGTATCCTCAGCATCCTTCTGTAGAAATTTCAACTCTCTCTTTCTAATGTTAAGTATAAGTTTCCCTTTCGTTTCCATTTTCTCTAAAACTTTGTCACTGCTCACATATTTTGTCCATGGTATTATCTGCATCCTTCTGTAGTATTCACATATAATCCAGCATCATTAGTAGTTGAACATGATCAGTACACTGAAGTCCTCAGTCATGCAGACTTGTGACTTCATGCTAGTACAACCATCAATGGCTTTCAAACATTTCTGTCTATCCAATTTCACTCAGAATGACAGTACATTTAAACCCTCAGTTACAATGACTTATGATTTCATATATGGCAGTTTCACTCACGAGGCTTTCGTTCAACCGTGTTAAGGTTTCCAATGGTGCTGACGCTCGGATCATCTCCACAGGCTGATATTATCAAGAAATCACCTCCCTGATAAATCAACCATGAAGAGATTTGAACCCAGGTCTCATGGTCAGAAACCTAACATCCTAACCACTCAGCCATACACCCAATTTGACAGTCATGCCACTAAAACATATATCACTGGTCATTCCATGAACATTTTTCATATTTTACAATATCATACTTACCCTTTCACTGTAGACATGATCGTTGCCATTAATGTTTCCAATGATGAAGTCTTGGGCAATTTTGATCAATTCAATTGCATTTTCCGAATGATTAGCAAAAGCTTGACCTAGAAAGATAATTTAAAAAAAAAAAAACAAAAAAAGAAAAAACAGTCATTAATCGGTTGAAATAATTATTTTTACTATTTAGTTTTGATTGGTTTATTTTCTACAGCAAATCAACCCTTTGTAGGTTTAAAGCCAAAAAATATTTTTAGATTGTAAATTTTTTTTTTTTTGAAATAATAATGGTTTTAGTGATACAAGACTACTAATTAACTCATAGCTGAGGGAAAAGAGGTGGATTCATACCTAATTAGAATTCGATAAACAAATTATAATGTGGATATAAAATGGGGGATCAATTCTATATTACAATCAATATAAAAATGAACCCTCATGGCCACACTAGTTTCTATACATTTATAGAATGTACATGTAAAAGATATGCCTGTGTAGCTAATAAGTATTTCATCGATTCATTTTCAATGGCTTATCAACCTTTTGCAGGTTATTTAAAGTCATAAAATATTTTTAGCTTGTAAGAATTTGGTGGAGGGGAATAATAATGGTTCAATGATAAAAGTCTTACTAATTAACCCATAGCTGGGGAGAGAAGAGATGGATTCATACCTTTCCCAAGAGTATTTGTGCATAAGTGAATATAACAAACCCAGCTGAGATTGGAACTTGACTCTCCAATTATCAATTTCAAGCCATTATCTATTACACTCCCTGCACATCCAAGCTTACAGTAGCTGGTATTCCCAAGCAGTCACCCATCTGGGTACTGAGCAGGCTCAAGGTTGCTTAATTTCAGTAATTGTATGGGAATCAAGGTTTCAATGTGATGTGACCAGAAGCCTTGCTGTTTAGTACTAAATTACATCATATCAAAATATTCTGTCTGAAGGATTGATTTGTTTTTTTATGGCTTATCAACCCTTTATAGTGTCAGAAGTGCTTTATTATTAATGCTAATGAGACCAACAAGCACATCTTGGTTCAAATCAAGAATTTTGTCAGCAGAAGAATAATTCACCAAAAAACTAACATTTTAAAATTTCTTAGTGTTGGCAAAATATAAAATATTTATATTTACCGTATCTACTTGTGTATAAGCTGACTACACATGTAGTGTGACCCCAGACATTTTTTGTGAAAAAACCTTATTTTTTTATAAAGCTCATGTATAATAAAAACATGTAGGGTTGAAAACAGTTCATGTCATACATGGCCATCTGAACACTTTTTGGTAGATGTTAAGGATTGAGCAGCTCAAGTGGCTGATATTAAGACAAGCAGATTTCTTTTGGTTAGACCAGCTTGTCTAGATTTTCCATCCAGAATCTACAGATGATTTCTTTACCGTATATACTTGTGTATAAGTCTACTTCATGTATAGTATGACACCCAAATTTTTATGAAAAACCTGATGCTTTCATATAGCTTGTGCATAATGGGATTTCCCCAAGCTTCTGAGCAATACTAGTAGGCCTACCGTAGTCAAATATTGCAGTACTTAGCAAATAAATGGTCTTCATTTTTTTTTTGTACAAAGCTATCGGCAAATGGTGAGAAAAATTTCTTTTATGTGTCATATCCCTTCAGGATGTAGGTGATCATGGCTCTCCACTTCCTCCTATCCCTTGTAGTTCTCAATATGTTTTATCCTTTTACTACTTCTCCAAGACGCTGTCCTGCTATCCACTTGCTTAAGCCTGCTAAGTATGTCACATGTCATTTTCCCTTGTCCCTCTTTTCCTTGTGAGTATCAGATTCACCACGCCGCCTTTTCTCATTTATCTAGTCTATTTATCTAGAAAGCGAGAAAAAAGGCTACCATATATACTCGTGTATAAGCTGACTTCATGTATAGTATGATCCATGATTTTTTTTTTTTTTTTTTGTGAAAAACCTCATTTTTTTCATATAGCTTTGTGTATGTGACCTCCCCCCAGCTTCTAAGCAATACTAGTAGGCCTACCGTAGTCAAATATTGCAGTACTGGTTATCATCCTGGACATATTTTTTAGCAAATAAATGATCTTCATTCATTTTTGTACAAAGATAACCCCTAATGGTGAGAAAAAACACTTGCTGTAAAATATCTGGAATTAAAATTTAGATATCGTACTTTGGTTTTCGTTCATACCTAATTACTGTAGCTTCTTTACTCTGAGTCTGCCTCCTACGTAGACTAAGTTTCTTCCCTTTTGTCTCTACATGAAGAGCAAAACCTCATCCAATATGCATGCTACTTAAAATCAACAAATACCTTATATAAATGAAGAGTTAGTAGATATTTTTGCTATCTCAAATCTGCATTCATCTTTATTTCACAAGTGTTTACATTGCTGAGATCTTGCCTTTCCAATGACAAACTTTTTGTCTGGATTACTGCTACATAATGCAGGATTTCCCACAAGTTGAGATACATATTTCAGGTTATGATAATCTCTGGAAGGCAGGCTAAAGGAGCTTACCTGTACCATTAAATTTAGCCAAAGGTACCGTGAGAATGTTTTGTCAATCTGTCTTGTTTTTGTCAATCTCGCATCAAACTTAACATCACTGCCCTTGGCTTGGACAAGACAACCCGCTGAACTTAAGCATATCGCTAAGCAAAGGAAAAGAAACCAACTGGGATTCCTTTAGTAACGGCAAGTGAACCGGGAGAAGCCCAACGCTGAATGCCATTGCCAGTAAACGACTTCAGTACATGTGGTGCATGGGTTGAAGGCAGACGCTTGTTTTCGTCTCGCGTAGTTCGAAGTTCCTTTGATCATGGCCGTCCATGGTGGGTGCTAGGCCTGTCCGGTGTGGACGACGAGTGACAGCCTTCGATCCGAGAGTCGGGTTGCTTGGGGACACAGCCCGAATTGGGTGGTAAGCTCCATCCAAGGCTAAATACCAAGCCAAGTCTGATAGTCAACAAGTACCGTGAGGGAAAGTTGTAAAAGAACTTTGGAGAGAGAGTTCAAGAGAACGTGAAACCGCCCAGGGTGGGACTGCTCACTGCAATTGTGGGGGGGGGACTCAGTCCTGTACTGCCGAATGTGGCCCAAACTCGATTCGGTTGTTGCCTGATTCCCGGCGCAGACGTCGTTTCGGGGGTCACCAGTAGGGATGGTGCAGTTGAGACCACACCAATGCTCGTCCTCCTACTAGACCTTGACAGCCTCCGGATTCTGCTTTTGCATTCACGTCGCCAATGGGAGAGATGGGCCATGGGAAACGAGTAACTGTGAGAATGTAGGTTTACCAGGTAGGTTACGGTCACCGAAAATGCAGTAATATTAACCCCACTGTAAGCCCATTCTGGAAGTAGTATGACGTGTCCTAAATGGAAAGGTCTGAACTAGTGAAACTACAGAATAGAGATAATCTGAACATTTTCCATAGAAATAGCCATAGAGTAGCCTAAATTTCTTTTCATTAAGGTTAGCCAAAGTTGCTGTGACAATGTAGAACTACCAGGGAAGTTACAGTCACAGAAAGTGCATGATTTTAACAACTTCAAAAGAAAAAAAAATGACCTCTGTATAGTGCAACCCCCTATTTTCTGTATATAAAAAAAAAACAGATCATAAAAACTCACACTATATATAGTACATATATAAATAATTCCTGCATAAATAAATTCCTGTGAAATGTCGATATTCTAAATGTAGGCATTATTATTGGAAGGATGAGAGAAGAGAAAAAAAAAAGGCTTACTGGATTCTCGTAAGTCTGAAGTACAAGAATGCAGCATCATTTCCAGAAGGCGCCGTTTCAATTCATTTGGATGCCTTAACAATTCATAAGACTGATTCATTTTGTCAAGACATGAAAACACTTGACCTCGTTCCTGAGGACATGAAAAAAAAAATACATGTAAAAAAAATTGTTATTATACAGAAATATATGCTGTTAATGTTAATACTTATATAAAAAAATGACCCATTAATACTTTACACAAATTTGCTTAGAGGAACATTGATTAAAAAAAAATCATGTAATACAAACACAATAATGGTAATATTAGCGGTTTCCTTATAAGAAAACATTTGGAATTCATTGACCAAACAGCCATTTAAATTTGAAACTTTATAGTCTTTCTATTAAAGCAATTTTTCAGAAAAATAGATTCTTGGCAGATCTATTATCATAATGTGGGATATTTAGTAGCAAAAGTGATGAAAACAAAGAAAAAAACAATCTAATTGAAATGACCTAGACTATATACCACCCACCACCCAAAAATTATTTTAAGTTTAAAATTCTCAGCATCCCCTTCCTTCATGCACATATGTAGTTACATGAATGTAAACATCACTTTAGTCTGATGAAGTCCTAAAGGACAAAACATGTCACTAGAAAACTTTTCCATTTTGTCATACATTTTCCTCTAAAATTATTCTTGATATATATATATATATATATATATGTGTGTGTGTATTTAGGCAACAAATTCTCTTTTAGGTATGTCTGATTGAACAAATAATAAATTCAATCTACAGATCTTAGAAGCAATTTATATTAAAAAATTAAAGCCAGCACTGAACAGAATTAACTATGAATACTGCAGTAACATTCTGAAATGCCTGTAAAGGAACAGTTTTTTCACGCTTTAATGCACGCATGACAATGACATTATAACATTGAAGAAAAAAATTCCATAATGGATAATTCTTTCATGTTCTAATGAACACTCAGAACATTGTCAACCATTTGCATTTAAAAGCATAATGAAAAAATTACGGTAGTGGATAACAATGCACAACTTTGTATAAATACTTGGACTAATGAACAACATATAGTTTTGTATTACTTTCACCCCTGAAGATGATCTTGACAGAAGATCAAAAGTACTTGGGAAATGAAAATAAATGAAATTTATATAGCTCTAGCACATTTCTCTCATCCTTTAACATCAATACACAGAAGGTTATTCGTGAGTATGAACGGATTTTGTTAAAAATTAGCAGACATAATGTGTGTAATTGATTCAATCAGACATGGCTAAAAGAAAATTTGCTGCCTAAATACACACATTTTATATATACATATACCAACCCTTTCTAGGTTATTTAAAGCCAGAAAATATTTTTTGATTTTAAGAATTTGGGTGGATAATAATGATCTACTTCAATGATTCCCAATGTGGGGTGCATACCCCACTGGTGGCTCATGGTAATATTTTGGTGGGGCATGAGTAGGATGTGCACCCTTCAGCTTACTATACCAACAGAATAATTTGAGAATGAGTTATTAACAGTGAATTGTTTTTTAATGAGCTCAAATTTCATTTTGCATAATTAAAATGATCAAAGTATATTACAGAATAAGCTTTCATTCAAATATATTTGCATAATTAAAATGATCAAAGTATATTACAGAATAAGCTTTCATTCAAATATTTCAGTTTTCTGTTTTGAAAATTTAAAAAAAAAACAGACATATAACTGTCTTTTCGTTTTTTTTAATTTTTCTCTTTTATGGATGCCATGTTCTTTGGAGGCTTGTTTAGAGACCAACTTAATGGCTTTTAAGCTTTCTTAAAATTAAAAATTTTGAATATGTAAGAATTATATATTACAGATGAGCACCAGAATTTTAGAAATACCAAAGTGGGGCATGTCCCAAAATCGGTTAGAAACCACTGATCTACTTATACAAGTCTTTTAATTAACCCATAGTAGGGGAGAGAAGTGATGGATTCATATCTTTGCCAAGGGTACTTGCATCTAAGTGAATACAAACAACCTGACTGGGATTGGAACTTGAGGCTCTGATTTCCAGTTCGGAGCCACTATCCATTATAGCACCTGCACAGCTAATCTTATAGCACCTGGCATTTCCAAACAGGCTCAAAAGTGATGATTGGTTTTAGTTTGTTTTATGGCATATCAACACCTCAATGGGTTATTTAATGCTGACAAGATTTTTATTGCTGGTAATATTGTTTTCCTTCAAAAATGTATTGCTAGTTTATTTGTTTTGTTTTACGGCATTTCAACCATGAGTTATTTAAAGCTGACAAGATTTTTATTGCTGGTAATATTTTTTCTTCAAAAATGTATTCCTTGTATTAGTGTATTGCTGGTAATAATTTTTTTCTATAAAAATTTATTCCATAGTGTTTTGACCTCAGTTTTGGGGTTAACTATTTGCCCATAACAGGTACTACCACCCCGGGACATGGTGGACCTGGAAATACCAGCAATTAAGAGGTAGTTCCACACACCTCAAAGCCTCCTGATCAAAGGCCTTGTTGTTGGATGTAGTTTATCGTCTTACCCAGTACGCAGATGTAGTTTATCGTCATACTTGGGATTTAATGCTAATTGTATGAGAACAGGTGTTTCAATGTGATATGGCTATGGACCTTCAAATTTCTGACAGCCTTAAAATACATTAAATTGCAAATAAAATCATACTCATGGGCAATTCTCAAATCTTACACAGATTTCTCTACATGCAGTAACCACAATGTACATCTTTTTACCTCTCTAATTGCAAGTCACTTCATCTGTTTGCATCTTCTGATACAAAAACTGTTGAGACTTGGGGGCAACAGCCACAATAATAATTATTATTATATATTGATTAATTCAAACTATTGTACTTTTTTTTTTTTTTTTATCTATTACAGACACAACGTTTCAAGTGTGTACCCTCTGGCTATCTCAGAGGTGAACATTTGGCTAATATCTTAACCCTAGAAAACTAACCATGGGTATATAGTACCCAGTGCAAATTTTCCTATTTTTAATTACAATTTTCAGTACCTGATTTTCTTACCTAAATAATGTTTTTCAGTTCCTATTAATGTTAACTCAAAATACAAAGTTTGAAGTGCCTGCATGTAAAATATTTCAAATAAAGATTTATATTTAATATTTTTTTTGGATATTTTCAAAATCAGGTATGATATACCCATGGTTAGTAGTGGTGTAACTTTAATTGATGGTTAGTGCTCTAGGGTTAAGAAAAAGAAAGTTCTTGTTTCTTGGAATCTCGGGTCAAGACTTGGTGGCAAATCACACTATGCAAAGCAAAGGCATAACATAATAATATTGTACATTTCAAACAACAACTTAAAAAGAATCTCACAGACTTACCTTCCATGCGGCTGCATCAGAACCATCAACACCCTTCCACATAATGGTCAATAAGATGATCAACATGTTCTGCGTGAATTCTTCATTCTTCTCCACTGATTCCCGCACGTAGATCTTCTGGATTCCGAGGTTATCCAACGCCCTCTGGAAATTCTCTGCCTGCATTGCCGACGCTTGACTCTCTTCCAGTATTTCTTCTTCCTCTTCTTCCGGTACTGTAGGCACATCATTCATGCTCTCACTGTGAGAAAGCAGGCCATTTGACAGTCCCTCCATTCCTTTCCATCCAACACGCTGTGCCAGACTGCTGAGATCCTCAGCACTTGTACTTAATAAAACTTGTTCATGGACGCTCTTCTGGAATCTTCTCCAATTCAATAGTTTTTTTTTCACCTGTTCATACATTGGAGGGCCCATTGTGTTGTTCTGAGAGAAGGCTCAAAGAGTGAATTCGATGAAGGAATATTTTAAATTTAGATTGGTCCGATTATCAGTTTCCATGCTTCCTGGTTTGCTGGTTATTTCATTGGTTCCAATGGGAGTCCCTACTCGAATGGTACCCTCATCACTTATCTTAAGGATGGGTTGAGAAATTGAACCCAAGCTAAAATTAGTGGTCTTTGGGTAGGAGATGAATAGCTTACAGAGAATCTCTTGCCAGCACAGTTGCTTGGAAAAGTTCTTAGCTGCACCAGATTTTGAAACAAGTAATTGTAAAAGCTGCAAAAAAAAAAAAAAAAAAAGTCAAGATGATAATCGGAATCACTTTAACATACGTTCCCCACTTGAAAAACCTCCCCACTAAAAAAAGGCTAAGGGAGAGAAATACTTTATTTTATAGACAAAGAAAATGTTCCCCTATGTTAATATGGGAGGTAATCATAATAGTGAATATGATTTGCCTGATAACTGGTTTCACTAAAACCATTGAGTCTTCACTTTATCAAATAGTTCATTTCCAAAAAAAAAAAAAAAGTCAGGAAAGGAAGTTGAAGGGAGATAATTTTTATACCTGAATAGTGCTTTTTTTTAAAAAATTATATATCAGTTAAAATAAACCTCATAACAACAACGCCATATTTATTTCGATGCTTCAGCGTTAAAATTTCGCTCTGGCCTTCTTCAGGTGGTCTGAATGTCAAACTGAACCCTTTATTAAGCTCACTGGAGTAGACTGTTCTAGTTCACATGCCATTTTTAATGGATGTGTCCTCAAGGACAAATGGCACAGTGAATAAAAGGCGTGAAGTTATCATCAGTGACAGAACCCAATTTTTGTGAGTTCAATATCTGGTTCCTGAGGCAGTGGAGAATCTTTAAAAAAGAGGAAAAATTAAAGGACATAACTGACATCCATTAAACATGGCACAAGGAACTAAAACAGTCTACTCCAGTGAGCAAAAGGATAACTTAGAGTTGCCAAATTAACAATTTTTGGTAATATCTGGCTGACTTTTTCCTAATTTAGTCAGTAATAATTTACACTTAATTTTTACCTTTTTTTTAAGGTTTTGGGCACATCTTCATTCAACTTAGTGTATTTTTTTTTGGTTTTTTATTTTTTTGTTCATTATTTTCATTATTTGGACTATTGTCCTCATCTTTATTCATATTATATTTATTACATTGTTTTGGCGTTGTGCGCTCCGGCCTTCTTCTTTATGGTCTGAATGTCTAATTGATTTATTTTTAAGCTCACTGGGGTAGACTGTTCTAGTTCTACATGCCATGTTTAATGGATTTGTCCTCAAGGACAAATGGCACAGTGGATAAAAGGCGTTGGTTAGATCCAGTGACAGGACCCAAAAAGTGTGATTTTCAATATCCCCAAAAGGCAGTGGAGAACTTTATAAGAGGTTTTAACAGAGGACAGAAAAGTATGACACTGAAATTTAAAAAATTCGGGATAGTGAAAAGATGCATTTTAGAAAAAAGCTAATAATGAAAAGGTTATCATTAAATTTTTTTTGTTGTTTATTTACAATAATGAATATTTATAAATATAAATGACAATAGGAAAACTGTATTAGTTCATTGACACATTTAACATGCAATGTGGACTTTCTCAAAGGTTTTTTAAATGAATTTATTTAAACAAAAGAAAAAATAATCTTAAAAACAAAATGTAATTAGTTTTTGGAAGAATTTAGAGAACACTATTTTAATACTGTTAATGAAAATAATTCAATTACAGTCACGTGTGGAGATAATGTTATTATTGCAGTGTTTCTATTCAACCAAAAAAAAAAAAATTTCCCGATACTGTTTTTTGTATGTATGTATTTTTGTGAAATAGGGAAAAATGCCTGGACATAGATTAATATTTGGGTAATCTATGCCCAGGCATTTTTTTATTTTTTTTTCTTCTGAAATTAAAAAAAATTACTCTTACAGAGTTTTTTATTATTAATAAATAATAACCCCCAATTATTGATACATCTGATGTTAGGTGCCTAAGAACACAACTAGATGTTACAATATCAAGTTTTTTCAATAATAAAGTATATCACAATCACAAGATGCCAAACCCATTAGGGTATTTGGAGATTGACATGTAAAACCAACTTTTTTGGTATGTGTCAAAAAAGGCAAAAGAACACCACAAACTTTATCAAGCTACTTTGAATTCAGTGTTTTATTTCTCCTAGGTGGTTGCCAACCAAGGCTGAAGAGCCCAGTCATCCCTACTATTTAGCAGATAATTTAGGAAAGAAGAGATGTATTCCTACCTTTCCCAAGGAATTCAAACTTGGCTCTCCAATTTCTCAATCCGAGCCACTATCCATGACACCTTCTACACATCCATACAGACTGATCCACAAAACTGTCATTAATTAACGGATCTTAACAAGTTTTTCTAATATCAATGGAGATCGGATTTTTGAAAGTCTCTTTTTACCTGTCTACTGGTTTCCAATTTAGTGACCATATCACTTTCCTGGATTAGTTGCAAAAGGCTCAAAATACCACTGTAGCACTGTGAAGAGTCGGCTGTAAAATAAAGAACGTCATGAGTTGTCACCCTTTAACAACATTACAATCACACAGCAATAATAAAATAGCAACCAAATAATAAAAAAAAATTCATGTGATGAGAACAGAAAATTGAATAAATGTAAATATGATAAAAATAATATTTTGATTGATTGATTGGTTGGTTCATTTTTTACGGTTTATCAACCCTTTGCTGGTTATTTAAAGCCAGAAAATCTTTTTAGATTGTAAGAATTCTTCTTTTTTTTTTTGTTAGATAATAATGGTTTTAGTGATATAAGTCTTACTAATTAACCCATAGCTGGGAGGAGAAAGAGGTGGATTCATACCTTTCCCAAGAGTATTTCTACATAAGGGAATATAACAAACTCAACTGGAATTAAAACTCTGCTATCCAATTAATAATTCTGAGCCATTATCCATTACACCACCTGTACATCCAAGCTTACAGTACCTGGTATTCCCAAGAGGTTACACATCTAAGTACTAACCAAGCTTGATGTTGCTTAACTTCACTGATCGTACGGAAACTGGTGTTTGAACATGTAGTTGTAAGTAATATGTAATGATGAATATATTATCAAATATGAATCAGATACAAATATACTAGCTACCTGTCAAGGTTGATTATGGAGTTGAACAGGTTAAGATTGTAGTGATAGAGATTGGGTTTGTTTTATGGCATCTCAATAGGTTATTTAATGTCGATAAAATTTTTATTGCTGCTAATATTTTTTATCTGTCTATCTAAGAATATATTGGTTTGGTTTATTTTGTTTTACAACATATCAACCTCAATAGATTTTTTAATGCTGAGAAAATTTTTATTGCTGCTAATATTTTTTATCTATCTATCTAAGAATATATTGGTTTGGTTTGGTTTATTTTGTTTTTCAACATATCAACCTTAATGGGTTATTTAATGCCAACAATATTTTTATTGCTGGTAATATTTTTTCTTTAAAAATGTATTGCGAGTAATATTTTTCCTTTAAAAAAGTATTGCTGGTAATATTTATTTTCCAAAAATATATTGATAGCATTAAAATCTATTTTTATACTTTCATAGTGTTTTGACCCCAGTTTGGGTGTGCTACCACCCTGGGTCAGGGTGGACCAGCAATTAAGAGGTGGTTCCATGCTCCTCAAAACTTCCTGATGAGAGGCCTTGCTGTTGAATGTAATTTATCATCTTACCCAGGATGCAGATGTAGTTTATCATCATACCCAGGATGGATCACAGATATCCCAAAGATAACAAAAAGAAAAGCTTCACTTAGATCTTTTTTATTTCTATAATAACATTCACTCTGTATAAAGCCCCGATAGGCACTCGAGGTAGAGCATTACAGAGTAAGAAGCACAGTTTATTGGGGTACATGGAGAAAGATAACAGTTGACCCTAAACTTGAACAGGTTAAGACTGCAATGATTGGGGACTCATCCTCTTGGGGACATATTTAGATTATTCAAACTATTGTCCTCATCTTTGTCGCCATATTTATTACAACGTTTCGGCTGTTGTATGCTTCAGCCTTCTTTAGGTGGTTGGAATGTCGAACTGAACCCTTTATTTCACTCACTGGGGTAAACTGTTCTAGTTCCATGTGCCATGTTTAATGGATGTCAGTTATCAGTTATCTCCTGTTAATTTCCCTCTGAAAGTTCTCCACTGCCTAAACCGGGTATTGAACGAAACGTTGTAATAAATATGGCGACAAAGATGAGGACAATAGTTCGAATAATGTAAATAGTGTACATAATACCTCATCTCAGAAATATAGACAGATCCTCTTGGGGGTTGCGGTTCCACAAATCTGCTTGAGTGGAACTTACATCTCACCAACGAAGGTAATGAAGGTGGTTCGCTACAATGTGTGTGGCATGGAGGGTCTTAGCTGTGAACATTAAAACTGGTGGTACTAAGAAATATAGTTAATCTGAGCACTTTCCATGGAATAGCAATTGAGCAACGAGCAACTTGGAACATTCTGTCTGTATGAAATGGAACTTTAAGTGATCACACGAGAAAAGGTGTTTCAACGTGATATGGCAGTAAGCATAAGAAAAGCAAAAGTTTGGTGATTGTAATAAGTTAGAGTAAAAACATGTGCCATATAGTCCAGTGAATATGATAAAAGAATAGGGTAATTCAATCTATAATTAAGAATAGGGTAATTCAATCTATAATTAAGAAATAGGGTAATTCAATCTATAATTAAGAATAGGGTACTTGAGCCTATAATTACGAATAGGGTAATTCAATGTATAGTTACTTTATAAGGGGCAATAGACAAAACCTTTCAAAGAAAAACAGAAAAGTTTAAGGGAGATGTTAACTACCTGAGAGCATCATTTGGTCGATGAGTAATTTGATCATGGGCTGAGATATGGAGCACTTATTCATGAGACTGAACATTCCCGTGTATCCCATTTCATGGAGACGTAATCGTAACTTGCTCTTGTCATAGACTTTGTCAGTGTTTATCAGGACATGAATCAACTGAAACAGAAGAAAACAAGATGTACAAAAATAGCTGAATACAAGGTAAAATTCTATCAGTAAAATGTTAATTGGAAATTCTCTTAATTTTCTTTTTAATGAGCCACTCAAGGTAGAGTGTTCCTGAATGAGATCATTGTTTTCTTCTAGACTTGAAGATTTGGTTATTTTTGTTTTGCGACATATCAACATCTCTATGGGTTATTTAATGCATAAATCAATTCAGTAACTTACCAATTTAAATGCCAGTGTAATGCTGTCTGTCGTAAAGTTGGATTCTCATAAGAACCATCTTGGCCAGACACTGTCTTATTTGGATCTTTAAGGAACGGTCCTTCCTTAACATTTTCACTTTGGTTTACTAATACAATTTGTTCTAACAGTGTCACATTTTTATGTTGAACTAGACGCTGGCATACGTTGAAATCCTTACACTATTTAGTATTCTTGAATTTATTGCTAACATTTTTTGTCAAGAAGATACATACACAGATAAGTATTTGTTATTTTAATCATTAAATTGTTTTTTTTTTAAAATAGTGGGAGTATTTAGTATGTTAAATAATAAAACTTTTTTTTTCAAAAAAAAAAAAAAAAAAAAAAATGAATGAAAATTTATTGTACTAAGCTATGTACCAAAACCATATTTTGGTGTGAAGTGCAAACAGGTAAGGGGTTTACAAAGTACCGTTGGTTTTACTCATGTGCGTAGCTTAGTACAATACATTTTCATTCATTTTTTTTTGAAAAATTATAAGTTTTATTATTTAACATACAAAATATTCCCACTATTTTAAAAACAATTTAATGATTAAAATAACAAATACTTATCTGTGTATGTATCTTCTTGACAAAAAATGATAGCAATAAATTTATTTTAATCATTAGATATGGAAGTCACATAATTTTATATATATATATATATATATATATATATGATAGATAGATAGATAGATAAAGGCTTAAAACAAGGTTTGTGTCTTCTCTTTATTATCACTCTCAATGTCGTTACTCAAAAAAGAATTTTCAACTTGTATGCCTACAAAAAATCCCCATATCAGCTTTTTGTTTTTGTTCAGAATTAGACACTGACCATATGGCTCTCTGCCAGGATCTTTCCACAAGGAACTTTATTCCCAGATTTTTTTTTATGATAGATGAAATCTTACTCATTTCTCTACCTCTGTTTTTGTTACCAGTATTTTTAGGGACGGGTCATCAATTGTCAAAAGATCGCTACATGGACCTCTTGTGAAAATATCACTTGAAGTAATTCTCCTGGTTTCTTGCAAATTAAACATTTTTGAAAAGAGAAATCTTTAGTCTTTCTCATTATCTGTCCATCGTTATATTCATTAACCCTTTCTTATTATTTACCAGTATTCTCTTGGTATAGCCATCATTCTATTCATTAACCCTTCTCTTCATTTACCAGCGCTAAATAGTGTCACATCCAGCATTGTAAAAACCTAGTCTCAAATCATTCTGACAAATTCTTTGTCAGGCATGACCCACCTTGCTTTATTTAAAATTAATCCTCATTCTACTTCAACAAAAAAAGCAAACATGGCTATGTATGTATGTATGTATGTTTCTCTTTCATTCATGTATGAATGTATGTATGTATGTATGTATGTATGTATGAATGTATGTATGTATGTATGTATGAATGTATGTATGAATGTATGTATGAATGTATGTATCTGTCATTCATGTATGAATATATGTATATATGAATGAATGAATGTATGTATGTTTCTCTGTCATTCATGTATGTATGTATGTATGTTTCTCTGTCATTCATGTATGTATGTATGAATGTATGTATGTTTCTCTGTCATTCATTTATGTATGTATGTATGTATGTATGTTTCTCTGTCATTCATGTATGTATGTATGTATGTATGTATGTATGTATTTCTCTGTCATTCATGTATGTATGTATGTATGTTTCTATGTCATTCATGTGTATGTATGTGATTTCTCTGTCATTCATGTATGTATGTATGTATGTTTCTCTCTGTCATTCATGTATGTATGTATGTATGTATGTATGTATGTATGTCATTGATTATCTATGTATGTATGTATGTATGTATGTATGTATCTCTGATTCATTTCTATGTATGTATGTATGTATGTATGTATGTTTCTCTATCATTCATGTATGTATGTATGTATGTATGTTTCTCTGTCATTCATGTATGTATGTATGTATGTTTCTCTGTCATTCATGTATATGTATGTATGTTTCTCTGTCATTCATGTATGTATAGATATGTTTCCGTCCATGTATGTATGTATGATATGTTTCCGCGTCATTCATGAACAATATACATTACATGATTTCATTCATTGTACTCGATGTAAATCTTTTGGACCAATTCACTGATTTATTGTTACACTGATTTTGTTTCTCTGCCTTCAATGAATGTAGCTTTCTCTGTCATTCCGTCTTAATGTTTACCATTTATGGGATGAATAAATATAATTTCTCTTTTATATTTTGGTCTGTTGAAATGTAATTTGAAAAGAATAAAGATGTCATAAAATTTAAATATATGTTTGTTTTCTCTGTCATATATATATGTGCGTGTGTATGTTTCTCTGTCATTCATGTATGTATGTATGTATGTATGTAGTTGACTGATGTAAACAAATGTTTAACAAGTATGTTTCTCTGTCATTCATGTATGTAAGTACTGGTATCTGTTTTATGTATGTATGTGTATGTTTCTCCGTCATTGCGTATGTATGTATGTATATTTATTAAATTTCATATATACATGTATGTTTCTCTGTCATTCATGTAGTATGTTTATCTGTCATTCTGTATGTATGTTTCTCTGAAATTCATGTATATGTTTCTCTGTCATTCATTATGTATGTTTCTCTGTCATTCATGTATGTCCATATTCCTGTCATTCATGTATATATGTTTCTCTGGCATTCCCACATGTTTCCGGTCATTCACGGGATGTATGTTTCTCTTATATATCTTTGTATTTCTGTTTCTCTGTCATTCACAAATGTTTTCTCTGTATAATTCATGTATGTATGTTTCTCTGTCATTAATATGTTCTGTTTATCTTCATTTATGTATGTGTTTCTCTGTCATTCATGTATGTATGTTTCTTCAATGTCATTCTTTGTATGTTTCTTTGTCATTCATGTATGTATGTTTCTCTGTCATTCATGTATGTATGTTTCTCTGTCATTCATGTATGTATGTTTCTCTGTCATTCATGTATGTATGTTTCTCTGTCATTCATGTATGTATGTTTCTCTGTCATTCATGTATGTATGTTTCTCTGTCATTCATGTATGTATGTTTCTCTATAAAAAAAAAAGATCCCATGTTTTTCTAGTCATTCATGTATGTAGTTTCTCTGTCATTTTCCATGTATGTGTTTCTCTGTATCATTCTTGTATATAATGTTTCTCTGTCATTCAACAATGTTTTACCTCATTCTAACCTCATGTTTCTCTAAATTCATGTATAACATTCTGGGTTCATGTCCATTGTCCCAATTGTATTTCTCTGTCATTCATGTGAATGTATCCGCTGAATCTCTGTCATTCATGTGAAAACTTATGTTTCTCTGTCAGAAAAAATAAAGGAACATGTTTCTCTGTCATTCATGTAGACATTTATGTATTTTCTCTGTAGATATTCATGTATATGTTTCTCTATCATTCATGTATGTATGTTTCTCTGTCATTCATGTATCATGTATGTATGTTTCTCTGTCATTCATGTATGAATGTATATGAATTTCTGTCATTCAGACATGTATGTAGACATGTTTATAGATAGATAGATATGTATGTTTCTGTCATTCATGTATGAATGTATTATGTTTCATTCATTTATGCGTAGCATATGTTCTCTGTCATTCATGTATGAATGTATGTATATTTCTCTGTCATTCATGTATGAATGTATGTATATTTCTCTGTCATTCATGTGTATATATATGTATTTCTCTGTCATTCATGTATGTATTTATATATGTTTCTCTGTCATTCATAGATGTAATGTATGTTTCTGTCATCATTCATGTATGAATATTTTTTTTTTTCTCTATCATTCATGTATGAATGTATGTATATTTCTCTGTCATTCTAATAGATATGTATGTTTTCTCTGTCATTCATGTATGTATGTATGTATGTATGTTTCTCCTGTCATTCATATGTATATGTTTCTGTTTCTCTGTCATTTCATGTATATTTCTATGTTTCTCTGTTTATTCATGTATGAATGCTTATGTATTTTCTCTGTCATTTCATGTATGTATGTATGTGTTTTTCTGTCATGAATGTATGTATATTTCTCTGTCATTGTATGTGAATGTATGTTCTCTCTCTATCATTCATGTAGATATGTATGTATGTTTCTCTGTCATTCATGTATGTATGTATGTATGTTTCTCTGTCATTCATGTATGTATGTATGTATGTTTCTCTGTCATTCATGTATGAATGTATGTATGTTTCTCTGTCATTCATGTATGAATGTATGTATGTTTCTCTGTCATTCATGTATGTATGTATGTATGTATGTTTCTCTGTCATTCATGTATGTATGTATGTATGTTTCTCTGTCATTCATGTATGAATGTATGTATGTTTCTCTGTCATTCAGATATGAATATGTATGTATGTTTCTCTGTCATTGTATGTATGTATGTCTGTCATTCATGTGTTTCTCTGTCATTCTTCTATTCATGTATGTATGTTTTGTATCTTTCTCTGTCATTATGTATGTTCTCTGTCATTCATGTATAGATATGTATATTTCTCTGTCATTCATGTATGTATGTATGTTTCTGTTTCTCTGTTTCATGTATGTATGTATGTATGTTTCTCTGTCATTCATGTATGAATGTATATGTTTCTCTGTCATTCATGTATGTATGTATGTATGT